AAGGAACTTTAGTGTACTGTTGATGTCGGGTGGCTTGGTATGTGATTGTTGGTGTATGTACTGCAGTATTGAGGTGTCATTTTGCTGGATTACAGAAACCTCATGCTGATCGGGCTACGCTCTGACTATATCTACCCAAGTGCCTTAAGACGCCATGCAAATCTGGTACTGCCAGGATCGTCTCGTCGAGTACTTTCCCAACATACTAATTTCTACCTTGCGTAGAGGGGTATATCGTGATGTACTCAAACACTCTCATCTCACATCAAACTGTCTCTACCTTGGCAGTACAGCCTGCGATCACCACAAAACCTTCACCGTCATGCTCCTAGAGACCCTAGCTCTCTATCGGTACCCCATATACATGGTGTATATGCAAGTTTTGACGCGACGTACGCCACGCATACCGATCCCGCAAAGATCCCCCCGTATCTAACCAAATCCTGCAATACGCCATGCAAAAGTGGTATTGCCAGAATCGTCTCACCGAGTGCTTTCCAGCCATACCAATTTTCACGTTGTGTACAGGGGTGTATCATGGCGTCCTCCCCTGTGGATTGCCTGCGAGGGCTAGCACCACAGCGTAGCGAAAACCTCATGTACGCAGTGCAAGTAGCATATTGCCAGACTTCTCTCTGTCCCCCGACCACATATATACCACTTTTAGACAGATACACCGCTGTAAAGGCCAGAGAATTGCCCATCCATCTCGCAGGTGGCTTGTTCTCATCCCGCATCGCACCCTCTCTATCTCGCCTGTATGACCTCCGATCGCCCCCAAACCTTCACCGTCATGCTTGCAGAGACCCTAGCTCTCTATTGGTACCCCATATACACTGTGTATTTGCAAGTTTTGACACGACGTACGCCACGTGTCCCGATCCCGCAAAGATCCCCCCATATCTAACCAGATCCTGCGATACACAGCGCAAAATGGGTACCGCCAGACTCGTCTCATCGAGTACTTTCTAACCATACCCTTCTTTACATTGCGTACTGGAAAAACCTTGCGTATGCAAACCAGATAGTTAGAGCTAGCCGACGTCTCAGCCCGTTAGCCAACGTATGAGCTGCAGAATATATATGTACAACATACCTGTAATCACTTGAGACGCTTTACACGTCGGCTAATGCACCTGGACGTCGGCTAGCCCGCGCTGCAATGGATGGGCACGTGACCCCACCCTCCAAGGGCTAGCCGACGTCTGGGGGCGTTAGCCGACGTCTGAGCTGCAGATTATATATGTACAACATATCTGTAGCCATTTGAAAGGCTTCAGACGTCGGCTAACGCACCTGGACATTGGCTAGCCCGCACTCGGATTGGGCGAGCACGTGACCCCACCACCAAGAGCTAGCCGACGTCTGAGTGCGCTAGCTGACGTCTGAGCTACAGAACATGAATCTACAACATATCGATAAACATTGTATGGCCTTCAAACGTCGGCTAACGTACCTGAACGTCGGCTAGCCCGCACTCGGATTGGGCGAGCACGTGACCCCACCACCAAGAGCTAGCCGACGTCTGAGTGCGTTAGCCAACGTCTGAGCTGCAAAACATGAATCTATAACATATCGATAAACACTGTATCCCCTTCAAACGTCGGCTAACGCACCTGGACGTCGGCTAGCCCGCACTCGGATTGGGCGAGCACGTGACCCCACCACCAAGAGCTAGCCAACGTCTGATTGCGTTAGCCAACGTATGAGCTACAGTACATGAATCTACAACATATTGATAAACATTGTATGGCCTTCAAACGTCGGCTAACGCACCTGGACGTCGGCTAGCCCGCACTCAGATTTGGCGAGCACGTGACCTCACCCCCCAAGGGCTAGCCAACGTCTGAGTCCGTTAGCCGACGTCTGAAACCTCAGAACATACTCATATTACATCTCTTCTTACATTATTGCACTTGAAAACCCCAGCCAACGCTTCCAACTCTGACTAGCCCTCGCCTGGTCTCGCAGGCACGTGACCTCACCGGCCAACAGCTAGCTCACGTTGTGCTGGGTCGCTTGCCTTGAGATTTACCAGTACCATTCACAGCGCGTATCTTCACCTCCCAGTGCACTTAAAGACGTCGGCTAGCCCCCTCAACGTTGGCTAGCCCTGACGGTCCCCGAACACATGTGTGATGGACGTCGGCTAGCCATCACAACCGCTTTTGGCGACTTTCCCACGGGCGAACGAATTTTTTCGTACAAACGCGTGCGAACACATTCGTTCGCGCCATTGTCTGGAGCGCTTCCCCCTGCCCCCTTCACCTCCAAACTTCGTCCAGCGGTGGATGGACATGCTGGCTACCCTCCTGCACCATTGGAACGTCAGCTAACGCGCATGGCGGGGCTCCTGACGTCGGCTAGTATTTCGGTAAATCGTGGGAAAATTTGAACGCGTTTCCCACGGTGCTAGCTGACGTCGGCTAGTGAGGGCAGATAGTTAGGGATTTGGAGGCGAGTAACACATTGTGAAAACCGAAAACGTGGTATACTAATATACTTGATCTTAAAGATCATTGCCTTTGATTTCGGCATGAGTTAACATGCGCCCACTTGAGCGCTCGTGGGTGACTCCAGGCGCTCGCAAGGTGAGAATTGGCACAATTCTAAGATTCACGACGTTACAACATCCAGACAGTAGTACTCCCTTGGCGGGAGGCAGCGCGGGGCGATGCGCGCGTCGGGGAGCGCGCAACTCATAGTGAGTTGAGTTTTGTTAGATTCGGTGCTGTAATCGCATTGCGGGGAGCTGGATTGAGAACATGAGTACCGGAATGTAGTCGTAGTATAGACCTCGCAATGACTCGGCTGAATATCATGTTCGTCAACCTCTAGGTCAGCATGAGCTGAATGAGCTACAGTATGAGCTTCGGCGTCTTTTCAGCGAGGCCATGAGTTGATGCTACTGGGATAGACAATATATCGAATCCAATCTGCATCCCCGACGTTCAGAGTATCTTAGCGACAGAGCAAGGCAAGAGATCTCACCAGAAAAGCGCAATGAGACGGCGCGCTCAGCCTCGTCACACTCGCGGGATTATACTGCTAACCAAGTACTCTGCGTGCGTTCAAGGACGGTGCAGCCGTATCTCGTGCGCGTACGACCTCATATCAACCAATGTTCGAAACGTCCTCGTCAGAGAGCTCACGATTGACTTGCTTTCTTGTGCAGATGATTCTGTGCTCACTACTATCTCACTCGCTCTACACTTGGACTGAACGAGAAACGCGTGTTATTGCATATTCTAACTACTACAAGGTGTAGTACAGCGCGCGGGACTAAAGTGACAACGATTCGCCGCCGAGGTCCCCTTCTATCAGAGGCCACCATGCCCCCTCGCCCTGCGCCTCGTCTCCCAACGTTGGCGAGCCGCGCTCGGTCCCTGTCCAACTCTCCCGTCGCGGCTCACACATGGGCGTCCTCGCTGACTGCCGTGACTCGTGCCGTCCCATGCCGCGCCCCCTTCCCCCCCTCCCCTACAGCCCCGCATCCCGCAAGGGAACGGGTGAGTACCGTTGTGATCGCCGTTAACGTCGACGTGCGTGCGTGGGCGGGTATGAAGGTGAGGAGGGGCGTGAACGAAGGGGGGGAGGGGGCGAGTATGAAGGGAGAAAGGGGAAGGTGCATACAGGAGGGGGGGGGCGGGGATCCGCATACGAAGGGGTGGGAAGGGGGCGTGCACGAAGGGAAGGGGGCACGTATGAAGGGATGGGGGGGTGTGCGAAGCGAGGCGGAGATATGGAAGGGGCGGGCGAGCACAAGGGGGGTGAAGGGGGCAGCGCGCACGAAGGGGCGGGCGGGCGCACTGGAGGGGGGACATACGAAGGGGTGCGAGGGAAGGGGGCGTGTACAAGGGGGGCGTTCAAGAAGGTGGGGAGGGGGCGCGCGTACGAAGGGAGGGGAGAGGGGGGAAGGGAGAATGAGCGAAGAGAGGAGGAAGGGCGGGTATACGAAGGGATGCGGAAAGTGGGAGCTCAAGAAGAAGAGAGGGGGCTCCGTAAATAGAAGGGGTCACGCGTACACAAAAGGAGGGAGGGGGGCACGTACGAAGGGCGGGGGGAGGGGGCGCACGAAGACAGGTGGGGCGAGGGGGCGTATGCAATGGAGGATGCAGGGAGGAGCGTGCGCGAAGGGAGGGGTGGCGGCGTTCGCGGTGCGAGAAGGAGGGACGGAAAGAGTGGGCGTGCGCGAGGAGGAGGAAGGGGGCGGCGCATATGAAGGGGCGGGTGCGCGTGTCGGAAGGAGGAGGCATACAAAAGGGTGGGGAAGGGTGTGTGTAGGAGGGAAGGGAGGAGGGGCGACTACGAAGGGGATGTGGCGCGCGAATCAAGGGGGGGAGGGGGCGTGTACGAAGGGAAGTGCAGAAGGGGAGAAGGGGCGCGCGTACGCAGGGCAGGGGGCGCGCGTACGACAAGGGGAAGCAGTGGGAGACGCGTGTGTAAGTGGAGGGGGAGGGGGGCATGTATGAAGGGAGGGGACGGGCATTAAGGGGAAGGGAGGCGTCCGCGTCTCCCCTCGCTCGCGGGGGCCCGCCGATCGAGCATCACCCACGCCGCTGTGAAAAAGGGTGGGCGGCTGTCATGGGTAGCGCTCGGCTATGCGCATTCGGTCGCGCGAGGAGGCAGACCGAAGGGGAGACACTGCACATCAGCGCGTGTGCGAGGAGCGGGGATTGGTGATCGGTGGTGGAGGATGGGGCGAGCACGAATATACGTGGAGAGGGTGCGCCAGCTGGGTTCCAGGCGAGGGCTTGATGAGCGATGCGCAGGCGTGGTTGACCAGGGGGGGCGAGGGGTAGTAACCGAGCCGTCTCGTGCGCGATCCAAGCGGAAGCAGACCCCCGCGACGCCCCTAGCGTCCGCGTCGTCGCCGACAACGCGGGGGCTGGACTAGGAATGAGATAAGATGAGATCGAGGATCATTAAGGCAACGCCCGCCGCGCTCGGCGCGCATTGCCGCGCAACCTCGTAAAGAAGATCTGCGCGCGCATCTCTCCATGTCTCACTGCGGCGGAGGTGGCAGTGGCGAGATACGCACGCAGTTCCCCTCCAAGGTCGTGCGCAAATGCGTGTCGAACAGACAGCGGCCGCGCAGTTAGACACTCACCGAAAACCTGGCTGCTCGTCGCGACACGCGCGTTAAGATTGCATCCGCTGTGCGGGCGGGGCCCGCGGGCGTAGCGGCAGCAGCGGTAGTGAGAGGCAAGGAGCGCGAGACGCGATCGGAAAACGCGTCCGGTCACGCTGACGCGACGCGTCACGTGCCAGCCCGCGACGCCACATATCGCTTGCTCCGCGCGTCGACAAGTGCTCAGCGGGCGGGCCTCCGCCTAGCTGTCCGACAGAATAACGGGCACTTACTAAGGACGAAGACATTACATATTAGTGAGCTTCTTTACTAGCCCCCATCCTCAATTTCTCGCTCGCGGTCCTCAACTCGTCGGCAGTGCGTGACTTGCATCACGGCGGAATAGTATAGTTATCACCAACCGCCTTCTAGCCAATACATTCGCGCTCCTTAGTAGCAGGATGAGCGCGAGGCGCTGTCTCTATAGCTCAGAAACGAGATTAGTAAGTTTCAAACTTTGCGTGCATTTCGGTTTCTACCGTCTACTCTACAGATGATATGATGGATATCGCGCGTTCCTGTACTCCGAAGAGGCTCACCCACGCGCTTGGGACTCAGCTTTGCGCGCCGGGACGATCTACAATCCGTCTGAACAGTGATTTTCAACGATTAGGTGAGTTATATCCTCAGAACGCGTTGTCAAGCATAGCCTACCTCGGTTTCTAGCCAAACCACGACGCGGTGCCGTTACATACCATCGCCTACGCAACAGGGGGTCATCTCGGGATACCGAAGAGCCTGAAGCACCGTCAAGAGCGCTTCGCGAGGCAACTCACCGTTTTCAAGGTAAGCTTGCTCATATAGCGTGTTATCGAAGCTAAGTGCGTACTTATGGCCGTTGCGGGGCTTTTTTGACTCGGAAAAAGGACACTGCGCTTCAGCTATGCTGCGCGCTGGGACGCGAAGGCGCGGTCTACGAGGTCAGTGCATAACCTTTGAGCAGGAGCGAGGGGCCGCTCATTGCTTCTTCCCCGATTTTTCAGCGTGTCGAGGCCGCTTCGGCGCCTTCATATGAAGCGTTTAACGCCCAGAAAGGTGAGCGATTCCGTTCGGAAGGAAGGTCCTCGCTTAGCAGCGCCAAACAACAGGATTTCTTCTCGAGCACTCCCTCCGGCGTTGACGCGCAGCTTCCGATGCACGCCAGGTGAGTGCCGGCTTGATCCTATGTTTTTCGAAGTCATAACATTGGGATAGTACTACTCCTACGTTTTGAAGCGGCGAGGCGCGATGCGCGCTCAGGAGGAGCTCGAGCCACCTTGAGCCGAGCATCCGAAAGATTCGGCGCTCTCGCGTCAATTTTCCGTCGTATAGAGAAGAGATTGGGGGGTGAGTACCGTGCTAGAACTGTTGAGTACGCTCTGTAATGACGGATCCAAATCCCAGGAGCTTCGACTTCAGCTTCGCCACGAGTTGAAGAGCGTCTCTTTTGACGCTCACGAGTAACTTCCGCCCCTCACAAGGCGAGTAGCCCCTTCCTTCCGCCATTCACAACTTCCTAACATCCTGATAGCACTTCCCATGCGATGAGAACCCGTGCGCAGGATTTTGCGCTTCCGGGGAGGCCGAGCTCACCTTGGGCTGGGCTTCATGAGTTTCGGCGCCCTCGCGCCGTGTTCTCATTGCGTACGGCCGAGACTCGCAGAGGAGTACCGAAATGCAAGTGTTAATCACATTCTGGAATCACTTATCTGCATACCAGGGCGTACGGCTTCGACCTTGGCATGAGTTGACGGCAGCCCCTCAAGCGCTCGCAAGCTTACAAGTCTTGCAGAAGTACGCACTTTGAATTCATTTCGCACTCGTTTCGGTCTCAATTCGGCTCGGGCAGTCTCAGCGTATACATAGGACTGACGCGCGCCCTCGACAGCAGAACGATGCACTGCTTTCGCGCTCAACGGCAAGTTTTCTGCGCTCAAAGGCGAGTTCTTCCCCTCCCCGAACCCGCCGACGCGCCAGAACTCACGCAGGGTCTGTCAGAACGTACTGAATTTTTCTGTGAGCCGTTGCGAGCTTACGACGTTACTTGGCGCGCGCGCGGCAGCGCAATGCCTTTCCGGGCTCTCAATGCCTTCCCGAACGGGACGCGCGCGCGTCCTCCCAAACCGCCACGTCGACATTTGCCTCCCCGGCTTTCGTCGATCTCCGCTCCTGCTTCGCGTCACTTATCGACGTCGCCTTCCATCTAGAACCGTCCCCTGCGTCCATGCGGTCAATGGAGGAGTCAACACCGCGGAAAAAGGGCTAACACTGCGGAGATATCTCACCAGCATCGCGCTTCCACGCCCGATTTCTGCCTGGGACTCAACGTCCCCGACCCTGCGTTGGTCTAGCTTTCGTCTTGATTGCGCATAGGCGTATCACGCAGGCAGCACGCGCTATGTAGCTTCGCGCGCGTCAAATCTTCGCCGCAGGAGATCCTCCGCGTTTTTGTAAGTCGGTCTCGACTCCAGGTTCGTTTTCGAGGACGTGACGCCTCCGAAAACGAGGCTGCTGTGCTTACAAAGGATAATGCATGCGGTAATCGGAATATAAAGCGAGGCGAGGGAGGCTCCAGGCAGAGCTCGGTGCTCTTCCGTTCCCCCCATGCCTTGTAATCGCCTGCGCCGTCATCGGCTGGTGATGATTACCGTGCCGAGGTCCTTGCTAGGTAACTCGTGCTGGCCACTTCTACTTATATACTCATAACTCGCTACCCATTCCGCTCAGATGCCCTAGAACGCGCCGCGTCGCTTTTCTTGATGCCCTTTTCCTCTACTGACCACGTTACAGGGCTACGCTCTGGCTAACCCTAAGTCGCTATCAGTAAGTGCTTTCTCCCACCGCCCATTTACGTTGTGCGGTATTGATCAGCTCTGCTCGATTCTCCTCTCTCTTGTCAACAGCCAGGGGCGCGCGCTAAGCCGCATCAAGAGCAATCAGGTACGTTCTCCGTTATACTCTATCGCTCGTATTCTTACCCTACCCTGCAGTCGTCGGCCTTCGACGACGACCGGAACAATGCGCGTACATCTAGGCGACGCGCAGACTGCCCTTTAGCGCTTTGGGCGCCATCCCTGCGCTCCGTCCCATCCGCTAGCGTCTACCATCGCGCGAGCGCGCTGCTCGCCGTCGTCAGGTGCAACCTCGTCGTTGTTTTCCCTGCTATGTACTGACCTTCACACAAGATATACCCATCCCCTCTGTACCGGTACCGTGAGCAGCGTCGACGAGGGGAATCTCGCCGGAGCGCGCCCCTCGCCCGCGTACGAGGCTGGGGCGCTCCCTCGCGTTTTGAACAAAGCTGGCCTCCCTCCTCCGGCGTACGAGGACGAAGCGCCCTTCATTGCCACCACGTCGAAGAGGACGAAGACGGCTTTCCGCGTATGCATACGAGGAGACGAAGCGCCCCTCGCCGCGTTGAAGACGGCTCCTCCCGTGTGTCCAGTTGAGAGCGAAGCGCCTCGCCGCGTCAAAGAGGACGAAGACGGCCTACTCGCGTCGCGTACGGGGACGAAGTGCGCACCCACCGTACACTCTCGCGTGTCGAGGGGACGAGAGCTCCTCCGCGTATTGCGAACGAAGGGCCCTCACCTCGTGTCGATTAGGACAAAGGGCTCCCTCATGCGGAGTGAGGACAACAGGCGCTCCCGCGCGTGAGGCTGGGGAGGGGCGAAGGGCGCTCCCTCACATCCAGGCCGAAGCGCTCTCTTCGCGTGTCGAGTACGGCGACAAAGTCCACTTTCTCGCGTCTCCGGGACGAAGACCGCACCCCCTCGTCGAGGTCTGAGCGCGCCCACATGCGTCGAGTGGAGGAACGAAGATGGTTTCCTCCCGTACGAGGACGAGGAAGACGAAGACGTCTCGCCCGCGTCTCCAGGATAAAAAACGCCCCTCCCTCTTCTCTAGGTTGAAGTGCTCCTCCGCACGTCAAGACTGGAGCCCTCCCTCGCGTAAGAAGCCGAAAAGCGCTCCCTTGCGTATCAAGGAGAGGACGAAGGGTTCCACCTCTGTCAAAGAGGACAAACCGCCCTCCATTGCTCAAGGTGAGGTCGAGGACGAGGCGCTCCACTGCCCGTAAGAGGTCGGACACCTTCCTCGCGTAACGAGGAAGGGCGAAGTGCGCCCTCGCGTCGAAGGAGAAGCGCGCCCTCATATCGAAGACGATGTGCGCCCTCGCGTGGAGAGCGAGCGGACGAAGACGGCACCTCCCGCGCGCGTCGTGGACGAATACGCCTTCCCCCGCTTCGAGGCCGGAGGCGCCTCACTGCGCGTAGGAGGTTTCAAGAGTGGAAAGGGGCTCGGAGACTGGCAACAGAGGCACAGTCGACACAGACACGGACACGGACCGGAAGGCGACAACGCAACGGACTGAATAGAAAGGTAGGTAGAGGGACGCGTAAGCTACCGACATTGTATATACTTGTTGTCCATGGGCTTTAAGCACAGCCCGGTATAGATGAGTCAGAGACGTCCACAAATACCCACTCGTGACAGGAGGTTGGACACCTTCCTCGCACGTCGAAGAGGACGAAGTGCGCCCTCGCATGTCGAGGACAGTGCATCCCCCGCGCGAGATGAGGACGAACACAGCTGCCTCTCCGCTGTCAAAGAGGCCGAAGCTCTTCCCTCATCGAAGAGGATAAGAGCGCTCCCTTTTCGCGGATTGAAGACGAAGTCCACTTTCTCGCGTACCGGGACGGAGATGGCTGCTTGCCCTGGGTGTCGAAGAGACGAAGTAACCCTCACCGCGTGTCAGGAAACGAAGAGCGCCCGGTATATATCTGACGTGGGGGCAAGAGCACCATGGTCTGCATTGTGCGCGTCAACGTCTGCGTCGTACACGCCGTACTTATCAGCGTGAGCACCACCTTCAATGTCCTACGCGCCCTAGATACCATACACACCCTCGATATCGTACACGCTGTCCTCTACTACTCGTGCGCGCTGCTCTCGATCTAGCACGCCTCCCAGCTTTGCGAGAACCGTGCTCGTCACCTTCGCTATCCATCAAAGACGAACATAATCCAAGTCGAACAAGACCGTCGCCCACGACGCGCGAGGACTGCGCGCGAAGCATTCCCCTTGCCTCCCCCTCCCCACCTCATCGCCTTCATCCCTTCCGCCTCATATCAACTCCGCAACGGCCTGCTCTCGACCGCACCGGCCGCCTTCTTCCCTCGCCCCTCATCGTCTCCCTTCCTCCCCTCATTGCTTCCCTCCCTCCCGCCTCAAGCTAACCTCGCCAGAGTCCCTCCCTCCTCAGCCGCGCGCGCATCTCCCTTCTCGTTAGTCACGCCCCCTCAATCGCGCTCGCCCCTCCTTGACAATCCCACCCCTCTCCTCAACTGCCCACACCCCCCCTCCGCAGCAGACTACCCCATCTTCCTCGACACGCAGTTGCGCGCTTCGTCATCCCTCGGAGGGGGCGGGGGGGGGCGGGGGGGGGGGGGGGGGAGAGTTAAGGGGCGAGAGCGAGAAGGGGGAGGGGGGAGCGAGAAAGCGAAAGAGAGGAGGAAAGGGGCAAGAAAGCGAGGGGAGGGGTGTGAGAAAAGAGAAAGAGGGAGAGGGGAGGGCGAAGGTAGGGGGAGGGGGAGACTCACGCGTTACGCGTCCACTGACCGACGATGGCCGTCGTCGTTGTCAGCATCATTGTGCTCGCTGTTGCACGCGATGCGCGTTTTGATCATTGTTCGCAGAGGTGAAAGGGTAGAGAAAAATGACATTATAATCATATAATTACATACGATATGTATCGGGCGCCGCGACATGCTCAGCGCAAGTGCTAGGCACGTACGCGACGTTGGAGGGAAGGGATGAGAGGAGGGGGACGCGAAGGGGAAGGGACTGCATGCATAGGAGCGGGCACCGCATGGTAAGCAATGCAGCGCGACCCCGTCAAACAATCGCTTGACGTGAGATCCGGGGGACGCACGCGAGGGGGCAACATGAGCGCAATGGCGAGCCGCATGCGCAGCGCGTGCACCGTGCTCGCCGTGCGCAAACTGAGCGCGATCGTGCTTGAGTGAGTGGGGTAGGGGGCACGCGCGACGGAACGCGTGGACCACGCACCGCGAGCAAATGCACGCGCGTGCTTGGTGCTCATGCCCTCCCGCGCCCTTCACCCCTGCTCGCACTACCCTCTCCCTCCCTTGCGCGGGCCCCTTTGCGCAGCCCTTTGCTCATGCATCTCCCTCGAGACACCAACCAATCCGCACCTCGATGAAACGGGGAGAGTGCGCGCCCTAGCAACAGCTCGGCACGCTGGCGCGGACAAGCGTAGCCACGCCGGACGCGTAGCGTGCCGCTAGATGGCCCAGCAGCGAGGTCTGTCCCTAGGAATATCAAGATATACCCTATGACTATAGGGGGGAGTATTGCAATATACCCTATCGTTACTGGTCAGTACCTATAGGCCGTATCTCGATGTTCCCCCCTACCTAAATTCAGATATTCCACCCAGGAAATTACTGATTGCAGAAACCCTTTTGATGGCAATGGGAGAGAGTGGCAATGATGTCCGGACTGATGGCTGCCCTTCCCGCCGCATCGGGCAGGCCACGGCTCGCCACACGACACCGCCCGCATCGGGCAGGTCGTGCTCATCGCGGCGCTCGGAGCGGGGGCGGTTGACATGGTGTTGATGGGAATTTACTCCGTGCCGTGCGGGGCACGCGGGGGCCCTTCAAATTTGCCGCCGCCGCCGGCCACCACCGCGGCTCCCTTTCGACACCACCGCCTCCGCAGCCGTTCGAAGATCTTGTTCCCCCTTCCCTCGTCGCGCTCTCCCCCGATCGTGGTGAACGTGCGTCGCGTGAAAACACGCGGCCGATCGCAAATTTGATCGGCGCGCGCTATTTTGCCCATTCCTCCAAACTCGCGCTCCTCCAAACTCGCGCTCTTCGTACAGAACCTGTGGCAGATATCGCGCCACCTCGCGCCGACAACCACCATAAACAACTCGATCGATGCCCGCGCAGTTCAAGGTCGCTGGGCAGAACGCGGTGCTTCCGATCGCCCTCAACACCACTATGCTCCCGTTCTTCGCACATATATCCCTCTCCCCTCCGCTCATCTTTCGTCTTTGACAGTGACGTCGTGCTCACCGCTGCGAATATGTGGCTGTCCCGTATGAAATCCATCGTGCGCAACAGTGCTGACCGTGCTATCGCGCGCAGCTCCCGCTCCCCGCCTCTCCTGCCTCCCCAGCAAGATTCCCAACCCACACCACACCATGCGCTACACTTCTTGCTGCTCGTCGCGTAGCGTTGACCTTACATTGGCTTAATCGCCGGTCAGCCTATCACAGAGAAGACCGTCGGACAGTTCCCTCACGCGGTGTCTGCGCGCCCCCGTTCCGCACTCGTACATAACATACATCCTATCGCATGCACCTCGTACACGATCTGTACCTGCCTGGCAATGCCATTCTGTCTCCTAACACGCCTCCTCATGGATATCGAGCACAGCATCAACGTCCAGGTCAATCGTTTGGATGCGCAAGACCGTCCTTCGGGAGCATTTTCATAGTAGTGGATTGAGTTCTAGAACACGCTGTCCAAATTCCGTGGCGGGGGGTAGCCAATGGGCCCAACAATGCCGTTCCCGAGGCGGAGGGAGAGCCTCTAAGACTGAATATCAAAATTCTGCCTCGCAGCATGCTTTCAATGTCATATAGCCTCGCCCAAAACCTAGTGTACATGCACATAGTCTTATACAGAAAGTCTCGTACTGTCAGAGCCTTCCGAACGCATGCAATGGCAGTCGTCGTCGCGCGGAACGCTGTGATCGGTGACCTTCGGATGTCCGGTCCGATCCCCGAAAAGCGCTCGCCGTTGTCGTCGGCGACGTCCACAGGTCGAAGGAAGTTTATTCAAGCCCGTGGACTAGCCGGAATGGAAAGAGCGCAGCTCTCTGTAGGAGGACCTGAGTTCAAACCAGGGCTGAGATAATTACAGGGAGCGGAAATGGGATCGAGCACGTCGGAAGGGACAGTTGAGGGACAGTACGACCTCGAGATGCACGAAGCAGATTGGACTCACTGATTGGTCTATTCGTGCTCCTGTATGCATCGGGCAGTAATGAGAATTCACAGAGGGCTATGTATGTATATCTACTATGTAAAACAATGTCTTCTATCGCCAAGAACCTTTGTGAACGTTGTGAATAGCCTGGAAAAGCCCCAAAGTGGCGCGCATTCTCGAACTCCGGTGACTCGGCACGTATCTCAACGTACCGGGGGCAACAAGGTCAAGGTCTGAGGTCAGTACTATATAGATATCGAGTGTATGTTGATCTTACCGAGGGCTGCCGTCGCGCAGATCGTACGCTGTGCAATCTTGAACGGGCGCGCGGCGAGCCAACAAATGCGCGTGTGACGTGATGTCACACGTCGCTTCTTGCCTCTCACCACCACCGTCGGCCACGCCACCTCGTCGCTGGTCACCTTTCCGCCTCGCAAACATATCGAGGTCAAAGAGGAATGGAACACAGGATGCTTTAGGGGTGCCAGGTAGGTAATGCAACTTATGAACGCGACACATCCTCACTCATAAAAATCCATGTTCATCTTCTGCCATGACGTGTCCCATCCCCTGGTATCCCCCTCCTCTTTCGCTGTCGCTCTCCCTGCCGATCGAAGAAGAAAACCGTCACTCTTTCACCATCACATCACCTCCCCCGCCCAGTACGCCAGTCACGCGCTTCCAATACATGTCTGCGCGCATCATCGCCACGACAGCAGGAGCTGGCACCGCCACCAACCTTCCTTCCCCCACATTCACAACCGCGTGTTTGTAGATGGCCGACGATGGACGAGCCGTCGAGCGGGCGCAGATAGCGTCATGCGGGGGGTTGCCGTCTCGCACGCGCGACGCTGCGAGAGCACGCACGCAGGCGACGTCGTGCAATACCCCGTAATCGCTTGCATGCTAGCCAGCGACAATGCGCGCGATGCCGTGTGTCCCACTGGAGGTCTGTCCCTATGAATGTAACAACACACCCTATAGTTATAGGGCACCTTGTTGCAACATTCCCCACTGATTATAAGACTATACCTACAACAGTTTGTTGCAACGTCTGTTGCAACAAATTCCTACGGTTACAGCTACACTACTGGCCTGTCGGACATTGCCGAGCAGGCCATCGCCGTCACCAGCGTCGCCGAAACCCCGCCGCCGCCGTCCGCGACGCGCTCGTCGTCGCGCCGCCGCTCGCTCTCCGACGCGCACCCACGTGCTGCCCGTCGCGCTCCCCGACTCTTCCCACGCGCATCCCGCCGCGTCGCCCGACCATCCACCGCCCTGATGCGCGCTCGCGTCGCTTTCCCACGCCTCGCTCGCTGTGCCGACGCTCGCGCTCGTCCCTCCTCGCCGTCGCACGTGCATCCGCGAGCGCGACGCTCGGGATCGCGCCCTCGGCAGATGCCGAGAACATGCCGGGCGTGCCCTCGTCCTGGCCCTCGCGCTCGACCACGCAGCACCCGAAAGCCCGCTCTCGGCTGCCAAGGATATGCACCAGCTTTCGGGGCGCGCATCATCGGCAAATGCCGAAATCAACGCACCCCCCCTCAGAAAGAGGCGGCTTCGGTCGACGTGCACGCAGCCACCCCTACGGCCGACGAAGCGCGCGGACACGCACTTCCCGCGCCGGCCCACGCAACTGCCATCACCGAAGATGACATCGCGCACAGGACGCGTCACGTGCGCAAAGACGCGTCGCCGAAGTGACGTGTCGATGCGGCCGCAACGGCGCAAGGGCCGAACAGGGGAGGGGAGGGTAACAGGCAGTGCCGCGTGCTGTGCGCGACACGCCCTGGAGCGCGGGGGTATGGGAGGCGACTGGTGCATGTGCGGGCGACGGCTGCATTGGCAGCGCGAGTGTCGGTGAGGGCGTCGGCGAGGCGCATCGGAGAGGGCGTTGGCCAGGCGCGTCGGCAAGGCGCGTCGGCGAGGGTAAAGGCAGGGGATGTGGGCATACGCGGTGAGAGGGGAGTGTGCGGCACAACGGCCGACGCTGGGGTAGGAGGTGGTGGTGGAAGGAGACAAGGAACGGCTGCGGACGCAGCCGAACTTTTCCGAGCCCAGCACGTGACCCGGAAGTTCGGCACGCCAGCCCGCGACCTGCCTCCGCGCCACCATCGGGTAGATTGACGATCTTCTGGGCCTCTGCTCGCAATATACGCGCGAAATAATATGTATGGCCAAGTTTACAGCGCATATGACAGCAATCAATGTATCACACGTATTAAAAGGCGCGAAATGATCGCTTTGAGTAGGACTTTGCTGTTTTACAGTGAGTCAATTGAAGTGGCAGAGCGATCAACGGTCAGATGCACTACTGGTAGGTATTGAGACCCTCTCCATGCCTTCTTTCTACTATCAGCACCTACCGACAGTGGACGGAACTGCGCGCGAGCGGAGAGCGGGAGCCCGGGCCGCTTCCCGATTTACGCTGGTCGTCGTCCTCAACAACGGCTACAGCACGCGCGGGAACGTATTCGCCGCCGAGATATTTGCGTAGTCGTGTAGAGCACCTTCGAAAACGGGGTATTCTGGGTTGAAACCCAGAGGTTCGTGCATAAGAAATGTCTGTATCGGCTCGACTTACAGCAAAGCAGTCCAGTGAGTCCAATAGTCAATTCATTGTTTGCTCACCGAGTGTAAGCACACAGTTCGTGCCATTCTTGAGTTCCCCTTCCAGATCCAAAACTTGGAGTACTTTAAGTATATGCCTCTGAGTATATAAACTGGTTCTGATCTGTAGGGTAAGTCCGGGATCGTATACAATGCTCAAATCTCATGGTCATGGGGTATTTGAGTGAGCAGGCATAGGTCGAGTTGGGTACAACAGAGCAAGCCCCCTGCTGCATTAAAAGCAGGAATATATCAAGGAGGATGCAATTACATGATCTACACACTTCCCTGGATGGAGGACAGCCATGTACTTATATATCGCGTCGACATCACTGGGTTAGATCTCAAGCAAGGCCAAGAAACGGTGTTTTATTCCTTCTACCTTTGGCAGAGGGCATAAATAAGCAAATATTGGGCCTCCTTATGACAGTATACGTAGTAAAGCGTACTTCGCGTCATTTCCCCTGCGCTACACCTGCGCGCCGGCTGCGTGGAGAGGGACGCGCGCGAAGAGACGCGTCGTCGGTGTTTTCCGGGTCACGTGATCGCGCGGAACAAATTCCGTCCGCAGCCGATCGTGCCCTTTGCCCACGACCACCACCCTCTCCCTGCGAGCGAGGTGAGTGCGCGTCCTCGCGCGCTCGCCTCGACCGCCTTTCCATCCGTTTGCCACCTCCTCACCTCCCTCCTCACCTCACCTCCCGACCTCGACCCCGACCTCGACTCCGACCTCGACCTCGCCGCCCCGCTGCCGCCGCCTGCGTCCACGTCCGCCAGGGCGCTCAACAGCGCCCGTCCACATCATGCCCCACCCCCCACCTCCTCCTCTCGCCCTCCCCTGCCGTCATCGCCCTTTGACACAGGCGCTGCGCACCGCGCGCCCATGCTTTTTCACAAACGCCAACGGCCGCTCGCGCTGTCCCTGCCCCAGCATGCCGAATGGCGACGTCTCCTCATGGAGACATGAGGAACGACGTCGGCTCCATGCGGCGCGGCGCGTGCAAGAGCGCGTCGGCATCGTTGCTGCCATAGCAACGGCGACGTGGCATCTGGCGACCGCGGCGACGAGAGCGTGATCCCGACGCATCTGGGTGCTTGCCGGCGCACGCCGTCCGCTGGACCGTGTATCGCAGGCTGGCAAGCGGAGGCGCGGCTACGCCGGTTGGACGGTCCGCTCGCGCGGCACGGCCCGGTTCACGCGTTGGCCGAGGTGGAGCAGTGCGCGCTGCGCAATCCGACGAATGCGAGCGCGTACGGGCACTAGCCGTGTATGCGCAGCTCGACGGCCAGCGCGGCGCGAGGGTACGACGCTCGAAGCTTGCTCGGCGCGTCCTCGGCATCTGCCGAGGGCGCGATCCCGAGCGTCGCGCTCGCGGATGCACGTGCGACGGCGAGGAGGGACGAGCGCGAGCGTCGGCACAGCGAGCGAGGCGTGGGAAAGCGACGCGAGCGCGCATCAGGGCGGTGGATGGTCGGGCGACGCGGCGGGATGCGCGTGGGAAGAGTCGGGGAGCGCGACGGGCAGCACGTGGGTGCGCGTCGGAGAGCGAGCGGCGGCGCGACGACGAGCGCGTCGCGGACGGCGGCGGCGGGGTTTCGGCGACGCTGGTGACGGCGATGGCCTGCTCGGCAATGTCCGACAGGCCAGTAGTGTAGCTGTAACCGTAGGAATTTGTTGCAACAGACGTTGCAACAAACTGTTGTAGGTATAGTCTTATAATCAGTGGGGAATGTTGCAACAAGGTGCCCTATAAGCATAGGGCATGTTGCAACATTGGTCCTGCCATAGGTGCCCACTGATGACGCGGGACTGAGCGCGTGGGTGCTAGACAAGGTTTCAGCGGAGGCGTTCACGGCGAAGGTTGCGCGAGGGTACTGCGGTGACCACGCGGCGCTCGAACCACTTCGATACCGTCGCGGTTGCAGTAGTGTGCTCTGCGGCCGGGAAGGGGTGTGCACGAGCCCGGCGACTCGACGTCGTGACGAGTGAACGGAGACGCTCCACTGGCCTGCAGAGCGCATTCGCGCGGAGCAGCGGTGTTGATGGCACAGGCGATCACGCAAGGTCGTGGCGGGACGTTCAGTTGCCTACGACGATTCTGCGCGTGTCAATGGGGACGTGCAGACGGGAAGGGAAGCGCGCAGGCGCGACACGTGAGGACGGAGATACGGCCCGGGAGGCGCGACGGAGGAAGCACGGGCGATCACCGTGCTGAGCGGGTCGTACGGCGCAATGAGCAGCGGGTGCCGACGTTGACAGGAGCGCTTCCGTCGACGTCGGCAGGCCCCTGTCCGCGGCGCTGTGTTTCACGGTGGCTATCGATCGCGATGGCCGCATAGCCGAGCATGACGGGCATTGCGCGGGGCACGAGCCCGGAGCGTCAACGCGCTTCCCCGTGCCTAGGTGTCGCGGTCGTCACATCGCGTGGTGCCTCAAGGCTCAGGAATGTAGGTTCGTATCCTATCTGTCGTATATAGCACCGATATACCCGTTTCCTCACATACAAAAAGCGGGAATTGCAAGGGAACCCATGGTAAACCCAGGTATACTCCACCTGAGTGTATAACAAGATACGGCCTATGGGTAACGGCCAGTAAACACTGGGTATATTGTAATACACCCCCCTTTAATCACAGGGTATAACTAGATATACACCCGGACTATGGTGCAGCAGCGTCTACGCGCCACCCGGGAGGTGAGGGATCACCTTGGGGGCGATCCCGCGTGAGAGGAGGGGAAGGGAGGTGGGGGAGGGGTGATGTGGTGTACGACGTGTGTATGGGGTAGAGGGGGGTGAGGGGGATAGCGGCAGAGCGATAGGGGGAGTTCCCCGGTACGCACTACATGGCCTAGATGAGCTCCCCGCGCCCTTGGTCATGGTCCGAGGGCGAAGATGGTGGAGCGCGGGCTTCATTAGCCCTTCTCTTCTCGCCTTCGCGCAATTTGCGCGTCTTCTTCTCGTGGTAAATTAGTGATAGACAAGCGCGGGGCATATTCACGCACCCGCTCTCCTCCTCCTCGCGCCCAAGAGGGCTTTGGTCGTTATCGTTACTCGCAAGGCGGCGCTGTTTGTTGCAAAGCGATCGTAGCCGGAGGCGGGCACTTCTGTCCTGCCAGCTAATGCTGTAAGCCTGGTTTAAACCCGAACCTATACTGACGTACTGTGGGTTGAAATCCCACGACGCGGTTGTCGGGCCCGGCAAACGCCGAGCTGCCCGGCCTCCTCTCGGTGCCAGCGCCCTTCGGCATGCCCATATATGGTTCCGAGACCCCTAGATATGCCGTAGAATAGCGTGGGGGCCATCCGGAGCATGTGGGGACCCCCCTAACATTGGTCGGCGCATATTCCACATTATATCTAGCGAAAATTATGCCTCGGCGGCGATTTCCGAGCGACTTGTGCGTTGTGGGTCCAGTCCAATTGTGGGTCCAAAATGAATATATTAAATATCACCATAATCCTCGCCGTCGTCGGCCCCCTCCACGAAAATCTCGGGCTCATCATCTAGCTCGCCCTCCTCGCCCTCTATCCGCTCCTCCTCCGCGTCCTCCGCGGCCTGTACAGCATCCATCAAGCGCTGTGCCTGCGCTTCGCTCACCTTTGTCACCCCGCGCAAATCCACCCACAGCGCCTCAAAATGTTCGTGCAGGCGGCGGTACATGTCCCGCTGACTGTAGGCGTATGCGCGAGCGCCCTCGCCTAGTGGACCCGGGCGCTCGTCCGCGGTAGCTAAACCCTCCCACCGCGCGGCCTCGAACTCTAGCGACTGGAGAGTGCGCCGCATCTCCTCTTGTAGGAGCGGGACCTCTTCCGACCATCGCTTGACGCGGGCGTACGCCTTACAATATTCAACCTTGATTCCTAGAGGTGATTTCAGTTTAGCAGCAAATTGCGATGAATATATGCTTACCTGCATAGAGCGCATTGCCCTCCGACTGCGTCGTATCGACGCCCTTCCAGATCCACGAAATCTTCCGGCGCCCCTCCCCCGTCGCGTCCCGGCATTGCTGGAGATGACCGCCAGCCCCTGCGCTCTCGCTCGCGCCCTCACCCTCGCCTTCGCCGACCTCGTTACCCTCGCGCGTACGCTTTTTCCCCCGCCTCCGGCTGTTGTCGTCCTCCTCCATGCAGCGGACATCCTTGTTGATATCAAGCGAATGCCACGACACCTTTGACGGGTCTCCATCCGCCAGGCTCAACAGGGCGGCGCGGGCGGCGACGTACTTGCACGCCTGTCGCCGCGTCTTCTCGTCGTTCTTGCTCAACGTAGCGCGAGCGCGCGTATTGGGCCCTTGATTCCGCACGTTTGTGTTCTTGTACGTGAGGAGGCGCGACTTGACGATGAGCAGGTTGCGGATCGCGTCGAGTGCAGTGCGGCACTGCGCGTGGCGTAGCCGAGACTCGACGGTAGTAACGTCGTCCACGCACCGCGCGCGTTCGCTGGGCGTCAGTGAAGACGGGGGAAATAGTGGGGTGCGCTCGGGGGGCTCGTCTGCGTTGCGAGGGTCGGCTTTCCAGGCGGCGAGGCGCGTCAGGGAGTCCGGCGTGTACTTGGCTTGCATCTCGTTCAGCTTGTTGAGTGATCTTGCCAGCTTCGTTCGTTTGCGAGAGAGTTCCGCCTGCTGCGCCGCACTTTCGAACTTCGCCGAGCCAACCTCGAGCCGTAAGTTTCGCCTAGAGTGAGTTAGCGCTGGATAAGTAGAAAGGAGATGGAAATACTTACTGCTCATGCTCGACATCCAAGAGCGCGAGCAGGAATGAGCTAGGCGGCATTTCGTGGCAAAACTCGAGGCCTTCGCGAGCCTTCGCAGCTTCCTCGTTGGCTAGCTCCAGCGCAACGTCTGCCTCGGAGGACCCTTAGGAAAGTGTCAGTTTCTCAACGACGAAGACAAGCAAGTAACGGGCGCACCTGTTTTGGGAAGCTCGAATGGGTTCTCGCTCTTCGAGTCGTGCACCACCTCGCTCTCGAACTTGTCAACCTCGGCCTCCCAAGCTGCCGTATGTCCGCCCTGGCCTTTCCGGAACTCGGCGAGCTCTGCCTCCTGCGCTGCCAGTTCAGCAAGCGCGGCAATGAGGCGCCGGCGTAGCAACACGCCCAGGCCGATGAGTTTCAGCCAGTTCCAGTGGCCGAAGTGGTCGTCGAGTGTGTCGGCCGCGCTTCCTGGGCCCATCTGGCGCAGGCTTGCGCATAGGATCCCCAGGAAGCTCCAAGGGCGCTCCACGCCCTCTCCGTCCGTTCGCGCGACGCCCAGAGTCCAGTTCAAGTTGAAGAGCAGCTGGCAGGCTAATTTATGCCCGTGTATATGCAGCTTCGGGATGACGAAGCGTACGTAGGCGAAAGCTAACTTGAAGCGGACGAGGGGCGGCAACTGGGACATGCGTTCCTTGAACTTCTTCGAGTATTGACAGCAGATATCGTAGGAGAGCACGAGGCGGAGGGCGGCGGAGTGGTGGCGCAGGAGCGAGCCTAGCGCATAGTCAGAGTTCGCATATCTGCACAACTTGTCAATAGGACGGCGCGGCGCGTACTCAGACAACCCACCTCTCGCCGACTTGGGTGGGGACGACGCCGTTGCGCTGTACAAACTCGTGGCGGGCGCAAAGTCCCATCATCTTCCCCGTCTCCGCATAGCCCTTGGAAAACTTCGTGTTGGCGTGGTCTACGGCAGAAAGCCCAGTACAAGTACTGATCTAGCCAAAGGTAAGCTTTTCATACAAAACGCGCTGCGACAGCAAATACATACGTCCGTCTGCTCCTTCGCGGTACTGAGATACTCCTCAAAGGGGCCGCTCTCTGCGAGATACGACCCGCCGTCCGCCAAGGAGGGGTCGCGCTCGCGAGTAGAGATCTTGCGCCGTTTGAGGCGGAAGCAGGCGTCCAAAGCGATGAACAACGTATAAAGGTACCTATCAGAATGTGAGCGCAGAACACATACGCAAGGCGCGCGTCGCTTACTTTTGCTCCGCCGGCGCACTCTCCCACCCTGCCGGCAAGTTCACGCCAGGCCGCGGGCAGGCGGGGCACGCAATGCCAAGCTCGCCCGGCCGTATGTCAGACGGCGGACGCTCTTGATCGTTCGCGCGGCCGGAGCGCTTCAGCGCCTTGAGATACCTCCAAATCCTCACGCAGCGGAGGAACGACCTGTAGCGATCCTGAATCGAACGTCAGCTCATTCAAATGGCGAAGTAAAAGGAAGCACTGACAGGTAATCCATACGTCCCTGGGTTATCCGTCATTCGCTCCAGGCTCGTGTAATAGTCGTACGCGGTGATCTTGCCATTGAAAGTGAGCAGTTGGAAATGATTCAGAACGTCGAAGGTGCAGCACGTCTGAGGGTCGCGGACGGTGGCTGGAACTAGCCCATGGCGTAGCAGCTGCTCGCGATGATGGACGGCGTCGGCGGGGGGTTGGCAGCCGCAAAAATCGATCGCGACGCTGTGAATGCCGTTGACGTGGACAACAGTGAAGTCGACGTTGCCGCGGTGAGGGCAGAGGCATGCCTCGCCTTCTGGGTGCCCGACTTGTACACGAACGCCCATCTCCTTGAGAGAGACCGGCTCAAAGCAAACGCCGTTCCACTTCTACGGTCCAAGTCAGACACCCGCGCAGACCGGCGAAGGTAAGGACGCACCTCGATACGGCAGAAAGGGCTCTGCTGATGCTTCGCAAGACAGCATGCGCGACAGTATAAGCCGCCTCCAAAGCAGGTAGCGCATCGATATGTCGGAGGCTCGGCAGCATCTTGCCCGGCAGCGCACCCTGGACAACAGCGCTCGGCTTCATAGCCCCTTCCCTCACGGAATAGCATGGCGCGCGCATACTCGTCGGCCGCCACAGACTTGAACTCAAGTAATGGCTCATCCTATTCCAGGTCAGTCAGACGTACGAGAGTGGGGGACCGTTACGCACCGAAGGGTAGTATTTCTTCCTGCGACTTTTGCGGCGCGCCCCACCCTTCCCTTTCTCAATATGCATGCCGGCGAGAGTGACATCCACAACGTCGGGTTCGAGAGATGAGAGCTCAGTTGTGTGAGAGTCGTCAAGAGAGCCTGGAAGGGGCGCGGTGGTCTTGGGTGGCGACGGCGGCTCTGCGCGCGTAGTCCGTTGCTTGCGCCGCTTGCGATCGCGGCTCAGCTCTTCAGAGACTGCCTCGACAGGACGGGGGGAGCATACAAACGAGAGGTCAAAGGTTTGGACCGCAGATTTTCTTTTCTTTGAGGACATTATCGCGCTTGGGGGAAGGGTGATCGGAGTTCCCGACGCGCTCGCGACGCGTAACGGATGTGACTGGTCGCGTCAAGTCAACGTGACAAGACGCGAATTCCTTTTTTAAGCGCGTCTGTTGACTTCAAGGCTTGTCCCGCACCAACGCGACATTTCGACGGCGCCCGCAACAAGATGCTGGGTTGGTTGAAGGATCTTCTCAACGGTGCGTATCTCAGCTCAGCGCCACAGCCCTCGGCTGGCAGGGCGCGCCTCCTCCGCCCCCCTCGGTTCACACACAACGCGCACCACGCCTCTACCACCTATGCCCACAGTGAGGTATTGGAAGCGTGCGCGCTGTGTTTGATCTGAGGGAGGCGATGAAGCGCGCCCTGCCCATCGTCGGCCTTGACGCCACTTGCGGGGATGGGTCTAATGCAAGCCCAGAACACGTCAACCTCCGAAGAACACGCTCGGGGGCTACCTTCAGCTCGTTCTACACTGTCAACAACCCCGACTTTGATCTCGACGCGCTTCTGGAGAAGCGATGCGATGAAGAACAGGACGAAGCGGATCTCACCGGCGCGGATGCGGTAGCGGACCCACCATCTGGCACGCCATCCCCCCTGTCCTCCCTTCCACCTTCGCCCTCAAGCTCTCGCTCCCCTTCTCCCCGGCCGAAGGAGGCGAAGCGCCCGCGCCTGGATACCCCCGCCACCCCACCCTCCGCCCCTCCGCCCCCCGCCACTTCATCCATCAACCCCGACGTGCACAAGGCATCAAAGAAGAAAAGATCAAGGGGGGACCGGCAGAAGAAAGCGCAGATGCGCGCCGCCGGACGCGACTGGACGGCGCCCACCCCAGGCGCTTTGCGTAACTCCCGTCACCTCGTAAGCGCGTCGTTCGTGGGCGTCGACCTCGACTGGCAAGCCCAACCCGTCACAAGAACCGGCTTTACTGCACTGCGCGACGACGGTGAAGAAGACGTCTACGCGCTTGAGGACTTCTTTGGGCCAAACCCCGTATATTACGGCTTCAAGCTCGTGGAGTGGGATGGACGGTGCGCACCCCGCCCCTGAGTACCGCCCCCTCGCTGACTAGCATCGACAGGGAGACGTGCGGCATCTGCTCACAGGATGAGCGGGTGTTTGGCGTTTGTGCTGGGCACCCCGACGATCCCGACTGGCACAAGGTTCACAAGGCCCTTGCCGACGCGATCTGCAAGTGCGGCGAGAGCGTCAAGTTCCCCAAGGACGCCCGGGAGCACCGCCGTGGCAAGTTCGGCGCGCAGGCGTGCGGTGTATCACACGGCGGCGGGCAGACGGTAGGCTCGCGACGGCCGCACCGCCTCCGAGTTCCTGACGGCTTTCCAGGCCCCTGCAAACCTCAAGCACACGCCCAAGATGGCCGCCATGTTGACGTACCTCATAAACCTCACCGCCATGATTCGCGTTGCGCACTTCGCCTCCTGTGAGTACCGCTCGCCCACCCCATCCAGAGCACTAATGTCTCGCAGCCGTCTTCTTTAACTGGGCCCCGCGCCTCTGGCTTTTCTACGCAAAGCACATGCAGACGATCTTCGAGCACGACCCCACCCTCGAGCGCAACTTCGCGCAGAGCGTCTGGGCGTGCATTACCATCAACTTCGGGCCCCGTACCATGACCTACAAGCACCGCGACTTCGGCAATCTACCCTTCGGTTGGTGCGCAATCACGGCCCTCGGGAAGTTCGACCCAAATCGCGGCGGCCACCTCATACTCTGGGAGTGCGGCCTCGTCATACGTTTCCCCCCCGGTTCGACCATCATCATTCCATCCGGCATCATCCACCACTCGAACATCAAGATCGCGGAGGACGAGACTCGCTACAGCGTCACTCAGTACACCTCCGGCGCGCTTTTTCGGTGGGCGCAACACGGGTGTAAGCTCGACGAAGACTTCTACTCGTCCCTCACACCTAGCGAGTACGCGCGCGAGAAGGAGCGGAACAAGAATCGTTGGAGGGAGGGGGCCCGCCTTTGGTCGACAATTTCTGAATTGCGCAGCGGCGCGACGGAGCGCGTAGATACGCTCGACAGACCTGTAGCATAGACGTAGACGTGTAGCCCCTGGAATATACTATCCGACGTAGTAAAGCACTCTGAATATCTGTCCGAGAGTGAGAAGTGGCGCGCTTGAGCCGCAGTGAGGCGGCGCGTGTAGTAGCCCACTAACCCTTCAATTTGTGGGTACTCGAAGCAGATCTGTGATTAGGCGAAGATGGCGGGGATGTCGTGCGGCTGCCATATGTCCCATAGAAGGATCGCGCAACAATCAGGCGCGATGTACCCACCGACATGAGAATATCGATGCTTTCCAGCTCGTACAAGCCCGCATCAATCTCATGTACGAAATCAAGCCTCACCCAACACATTGCAGGCATAAACATACTCGCTGAGTCTTCCCCCCCGGTAAAAAGCAAGAGTACAAGTCTTATGGTCCCTACCTACCGTTTGGTACAGTAATTTAGCGCGGGGGAGGCTCGAATGCCATAGAATAGACGATTGTGTTTGGCCGGCGGTCCCAAATTGTGACTTAACGGTCCCAAATTGTGACTTAGGCGCTCGGCCCGGGCAGTCCGTACCCCCGCCGCGGCCTGTTGTTCCTTCCCACCATCAATCATGTCCGCTGAGAAGAGGGACTCGAAGCGTCGCTGTGCTTCCAAGAAGGCATACTACGAGCGGTGTGTACCCACTTAAGTCTCTTATCTACGCGGTGTTGATGAAATGCGACCAGCCACAAGGAGCGTCTGCGAGAGGAAGCGCGTCGGAGAGCAGCGCAAAAAAGGGACGAAGGCACCAAAGTAGCCCAGCGTCAATGTCAGAAAGATTACCGCGAGAGGAATGCGTGGATTCTGCAACTGCGACGTCTGAATCGCTATCGAAAGTGCGTCGCTGTGGTTATGTCAATCGCATGCAGTTCTGACTTTATGTAGGATATACATCCAGGAGAATGGAGTTCAGGCGTTCCGAGAGCGCTTTGTGTCGCGCCTCTCGCGGTCGTCACGCCAAGCTATTCCGAAGGGCTATCTGCTCGAAGACCACGACGATGAGGTCCTCGAGCCAATCTATACGTACTATCATCACCCGCCCCCTCTGTAACGAAGTCTTATCTTCAATTTGAACACAGTATACACGTCCCCCTCGCGGCAGCTAGGCCCTTGTGACCAACACCTGGCGATGGCCGCGCAGTGCATGTGCGTGGGTCCGCGCGCGATTTTCACACGCGGCGCTCTTCCTTCCTCCCCCCATGATCTTTCCCTACCTCTGCAGAGCTCGATTCTACACAACCCCGACGCCCCTCGCCAACACAGGCTCCAGCGTGTACATTTCCACTGAGGGAAAGAAACCAGGGATATACGCCGATTAGTGCGTCAACGTGCTACGGCTTCGCGGCAGGCAACTGACTATTTGAACAGCTCAACTGCGAAACGGAACGGCAATCCCTTCGCCCAGAGGCTCTCAAGCCCTGCCGTTGGTATAATCGAATGGGAGCTGCACTGCCGCAGCGAGCATGGGGGCCACGAGCAGCCGCCTCCCCTCCCGACCAACTGGTATGGCATCCGACCCTGGGCTAACTGGCGCCGCCGAGTCAACGACTCAGGCAATTCATACGTGAAGGTCAACGAGGCGGAGCTTGAGGAGCAACTGGAGGCTCTACGGCGTTCGGTGCGCGAGCAGGAGATGCAGGACGATCCTGCTAGCTTCGCGCCGCCACCCCCCGAAGCGCCGGCTGTAGAGCCGGAGGATGAGGAGGAGGGCGAGGGTGACGACGGCAACGACGATGAGGAGGCCTACGCCCGCGCGGAAGCCCGCCAGCTCGGCCGCTCCTATCGAGCTCAGCGCCAGGATGCCGCGGATGAAGGCGAAGACTTTGGTTTCCCCTCCATCTCGACTGCGCGGGCAACCGCCCATCGCTCGGTACCCTCCTCCCCCCTCAAGTCCTCGTCCGCCGCTCGTGCTTCGTCAGCTCGGCCTGCCCAGCGTGTGCCCGCTGTGACGACGAGCGCGCGTTCCCCACGCCCCTCACCGCAACCTTCCTCGTCCAAGGGTTCGCGCCGAACTTTCCCCGCGCCGGCTCCGATCAAGGCGAGCGCCTCAGCTCTTGGCGCGGGCATCAACGTCTCCGCCCGCATTGTGACCAGCGCTCCGGGGCCCAGCACCTCAAACACGCGCGCGCGCTCATCTTCCCCTCGCAAGGCCGATCGCTACGTTCCCACCCTCCCGCTCTACGACGAGGACAGCTCCGAGGGGGAGGAGGCTCGTCACGAGGTGGCGCGCTCCTTTGTGGTTTTCGCCGAAGGCCTTCGCCCTCGTAGCTATGGGTCGTAGTAGGTCCCACGTCCTCCCTTTCCTTCACACATCTAACGTTCTTCTAGCTCAATGGCTAATGCGCGTGTTCGTGAGCTGCGCGGCCTCGGTATTTCTGCTCATTGTGACATCTTCGAGAACGACGAGGAGGCCGAGGAGGCGATCTTTGCTGCGTAGTCCATTCTTTGTATTTGTCATGAATATATTGTGCATGCTGTTTCAACTTCTTGTGCTTATGGACATCTGCGGGCAGGTCTGTTTCCTTAGAGACAGCGCCACCGGGTTGCGAGGTGAAGGTACGCATGCGTGACATTTGTGACTTGACGCGCTCAGACCGCCTCTCGCCACCCCCTGCGTGAAGCCTCATCCAGACACCTTCCACTCGCCTCTGCTCCTCTTCGCGCGTCCGGTACGATATGGGAAGAAGGAAGAAGAATGCCACGGCGGACCCTCCCAAGCCCTGCGGTAACCCCGGCATCTGGCATGGCGCGCGAAAAGACTTTCTCCTCGGCTGGTTGAACGCCTTCTTCGACTGGGGCCATAGCCAACGCAAGAAGTTCTTGGAGGACGTCCTAGAGGCGTATCTCGAGCTATTCCCGTATCACTTTGCGGATGGCCCGCCCGAATTATCGCCGGACGCGACGGATGAGGAGCGTGCAGCGGCGGAGGAAGCCGCGAGGAAGCGCGCCAGAATCGAGGCTGCAGCGGTACGTCGCCGTTCGAACTCGTACGCTCCCCAGCTGACCGTCCTTTTCAGCAAATCAAGTCGTGGTTCAAGAACCAGGGGACGAAGGCCAATGCCGTCAAGAAGAAGCCTTACAACAGCTTCCTTACAAAGAATCTCCTCAAGGCTGCCGCCATGCAGAAACCGCGCCACACCCAGCTCACGAAGATGTGGATGAAGCAACCCGAGAACCGCCCGAGGGTCAATGCGGAGTTCGAACAGAAGTGGCCGACCGCCGGTCTTCCCAGCACGCACGAAGTTTCCTACCGTGTCAAAGTCGCGCGGGAGCTGTTCGAGCTCGAGGGCAGGGAAGTCAAGGAACGAATTCAGCAGCTCGTGGAGGAGGAGCACCAACGTCGGATCGCCGCCTATGAGAAGCTCGCAGACGGGGACGAGGAGCTCACACCGGAGGCCATAGACCTGTGAGTATCTGCTAGTTCGTAGCGAGGTAGCCCTGACGTTTGTTAGATTTCGCGAGAACTTGGCGGCTCTGCTCGAGCCTCTGCTCGAAGAGGTGCTGCGCCTATGCAACCTCACCACCGGCTCCATTCTCCTTGCGCGCCCTCCATCTCGCCCGGGCGAGAAAATGGAGTTTCTCTCGTGAGTGTTCGTCGCCTATGTGATGGGCTCGCAGCTGACGCGCCTTAGGTACCATGTTGGCCGGACCGTTGCAAGTGAGGGAAACCTGAAGTTACCGGACTTCGAGCCCGAAATCTACGCGGATATATTTATACGGCACTTCATGCGCTTTGCGGTGCGCACTACCGGTACGTTCTTCATGCACGCGCGTCTACTAGAATCCAATCTGACCTTTGTATAAGATGAAGGAGCGGCGTTGAACCGGGAGCAGGAGGCCGCCAATCGAAGCTCCGCCGCCTTCATGCAGCCAGGCCCCCCTCAACGACGTCAAGAAGTCGACGAGAACACTTCCGAGCGTCAGGCCGGGCCATCGCGGTCGCGTCGTCGTGATCGCCGCAAGCGCACCCGTCGCACTCGCAACATCGATGACGCGGAGCTCTCTGGCGAAGAGACGCCGGTGTCGGAGCCCGAAGGCAGCAGCAGCGACTCGGAAGACGAGAGCGAGGAAGAGGTCCCCTTGGCGACTCTGCTCAACACGGCTGCAGCGTCCAGCAACCGCACGTCGACATCGAGCATACCAACCGACGACTACGGCATCCCCCTTCGCGATGCCCAGGGGCGCGCCTTCCCTGCAGACCTCCGCGAGTATCTATCGCGGATGTCTGCAGACAACCGTTCGCGCACGCTCACCGACCTCGACAAGTGCAGCCGGTACGAGTTCGACCGGCACTGTCAAATCGCTCGTACGCGCCTTGCAGTCCGACGCGAGCTTGAACAGTCCGGGCTACTCCACCGAGGCGACCCGTTCTATGGCGAAGTCACGCCGAAGAAGGTTGTCCCTAGCGCGGAAGATCACCCTCCCTCGCCCACCACTCCAACTCGCGCACGCGGGACTAATTGCGACGACGACCGGTCCCTCCACGGCAATGCGGGTTCGGAGCGGAATGGCATGGATGGCCGGGGCGATGAGGGGGAACCCGACTGGAATGGCAGTGGCAACGAGGTCGGCGGCGCGAACGCCGTCGACGAGAACGGCGCTGGCTCGCGCGGCGTGAGAAAGAGCGGCCCCGGGCGAGGCGGCAGCGACGAGGAGGACGAAGGTGGCGATGGCGGCGCCGGCAGCGGGGGGGAGGACAGCGACGACGAAAGCGACGGTGACGGCAACCGCGACGGCGACGGTGACGGCGACGAGGAGCAGCAGCGCGACGATGAGCTGCCTCCTGAGCTCTTAGCCGCGCTGGCGCGCGCAGCGAGTCCTAGCGCGCTCGAACCCCCGCGCCGGCGCCGCGCGGCCACCCCTACACCTCCACCTTCGCATGAGCCCGGAAGAGCGAGCGTCCGCAATCCGAATGAAGGCCCCGGGCAGACCGACGGGCTCGCCGCCGACGAGCAGGTTGGTGCGCCGTCCACGCACAACAGCGTCAACTCGCTCGACCGCAACTCGCTCGAACGCAGCACCCGCAGCGTGAGCAACAACGCTGCGGCCTCTTCGCGCATCGTCGCCACTGCCGCCGATGAGGATGCCGGAGAGCGTGGGACACAAGACGAAGACGCCGTGATGCACGATGTGGACGGTCTGTCGGAAACGGCGCGGGGGCTTAGCGGGGGGGAGGGCGGGGAGGATGCGGGTGCGGGTGCGGGTGCGGGTGCTATGACCGGACATCCCGCGGGTGTCGCGACTCACCTGGCTGACGAGAGCGGTCGAGAGGGCTCGGCGTCGGGTATGAAGCGACGTCGCGGGGGTGGAGAGGGGAGCGGGAAGGGGCGCGAGGGCGCTGGTCATCGCGGCGGCCAAGGCGGGGGCTCCAAGCCGCGCGCGGTCAGCGTCTTCGCCGCCGATCGCAGTGAATGGGAGGACTGGTTCAAGCTCGCCGTCGACAACCTCGTTCTCGAGAATGCCGACGGCTCGGTGCGCGCCGCCTGGGACGAGCTCTTGGGCGCGTGGTGGGAGATTGAGAGGCGCAGGGGCTATAAATCGGTACGTTGTTCCTTTTCTCTTCTCATTTCTTGCCAGCTGACGAAGTTCTCCAGAAAGACCTCCTTCCGCATAGCAGCCGCCGTCCACCCGCCATCGGGGAGTGGATCAAGCGCGCTCGCGTTCCCTCATATGCTCCGAAGCCCGGCAAGAAGCAACCTATTCAAGATTTCGTCGAGGACTGGGCGAGCGCCATGTGGGCGTGGTGGTCCGACATCAACCCACCCTGGCGAAAGCGCGAGAAGAACGGCACGGTGGCAGGGCGCCAGCGCGGCGACTGGACTTCGCTCAATTGCGGCGGGCCGAACAGCCACCTGAACGTCCTTAAGGGCCTGAAGTGGTGGTTCGACATGGAGGGGAAGCCCGAGGGATCAGCGCCGTGGCTCAAGCTCGTGAAGGACGTGCAGTGGGTCCTCGCCAGCGTCCTAAAGGATCAAAGGTCAGTACTGAGCTGATTATTTGGTAATGTCATGCTGATCTATCTTCTAGGGATGCTCAAGACCTCCCCGAGCGCCCAGCGAAGCGCAAGAAGGTGTAGATGCTCCTCTTCATGCTGCCCCCTTCACATTATCCATTGTTCTTGCTCGAAGTACCCGCTGCCCACCTCTTTTGTTCTGCTATCAAGGCTCCTCCCTGTTTTTTTTGACTATTTTCTGTGCTGTATATCGGTATTTTGATGTTTGGAACGTCCTTTCTCCCCTACATACATTGTATCTCTTTCTATACCCCCAATTCCAGCGATGCTCTGCCTGGAAGAATGGACCCACAAGTCGGAGTGGACCTACAACTCGCGTGTGGCACGGAAATTGCCGTCAAAACCGGAATTTGAAGGAAAATCAGGCATTTAAGGATTTTGAGGGTATTTCTATTCATTTTACGAGCTCCTGGAACAAGCCACGGGTTGATCAAGGCTCTCGGAACCATATAAGGATATTTCGGAGGGTGTTGAGGCCGAGAGAAGGCTGGGCAGCTCGGCATTTGCCGGGCCCGACAACCGCATCGTGGGGTTTCAACCCGGATTACGTTAGTATAGGGGCGGGTTTAAACCCGCCCTACTGCACAAGGTGGTCCTGCGCGTTTGATAGAGGGGGTGGGGATGAAGAGAGAAGGGAAGGCGGGGGGGGTCGATGGAGGCGGCGCGTTCGTGGTCGAAGCTCAAGAAACGATCGAGGGCGCGGGATGGGCGGTCCAGCCGGCCGATCCGGCACATTAGGCCACGTGAACCCAACGTCTACCAATCACATGTCACGCTTCCATGTGACGAGTGGACGTGTCCGGGACGCGTCCCACAGTCACGTCACACCTGGGGTGAGAGCGCTGCGTGTCGATATATGTCTGACTGGAGTGCTAACAGACTGTTAATTGCGACTCAGTGTACATTGATTGTCATCTGGGTTGTAATATTGGTATGTTGTAGCTTGTAATTCAGGCTAGAGTATGCAAGCAGGATTTAGGCATGGCAGTACTGTCCTACGAAGCAAGGAGGGAAAAGAGCTAGGGCACCTAATATCTGCTGCAAACCATGCCTAGAAGTCAGTGAAACCCTTCAAACAAACAACCAGAAAATATTGACAGCTCCAACTCTGACGGCAAGCACATGCCAGGAAATATTGATGGGATCAGCAAGCGCCTGCCCGGAATAGCAGCAAGCGTCTGCCGGGAAAGGCAGGGGTGACAGAAGCCTGTGACAAGATCAGCAAGCGTCTGATGGGACTCACAAGCGTGTGACGGGAATGGCAGGAAACTACTGATGGGATCACAAAAAGCTTCCCAGGAAGTGTGCGACCAGTGTGCGACCGGTGTGCGACCGCGTGAGGCTGGGTGGTACGCTCCCTGGCCGAATGGTGGACCATGTCACAACTAAAGACGAGTCCTAAGAGCACATCAATCCTATAACACAAGGCCCCCGTACTGAGAAAAATGTCACCCAGCATCCTATGTCTGACACCAGCCGCCACCCGAGAAATATTGATGGGATCAGCAAGTGTCTGCCCGGAATAGCAGCGAGCGTCTGCCCGGAACGGAAGCGTGTGACGGGAATGGCAAGCGTCTGAAGGGAATCACACGCGTGTGACAGGAATAGCAGCAAACTACTGATGGGATCACGAAACGCTTCCCAGGAAGTGTGCGACCAGTGTGCGACCACTGTGCGACCAGTGTGCGACCAGTGTGCGACCGGTGTGCGACCGCGTGAGATTGCGCGGAGCCCTGCATGGTGGATTGGTGGACCATGTAGCAACTAAAGAAGAGTCCTAAGAGCACCTCAATAGTATAATGCAAGGCCCTGCACTGAGAAAATCTCACTCAGCATCCTATGTCTGACACCAGGCGCTGCCCAAGAAATATTGAGCAAGCGTCCACCCGGAATAGCAGCGAGCGTCTGCCCGGAAAGGCAGGTGTAACGCAAGCGCGTGACAGGATCAGCAAGCGTCTGATGGGAATCACAAGCGTGTGACGGGAATGGCAGGAAACTACTGATGGGATCACAAAACGCTTCCCAGGAAGTGTGCAACCGGTGTGCGACCAGTGTGCGACCGTGTGCGACCGGGCCAAAACTCATTTTCTCGCGGCTATTGCGCTGCACACGACACTGAACGTGGTATTCCTAACTCTAACAACACTTTGGCTCAGCATACCTGCCCAAAACATCCAAGAAAAGAGTGGAGGGTGAGATGGCGAAGAGTCCCGGCATTTGCCGAAGCGTCTGATGGGAGGCGGTAACGTGTGGCCGGAAACCGCTGACGTCTGATGGGAATTTGCAAACGCCTGATGGGATTCCGGTGAGACGCCTGGCACTTCTTCGCCCAATATCTCTACCTTCCCGGACTTTCTAACCCTAACAAACATGGGCGCTACCAGGTTATCGATGTCTGCGCGTCGAATGGCACCGGTTTCAGCCTGATCGGAGAAAATTGATGGGATTGATCCAGGCGCGCGCTTGGAATCGGGCAGAAGGTTAGAGCCCGGCGATTGTAGAGCACCCCCTCGCGCTCAAAGTAGAGCGCCCCCTTGCGCTCAAAGCAAGGCGCTCCCTCGCGAGACGTAGGGCGCACCCTCTTGGGCGCTCAAAGTAAAGTCGCTCACCGTCGCGCATGCGAATGTAGAGCGCGCCCCCGCTCGCGAAAACTAATGCTTCCCTCCCTCGCTCGCGCTCAAAGTAAAGCGCACCCGTCGTCGGCGAGAAGTAAAGCGCACCCTCGCGCTCGAAAAGTCAAGCGCCCTCGCTCGTGTGAAGTAAAGCGCTCCCTCGCGCGGAAAGTAGAGCTCTCCCTCGCCCGAGCGAATTTAGAGCGCACCCTCGCGCGTGCGAAGTCAAGCGCACCCTCGCGGGCGACAAAGCAAAGCGCACCCGGCGCACGAGCGAATGTAGAGCGCCCCATCGCGCACCTGCGAAGTAGAGGGCACCATCGCGCGAAAAGTAGGGCGCTCCATCGCGGGCGAAGTAGAGCTCTCCCTCGCGCGCGAGCGAATGTGGAGCGCACCCGGCGCGCGTGGATTGAATAACCCGATGGTTTCTAGACCTAGTAAGGGCCTTACGAGGGATAAACAACCCGCGGTCATTTCCTGCAGTTTTCATCCACCCTTGGGGAACGGTGAGCGCCAGATGAGATGTGCGATGGGTGAAGGGGAGGGCTGGAGAGGGAGGGCTGGAGAGGGAGGGCTGTGTGAGAGTGCTCGGTGACGCCCTCCGCCTTTGCTCTTCCCTTCCCTCACCCTCCGCGCAACCAACTCACTCCCTCCTCCGCGCCGCTCCCTACACCCTCGACGCTCATCCTCAACGCGTCTCTGCGCGATCAACAGATTGGCGATCTCCGCGCTCCTCCGCGCCGACGACGACGCGCAGCCGTGCATACGACGCTCCCTCCTCCGTGCGCCCCACGGCGAGCGAGGGAGATGCGCAGCCGCGCGCGCTACGGGCGCGACGGTGACACGCAGCCGCGCGCGCCACGGGGGTGAATGCGAGGTGAGGAGGAGTGGGGCGGTGTATGGCAAGGGATTCAGTGTCGGGTGAGAGGGACGGCGGGGCAGGAGGGGAAAAGGGGGAGCGAGAGAGGGGGATGGAAGGGAGTGGGTGGAGGGTGTGCGCCGCACGGCGAGCAAGGGAGGTGCGCCCCACGGCGAGGAATGGAGGATTAGTGGGTGAAGAGGGGGAGGGAAGGGAGCGCTAGGGAGTAAGGCGAATGGGAGGGCGAAGGCGAGAGGGGAGCGAGAGGGGGGAGCGAGTGAGAGGGGGGAGCAAAGCGGGGGATTGAGTGTTGGGTGAGAGGGACAGAAACGGATGAGAGGGAGAGAGACGAAGGAGAAAAGCGTGGAAGAGAAGGGTGGGGAGCAGAGAGGGGAGGGGTGACAGGAAGAACAGAGACGGGGGAGCAGAGAGGGGAGGGGTGACAGGAAGAACAGAGACGGGGGAGCAGAGAGGGGAGGGGTGACAGGAAGAACAGAGACGGGGGAGCAGAGAGGGGGAAGGATCGGTAGGTGGGGGGGGGGGGGGCGGAGGAGGGTGAGCAATAAAGGAAACGACAAGAGAGAAGGAGTCGACTCACGAGTTCGCGACTGGCTGTGGCTGACTGCTCCTCACAATGACGAGCGAGGACGGCGTGCTCGATGAGCACGGACGGCGTGCTCGACGAGCGAAGGAGGCGGCAAGACGAGCGCTTGACTGCATGGGTGACTGGCGGCCGACTGCGAACGTAAAACGCTCCATCGCCCGCGAGAACGTAAAGCGCACCCTCCCTCGCTCGCTCGAAGTGAAGCCCTCCGTCGCGCAGAAAGTATGGCGCTCCGTCGCGTGCCCAAAAAATTAAGTACTCCGTCGCTCGCTCGAAGTGAAGCCTCCCGTCGTGCGCGAGAGAACGTAGAGCGCACCCTCCGTCGCTCGCCCTGAAAGCGCTCCCTCACTTGCGAACAGTATGATGCTCCGTCGCGCGAGAAGTCGAACGATCCGTCGCACGCCCGCGCGAACGTAGAGCGCTACATCGCGCGGGCGCGAAAAGTATAGCGCTTCCTCGCGCTCAACGGAAAGCTTCCCGTAGCGCGCGAAGTCAAGTGCTCGCCCGACGACGATGCGCAGCCGTGCGCGCTACGGGCTGGCGACGCCCAGACGTGCGCCATCCCCTGAGGCTCCCTCATGCGCAGATGTGCGCCCCGCGGCGAACGAGGGAGGTGCGCGCCAGGGCGAGCGAGGGAAATGCGCGCCACAGGCGGTGCGCAGACGTACGCGCCACGGGATTGAATGACGGGGGAGACGAGGAGGAACGAAGGACTAATGGGTGAAGAGGAAAAGGGTCGAAGAGGGAATGAGGAAGCGGGAGGGGTTGGGGCAGGGGAGTGAGAGGAGGGGGGACGGTGTGAAAAGAGAACGAGGGGCGCGCTGCGAGAGTAAAGGGATCGGTAGGTTGGAGGGAGTGAGAGGGAAGTGAGAGGCGGGAGCGAGAGGCGGGAGCGAGAGGCGGGCGAGTGAGGGTTAGTGGGAGGGCGAGAGGTGGGTGGAGGGAGGAAAGAAGGGAGCGAGAGATGGTGGGATGGAGGGAGGAGGACGAGTGAGGGTGGGAGAGCGAGGGGGAAGCGGCAGGGGAGAGCGAGAGGGGGGAGGAGGGGCGAGGTTGTGGAAGGAGAGAGGAGGGTGTGGGAGGAGAGAGGAGAGGATGGGGAGGACGGGAGAGCAAGGGAGCCCTTCGAAAGGGAAGAGCGGGAAAGGGGGCAAGTGAGAGGGCGAGGAGAGGAGGGCGGAGAATGGCGGAGGAGAGGGGCGAGTGAGAGGGCGAGAGTGGAAGGATGAGGGGGGGAGTGCATACGGTGAGGAGATGGGTGAAGGAGCGAGCGGAGGACACGAAGGACCCGTCGAGCGCGAAAAGTCAAGAGCTCCCTCGCACGCTAGGTCAAGCGCGCCCTCGCGAGCGAAGTAAAGCGCACCCTCGCGCTAGAACGTGAAGCGCCTCAAGAGCGCGCTTCCCGTCTGGACACCTTTTCATTGCGTAACCGAGCACAAACCGGTACACAAATGCGGATATGTGAGTCGAGTCTGCACGGGTTCAGTGAGAATTGCAAGCCATAGATACATCTCATCCTAACGTACCCTCGATTTTGTCCAAAAACGCTCGCTTTGACCTTCCGTCTTCAAGATGAGGTCCGGAGATGCTCGAGCGACGGTGGCGGGATCGATGTGTTGTTCTGAGTATTTGTAGATTTAGATACCGAGAAGCAGTATGAATACGGGGACATGGGCTGGACAACGTAGAAGTAACGGCTTCAATGACGGCGAGGACGAGATGATGAAGGTCGGAAACAAGCGCTCGGCAAGCGCGGCCCGCTTGCTCCGCGTGACTTTGCCACGTGCGTTCTGCGGGAAAGTCCGATTTCCATCTTGTCGTTCGCTCCCATGTCGGCACACCCCTTCTCGGCTGTCCTCTACGTCGCCTGAGAACCTTTCCATCCTGCTAACCCAATCTTATCTTACTCGCTCTGACCGCTCTTCTCCTGACGCCGTTCTCCCTCAAAAGCTTGCGGCATTTGCTTGACCTTCACTGCAGCTACGCGACCCTCGCAACCGTGGAGACGCCCTTCCATTCATCCGCCATGTAAACCCTCGAATACTTGCTATGCGCACCTTAATAGGCGCCGAAATGAACGTGAGTCATCGCTCCGTTCTCAACAAACATTGCCGTCGTGCTCTCGTAAAGCTCTGCATGTCTACTATGCACGTTCACGACATATGGGGCAGTACCTTCTCATGGCCCTCAATACGGTACAATGTCGAGGATATCTGCCGCACAGATCGACGCCACCAACTCGCAAGACGCGCCCTCGTCGCGTTCATTTCCCGGTTTCCCTCTCTTCTTTTTCGATCGGAATCTTCCCTCCACGCGGCTGTGCTCTTGACTCGCAAGGCGCTTCAATCGAGTATTCAGTCGCTGAGCTCGTCTCTTCACGCTATTGCCTACCGATGGCTTCACCGGCCCCTTCGCCGCGTTGCCAACATCGCCTCCATCGTCATGGGCGAATATATTCGAATCGCTTTGAGGTGCGACGGCGCCTCTCCTTGAACACCAAAAGATGCCTAACCCATACTCCTCAAATAGCGGACGGCGTTGTGGCTCAATACCTCGCGGCTTCGCAAGACATCGGCTCCAAGTCCTAGACCGATTCTCCCTCTCCCTTTATATTCATTGGCCGGTCATTTCCTTCGGCGAGCTCTGTCCCTGCTGCGCGTATCGTACACCGGCTTCTCATTTGTACGATGTGCTTCATAAATGCCTTCGTTCCCCTCCATACATGATCTGACTTAGCTTCGCGCTTGTGCGGAAGGACCCCCTTCGAATCTAAGGATTGGCGGTTGAATCTGCGGCTCGTCGGTCGAATCTGCGGTCTCTTTACCGCAATCGGAGGCCTATTTGACGCAACTGAGGCTCGGCAGTCGCGTATACGGCTCGTTACCCGCGTCGAAGGTTCGTTGGCCGCATCTATGGTCAGTAAGTTGCACCTGATTCTCATCACCTTTCCCACTCACGAGCGAATCTTCCCAGATACTTTGAGATGGTCGCATGAAATGAGAATGGACTTCTGCCTGTTTTGTCACCGGCGCGGATCGATTACCGCATTGAGGAGATTATCTGCGTACTTTGGCGTACCCCTCGGAAATCAATCTCTCGCTCAATGATTCGACGGGGATTTACTGAACGCGCCGAATTTCCTATGCTCGAACGATCACCTCCCAACAACCATCCGATCTCTTTGCGCTCAGTGGCGCCGGATTTGCCGTTCGAACGTCTAATTCTGACAGGTGCGTTCTGCCCGTCAGCTGCCCTACTGATCACTCTTGCCTTCCTTTGCGCACGGCTCTCGCTTGGCCAGAGGCCGTATGCTTTGCATATGCGCGCACTCTCACTGCATATTCGCGGACTTTGAATGTAACTTCTTTGCCCACAACGCGTCGTAGAAGAGGCCCGATGCGCATGCGCGCCGCCGCGGCGATGCAGAAATGGGAAGGATCTGCGAATAGTCTGAGCATCGGCACGAGAAGGTGCAAAAGGCTGACTCTTTTTGCTCCAACCAGAGCCCGCTCGTGCTACTGGTACGAGCACACCTCGTCTGTTCGAACTAGAGCTCACTCTTCTCAACTCTCTCTAGCGCACTGCGTGTAATTGAACTAGTACGCACTCTTACTGAAAACAACGCTCAGTTCGTCTTCAACTCCAGGCGCTCGGCTAGCGCGCGCTTTGGTGCGTGTTGTACTGTCTCCTTCATGCTCTCACAAACCCTCCATCGGTCTTCGCCTCCTTCTCCCCTTCCACCTTTCCCTCTTTCCCATCTTCCGACAACCTTCTTCACCCTCTTCACACCCGCCTCTCGTCATCTTACTTAATCCTTCGGCGCATCGGGGCGCAGACTTCTGCCGCAGAACTGGCGCGCGGCAGGGGCATCGGCAGGGAGAACGTCGAAAGAGGTGAACGTCGAAGGAGGTGGACGTCCTGGGAGGAGGGGAGAGCGAGGGGGAGATACGGGAGATGGACGCGGAAGAAGCGCCCGCCCCAAGTCTGCGCGTCCAACTCGTCGGTATCCGCTCCGAACATACGCGCAAGTAAAGGTCCATCGCACGCTCTACCAAGACGAGAACCAAGTCTGCAAAATCGGCGAGTCAGCGACGAACATACAGCACGCGCATCGGATCGGATGCGTCGTCACTGCTCGGCGGACCTCCATCTCACCGAGCTCTCCTTGACTTCGCCGTCGCCGTCTACCCTCCTTAAACGGGAGTTTCTGCGTACCCAATATCTCCACTTTGACCATGCATTTCTCAACTGACTTTCCCTCGCGCTCAGCTCGACCACCACGCTGCCCCTTCACTGAAAGCATCACAGCACAGTGCCGTCCTCCCCTCGCTCCCACGCTGGTCTCTCTTTTGCCCTCCCTCGCAACTGCCACGCCCCCTTCTTTCATTACCGAAATGACCGGCGCCATTGTGCTCTTCTCGGCATTTCTTCTCACGGGACGCTTCCTTCACAGCTTTGTATCGTTCAAGCTCATCTGCGGTGCGGACGCCGTCGGTAACGCGCCGAAGACGCGTATGCATGCAAGCACTGTCCGCGTCGTGGTCGCGCGACGGCAATGTCGGCAGCGCATCGCCCGCTGCCATCGCCCCCGCGCAAAAAGACGTATCCTACCTGGTACTCTCGTCACTTGGCGAGTCATAAGCGTGCTTCGTTCAAGGCACATCGTGCTGACCGCCCTGATAGCGTTCGTATCTCAGTTCCGTTCGACAAGTTTCGTCAATGTTAGCTTCTATGCGTGCTCAAATCTCACTCTTGCGCCTGCTCGGACCGTCGGCGCGCTCCCGCCTGCGCGCGGTACACGCCTTTTCGGGCCGCTCCTTCACGCCATGGCCCCTTCCTTCGATCTTCCAAACACCCTCATTTTCTCATTGACCCCTCCCACCTTGACGGCCCTCGCTCTCATCTCGCATGGGCGTAACAAATCTTCGCGCCTGCGCATCAGACCCCCCTCGCATCTAAAGTTCGACGTCAGCGCGTGGACTAGGACTTCGACCGTCTTTGACTCGTCTTCGCTATACCAAAGTCTCCTTTGTACGCTACCAAACTCGCCTTCGTGCGTCGCGTTCTCCCCTTCATCCGCTGTTGACTCACCTTCGTGCTCCGAAACTCTCTTCCAGGGATGGTATTTTTCGCACCGGGTCGTGGGTCCTTCCCTTGAGCATCTCCGCATCGTCGCTTTTGCTACAGCGGGATTGTCGCGAGCGCCATAGCGGGAATGTCACGGGCGCTATAGAGGAACATTGCCTTTATGTGCACGCGAGAGATCTTGGCGCGTCTCGGGCCGAATCCGAGCCCAGGAGCGAGAAACGACGCTTGAGGGGTGAATATCTCTAAGTGTCTTTCCATGCTGAACGACGAGCTTTCGAGCGGCCTTTGCCTCGTCTGCTCCCCCTTCCCTCCCCTTCTCCCCCTTCCTCGCTTCGCATTGTCCTCCTCCTTCCTTCCCTTCCCTCCCCTTCTCCCCTTGCCCCACTCTCGCCCCTCCGTCTACCTACATCCCCTCCCTTTCCGCCCTTAACCACTCCCTTCACCTCCCTCCCTGCCCTTTACCCCACTCCCCCATGTGGCGCGTTCGTCCCATCGAATCTAAATGTTCGTCACGTCTAATCTTGATGAAGGTCATCACTCTACCCAGCTCCTCCACGTTCCCCTCATCACATCCGCCCCATGATCTTCTCATCTACCCCGCTCCCCCACTTGCTTCTCATCACGCATCTGCCGACATCACCTTGCCGCTTCGCCGCCGAGGCTCAATTATGCGGCAGAAGGAGGCGCCTTCGGCAGCGAGAGCTCGGCACGGAGACGTCATGGGTGCGCGAAGCGAGGGGGGAAGCAGCGGCGGTGATGCGCGAGATCAGCGAGCGCATCTCCGAGAGCCGGTAAGTACGTCTTCGACGTGAGCCAGTGTGTACGTCTCTGATGACTATTCCGCGCTCACCGGGGCGAAGGTATGTGTACTTCGTGCAGATGACGGTGGCGTGGGATGGGGTGGGGGACAAATGATCATTGCGTGAGAGGGAGGGAAAGGGAGGGAATGAGGGGAGGGGGAGGGCAGGGGGCAAGAGGAGGGGAGGGGGAGGGGAGAGAAGAGGGAAGGGAGGTGGGGGGGAGTGGGAAAGGTAGGGAGGCGGGTGAGGCGACGAAGCGCCGGGGGAACGAGCGCGCGCAAGGGACGGGAGGGACGGGAGGTAAGGAGAAGCGTGCAAGATCTAGTCGAGCTGTGAGTGCGTTGACTGTCTTCGACGAATGTTTAGGACATCATTCATCGCTCAGCACCCCGCTCTTTGCTTAGCACGTCGCTCATTGCTCGTCACTTCGAGTGTTCACTATCTTTGGTGTTCGTGCTCATCGCTTCAGAAGGGGTCAACGGTCTTGTTCATCGCTTCGAGGGACCAACCATCTTTGGTACCTCTCGTAGACGCGAGACGGGGAGCAACAATCTCGCGCCCACCATCGACGTTCCTCCCCTCCCTCGACGCTCCCCTCATCCTCGACGCTCCCCTTCCTCCCCTCTTCAAGACTCGCTCACTATCTCCCCTCATCAAGGCTCACACACTCCCCCCCTCCCTCGCCTCCCTCCCCGGCGCCAATCTGAAAGTCACCCCAACCCAAACAGCCTCCGCCTAATCCAAGCGACGTCGGGGGAGATGCGAGGGGCGCCCTTCGCTAGGAGACGCGCGATACGCCCTGCGCTTGGAGAGGCCGGAGTGGCGAGCAGAACGCTTGAGAGGGGGGAAGGCGAACTGTGAGCGTCAGATGAGATGTGGGACAACCGCCAGATTGGGGTGGGGAAGGGGGAGGGTGTGAGAATGCTCGGTGATGCCTTCTACCCTCCCTTCGCCGTCGACGTTCCCTTGCCGCTCATCCTCCACCCTATCCATCCCCTCTCTCTCCACACTCAGCCCTCGCCGCTCAGCCCTCCTGCGCGCTTGCCTGCGCCGTCGACGCTCCTTCCCTTCGCCGTCGACGCTCCTCTTCCGCCTTCCACCCTCAACGCTCCCTGCCTTCGCCGTCGACGCTCCCCCCTCCACCCTCTTCCACTCCTCTCCTCCGCCCTCCACCCTCCTCCCTTGGCACCCTCATCCCCACCCTCTCCACCCTCGACGTTCCTCCACCCTCGATGTTCCTCCGCTCCTCTCCCGCGTGCGTGACCGATTCACTCCTCCGCGCTCTTCCGCTCCTCTTCCGCCTTCCACCCTCGACGCTCTTCCGCCCTCATCCTCCACCCTCTTCCGCGTTCCTCCTCCGCCCTCATCCTCCGCCCTCTGCGCGACTTCACCAGCATCGACGACGATTCACTCCTCCTCCGCAACCAACAGATTGGCGCCCTCCGCGCTCCCTCCTCCCATCTGACGCTCCACACTCGACCCTCCTTCTATCCTCCACACTCAGCCCTCGACGCTCCTCCCCTACCTCCTTCCATCCACGCGCGCAGCCGTGCGCGCTACGCACGATGCCGAACCATGCGCACAACGGGTCGGTGGTGCGCAGCCGCGCGCGCTACGGGCGAGACGATGCGGATTACGGGCGAGCGAAGGAGGTGCGCACTACGGCCAGCGAAGGAGGTGTGCGCCTTAGCACGGGCGAGATTGGTAGGGGGAGCGGGAGACGAGTGGCTGGCGGTGTGCCAGTGCGCTATGCACGATGCCGAGCCATGCACGGTGTCGAGCCGTGCTCGCTACGCACGATGCCGAACCATGCGCCCTAAGGGGTTGAATGCGAGGTGAGACGGCGAGAGTGGGAGGATTAGGTTGGAGGGAGGAGAGGATCGGTAGGTGGGAGGGGAGTGGGTGGCAGGCGAAGGGGTGAAGAAGGGAAGTGGGTGGAGGAGAGGGGGGAGCGAGCGAGCGGTGGGATGGAGTGGGAGGAGAGGATCGGTAGGTGGGAGGAGAGGTGGGGGAGCGGGGTCGGAGAGTGGAAGGGGTGAAGAAGGGAAGTGGGTGGAGGAGAGGGGGAGCGAGCGAGCGGTGGGACGGAGTGGGTGGTGGGAGGGGGTACAGAGGGGAAGGGAGAGGTGGGAGCGAAGGGGAGCCAGTGGGTGGAGGGGAAGAGAGCGAGAGGGGCGAGGGAGTGGGTGGAGGAGAGGTGGGACGAGAGGTGAGGCAGGATGGGGTGATGAGAGGGCAAGGGAGTGAGGGGGCGAGCGAGTGGGCAGGTGGAGAGGTGGGACGGCGAGCAGTGAGGCGGATCGCGGAAGACACGAAGGAGGGACTCGTCGCGGGCGCGAACAAGTACAGTAAAGCGTCCCCCTCGCGGGCGAATGTAGAGATTCCCTCCGTCGCGGGCAAATGTAGAGCTTACCCTCCCTCGCGGGCGGACGTAGAGCGCACCCCGTCGCTCAGCGAGAAGTACAGCGCACCCATCGCTCAGCGAAGTAGAGCCTGCCCTCGCACTGGGCGAATGTAGAGCGCACCCCATCTCGCCTGCGAAGTAGAACGCTCCATCGCGCGAGACGTAGAGCGCTCCCACGCTCGCGGGAAAATGTAAAGCGCACCCGCCGGCGAACGTACAGCGCCCCCTACCGCGCGCAAAAAGTAAAGCTTACCCTCGGGGGCGAACAAGTTAAGCGCACCCGGCGCCAGAGAACGTAAAGCGTTCCGCCGCCGGCGAAGTAAAGCTTCCCGTCGCTCGCGAGCGAAAAGTCAAGCTTACCCTCCCCTCGCGCCGGGCGAACGTAGAGCGCTCCCTCGCTCGCAGGCGCGTAAAATAAAGCGCCCCCTCGCTCGAGCGAAGTCGAGCGCCCCATCGCGCTCGTGCGAAGTAGAGCGCCCTTACGCTCAGCGAATGTAAAGCGCGCTCTCACTCGCGGGCGAAGTCAAGCACCCCATCGCGCGCCGGGTGAAGTCAAGCTCCCCATCGCGGGCCAATGTAGAATACTCCCGCGGGCGAAGGCAAGCTTACCTTCGCGCGCTTGAAGTCGAGCACCCCATCGCTCGCGCCGGGCGAATGTAGAACGCACCCGCGCGCGAGCGAAGTCAAGCTCCCCATCGCCTGCGAATGTGGAACACTCCATCGCGTGGCGAATTTAGAGCACTCCGTCGGGGGCGAAGCAGAGCGCCCCCTCCCTCTCGCGGGCGAGAAGTGAAGCTTACCCTCGCTCGCTCGCGAGCGAATGTAGAGCGCCCCACCGCGCGCTTGAAAGGTCAGGCTTCCCATCGCGTGGCGAAGTAAATCACACCCTCCCGTCGTCGGCGAGACGTGGGGCGCACCCCCGCCGCGGAAAGTCAAGCGAAAAGTAAAGCCCCATCGCGCCGAGCGAACGTAGAAAGCTCCCTCGCTCGCGCTCAGCGAATGTCAAGCACCCCCTCGCACGGGCGAAGTAGAGCGCTCCCTCGCTCGCGAGCGATGAGTCAAGCGCCCCATCGCTCGCGCTCAAAGTCAAGCGCTCCCATCGCGCGCGCAAGACGTGGAGCGCTCCCTCGCGGGCGAAGTAGAGCGCTCCCTCGCGCCGGGCGAGTGTAGAGCTTCCCCTCGCGCTCGCAAATGTAGAGCGCACCCCTGCGCGGGCGAATGTAAAGCTTCCCGTCGCTCGCGCGAGCGAAGTAAAGCGCACCCTCGCGGGCGAAAGTGAAGCACCCCATCGCGTGCGGAAAGTCAAGCGCACCCGTCGCTCAGCGAACGAAGACCGCTCCCCCGCGGGCGAATGTAGGGTGCTCCCCCGCTCGCGGGCGTGAACGTAAAGCTTCCCTTCGCGGGCGAAGTCGAGCGCACCCCTCGCTCGCGTCGAGCGAAAAGTAAAGCCCGCCCTCCCTCGCGAGCGAATGTAGAGCTTGCCCTCGCGCTCAGCGAAGTCAAGCGCACCCTCGCCTGGGCGAATGTAGAGCGCCCCCTCCCCCTCGCGTGGCGACAAAGTCAAGCGCTCCGCCGCCCGTCGCGAGCGAATGTAGAGCGCCCCCTCGCGCGGGCGAATGTAGAACACTCCCTGTCACTCGCCTGGGCGAATGTAGAGCGCTCCGTCGCGCGCTCGCGAACAAGGAAACCTCCCCGCGAAAAGTCAAGCGCTCCGTCGCGCGGAAAGTAGAGCGCACCCTCGCCTGGGCGAATGTAGAGGACTCCGTCGCGCGAAAAGTCAAGCGCTCCGTCGCTCGCGAAGGCGCCCACCGCCCACGACGCCAGCCACGTCAAGAGGCTGAACGCGAGCCAGTCAAAGGTCGGAACGCGGCGCACGCGGATTGGATGGGCAGGTGAATGAGTTATGGCTAAATTCAGTAGAAGTACGGGTCAAAGAACTCAATAAAGAAGTAGAGAAAGGATCAAAGAATTCAATGCAGAAGTAGGGAAAGGATCAATGGATGAATCGCGCGCGTGAAGCAGGGATATAAGAGTGAAGCAGGGATATAAGAGTGAATGAGGGATGTAAGAGTGAATGAGGGATGTAAGAGTGAATGAGGGATATAAGAGTGAATGAGGGATGTAAGAGTGAATAAGGGCGGGTCAATCAAGGGAGTAAAGAGGGGATATAGAGGGAAGAGGGAGTAAAGAGGGAAGAGGATTGGATGGCGAAAGGACGCGCTAGCGAGGGAAGGGGGGCGTGTGAGGTGAGGGGGTAGGGGAGGGGAGACGTGTGAGGTGAGGGTGGGAGGGGAAGGGAGGCGTGTGAGGTGATGGTTCAAAGGGTCGAATGTGCGCGCGCGACATCAGGATTGTTGAGCGCATACAAACAGACGGGAAGTACGGCAGCCATTGTCCTCTAACCGCGGAAAGCGAGACCAAAGGCGTCAAGCGAGGGGCGTAAAAGAGTTCAGGGAGGGAGAACGAACGCGTAATATACTCGCGCCATCGGTGCCTGCGAATACAAAGGGCGGCCTCGCGTGTGCAAACAACAGCCATTTCGAGGCAAGCGCGCCCGCCACCATCAGCTGCGGGGGTTGGCCTGGGCGCGGGAGCATTCGAGTCCATTTCCCCCGCGTCGCTCCCCGTATGGAGGCGGGGGTCATGCGGGGTTACAGCCAAGGCGCTTATGCAACGGACGGCGCGTCATGCGGGGAGATCCGATCGGTTGGGGAAGAGGCGGTGCCGGCGCGTTGGAGAGGGAGGGCGGGATGGAGAGCAGGAAGCGAGCCGCCCGTCGTCCTGGCGAGCAGAAGGGGGGCGTGTCGATGAGAAGGCGTCGGGTGTGGAGAAGGCGCCGGGCGGGGAGAAGGAGGGGTAGGGGGGCCCTCGCATCGGGAGAACAGGAGATCGGCCGACATCGATCACGCGGGGTACGTGTGACCGAACAATGGAATTAGCGCATCACGGTCACGCTCGCGTGGTCACGGACCTATCAGGGGGCGGCGAATTCTCTGGGGGGTGACTCCGGCGATTGACTGATCACCATTCTCTTACAAACGTCGACGGCACTCACCACCGACGACTGGCACCCTTGACACCGACTCCTTTCACCCCGAGCTCGTCTGACTCCCTCCCCCACGCCCTTGCGCGCGCGACAGAACACGACAGGAGGAAGCGCGGAACTTGGCAGCCCCCGCATACGCGTCGACCACCCGCATACACGTCAAGCGAGAGCAGCACGCATCAAGCAAGAGCAGCACACACCCAGCGCGAGCATCACGCATCGAGCGGGAGCAGCATCAGCCACACACCCTCCGCCACCCCGCACCCTCGAGCGCGCGCACCTTCTCTCCTGCACCCTCGAGCATCCAAGCGCCCTCGGACATCCAACAACCCTCGAGCACCCCAGGAGCACAGCGAAGGAGCGCAGGTACGTGGTCCTGCCCCGCGCCGCGGACGGTGATGCTTACCCTCCGTCCTTCCCGCAGTCATCCTCGACGTCCATCGTCCATCACCCTCGACCTCCATCGCTCATCAAGCACCCTTCGACCTCTACCCTGCATATCCTCAATCCTTCGGTCTTCAAGCACCCTTCCAACCTTCCAACTCTCACCACACTGCACACCACCACCAACACCCACCACCACCTCACACACCACACATCAACCTAAACCATGCCGCCCGTCAAGACCTCGTCCGTCAAGGCAGGCAGCGCAGAGCCGCGCGAGGAGGAGGACGGCGAGGGTGAGTGGCGTGCCCTTGTTTGATCGTTCATCCTGTTGTCTTCTTCGTTTCATACCCCATTGTCTTCTTCGTTTCATAGCCCGTTGCTTGTTTGATTGGCGGGGCGTGTCTTCGTCGAGTCGTGATCGCTGGCGTCGTGTGCGCGATGTCGTCCGGTCGTTCGCGTTCCTGTCCCCTTCCCCCTCGCTCTCCTGCCCCTCCCCCCTTCCCTCCCTCGCCACTCCCGTGCCCCTCCCTCCCTCCACTTATCCCTCTTCTCCCCTCCTCACGCCCGCCCGCTTCGTCGAACCCTGCGCGCGCGCGCGCTATGCGTACCAGCGCCCTCGCTGCTCGCCCTATGCGATGCGTACTCCCACGCGACGATCGGCGGCGAGCTTCCCCATACCCATCTCTCCCTCCCTCCTCCCTTCCCCTCGCGCTCCCTCCTCCCTTCCCCCTTCTCTTCGCTCCCTCCTCCCTTCCCTCGTCCCTCACCCTTCTTCCTTCCCTCCCTCCCCCTTCCCTCCCTCCCTCCCGCTCGTTCGTCCTTCCCCTCCTCCCTCCTCCCTTCCCCTCGCCCTCCCTCCTCCCTTCCCCTCGCCCTCCCTCCTCCCTTCGCCCTCGCGCGCCCCCTCCCTTCCCATGCCCTTCTCGCACCCTCCATGCGCACCCTCTCCCCCAACCTCTTTCTAACTGCTCCCTCCACCTCATTGAATGAGCTCGCTCACGTCCCTTGCCCCCCAACCCCTCACATCCGCTTCCCCCTCTCTCCCTTCCTTCCCTCCACCTAATCGTAACACAAACACTAACGCCCGCCCCCCTTCGTGTCTTAAACTAATACACCTTCCAACAGCCTCCACCTCCCCCACCACGCTCGCGCCCTCGTCGTCCACCTTGAACGCCGCGGGAGGGTCAGGGGCAGGGAGTGGGAGTCAGACGAGGTGAGTTTTTGGGTGTTTTTGTATTCTTTCTCTATTCTTTTGTGTGTTGGTGGATGGATAGTAGGGAAGGGAGGGAGAGGCGAGCGCGTCGTTCGTTGACCCCTCTCTGTCGAGAGGGTCGCGCGCGTCCCTCGGTGGTGCGCGGGTGCGCGCTCTGCTGGTTGCGCAAGGGGACGCGCGAGGACGTTCCTCCCCTCTTCCCTCTCCCTCCCCCTCTCCACCACCCCTTTACCCTCTCCCCCTTCTCCCTCCCACCTCCCTTCCTCACCATCCCTCTTCCCCCTCCATTCTTGCCCCCTTCCCCTTCTTCCTACCCTCTCCTCGCTCCCTTTACATCGCCCCGCACGATTCGCTCACCCCCCTACCCTTCCCTCTACTCACTCTCCTCGCTCCCACTACATCACATGATCGTTCGCTTACGCTCACTGAACATGTCGCTCACGCTCACGCTCCCCCCTAGCTCGATCCTGAAGGAGCGCCGGTTCAAGCTGAGTCGGTGAGTGGTTTGTTTATCGTTTGTTTGGGGTGTTTTGGTTTGTTGGGTGTGGAGTGCGTTTTTTGGGTGTGGAGGGAAGAGGAGGGGTGGGGTGGCGCGTTCGGCCCGGACCCTATGCACGTCGTCCTGGCTTGGTCGGCTCGCGTCGTCTTGACCCCCTAACGAACGCGCCGTCCGGCGGACCTTGAGGCGCCTGGCGGACCTTGAGGCGTCTGACGGGGCGGGAAGGGCGACTGGCGGAGGCGGCGGCGCGTCGTCTTGAGGCGTCTGACGGTCCGCGAGGCGGTGAGGAGGGGTGTCCCGGCCCGTCGTGACCGGACGCGCCGTCCTGGCCCGTCGTGAACGAACGCGTCGTCTGGGCCCGTCATGGCCTCCCGTTCCTGCCCCTACCCACCGAAGAACCTCGCGCTATCTTCTGTCACGAACGAACGCTGACCACCCCTTTTCCCCCCACAGCGCGTGCGACCGGTGTCGGTGAGTGGGCGTTTGGTCTTTTGTCGTCTGGGTTTTCTTTTTGTCGTCTTCGCGTCTGCGGTCTTCCCATGCTCTTCGCTCTTCGCTCTGCGCCCATCCCTCTTCGCTCTTCCCTGCGGGGGGGGGGGGGGGGGGGGGAGGGCAGGGTCACCCTCATCCGCGCTTTCGCTCTTCGCCCCATTCCCCCCACCTCCTTTCTCCCTTTCCCCCACCGGCTCCCTTCCCCTACTCCCCCCCCCAATATCACCACTCCCGCACCTGACCATCCGCTAACGCTCCCCTCCCCCACCACCTCCCCCTTTCCTTCTCCCCCTTCCCCCCTTTCTTCCCCCCCTTTCCCCTCCCCATAACCCCTCCCCCCAATTACACCTACTCACACATCTAACTATTCGCTAACCGCCTTCTCCTTCCCCACAAACCCACCTGCTCACCCCTACCTAATACTCACACATATATATATTCGCTAACTTGCTGCTCTTCCCCTCATAATAAATACTCACCAACCCCTCCCCCCAGCCGCCGCCGCATCAAGTGCGACGAGGGGCACCCGTGCCAGGCGTGCCTGACCGCGAACTCGTCGTGCACGTTCGAGGAGCCGGGGAAGAGGACGCATGCGCATAAGAGTCGGTGAGTTTGGTGGTTTCGTTCACGCGTTTATAGTTATTTCATTTTTGGGTTGTTGAGGGTGGTGGTACTATTTGGGGTGTTTTATTGGGTGGGGGTTGGGGTTGTTGAACGAATGAAATTATTGTGGGCGAGAGGGGGTGTGGTGGTGTTGGGGGTGGTGAGGGGAGGGGGGATGGGTGGGGTGGGAGGGGTTTGGGGTTTTGGGTTGGGGGAGGGGGGAAGAGAAGGGGTTCATGGCCGCCGGCGCACGCTCGAACCCATCGCTCCCTTTCTAAACTCCCCCCTCCTCATGACACGCACGCTATCGCTCGCTCTTCCCCACTTCCTCCCCCCCCTTCCCATCCCTGCCCCTTCCCGTCCCCTCCCCCAACCCCCCTCTCCCTCGTCAACACCCCTTCCCCATTCCCTCCCTTATCCCCTCACGCCCCTCCCCCAAACCGCCCCTTCCCCTACCATCCCCTGACTTCCCCCCCCATTCTCCTCACTACTATCCCATTCCACGCACACTAACACCCTCAATAAAAAACCCTAACTAACCCCCCTCCCCAGCCGCACGGCCACCCTCGAGGACCGGATGCACGTGCTCGAGACGCTCATCCAGGCGATCCCGCCCGCGGTGTTTGCAGCGGCGGCGGGTGGGGTGGGCGGGGTGGTGAGTGGGAGTTTTTTTGGGTTTATTATCTTTGTTTTTTTTATGACGTGACGACGTGCTATTGGGTGGTGGCGGGTGAAGGGGGGGGGTTTGGAGGGGGAGGATAGGTGAAGAGGGAAGGGTGGAGGTGGCGGGAGGGGGTTTTTGGATGTGGATGTGGAGAGAGAGGGATGTGGGAAGGGCGCGGGCTGCCTGGCGGTGTTGGTTTGAGTTGCTCGCGAGCGGCGTCCTGCCTTTTGCGCGGCGTCCTGCCTACCGCGCGGCGTTCTGCCTGGCGAGTGGACCCCTCGCGAGCGGGCCCCTCGTGAGAGACGGATGGAGGGGGAGCGGGGAGCGGGGAGCGGGGAGAGACGGAGGGAGGGCGGGAGCGAAGCCATGAAAGAGGAAGGCGACGCGCGTGCTAACGACCCAACCCTCCCTAGGCCCAAACCACCGCGCTCGGCAACACGGCGAGCTTGTTTGCGGATGCGGTGCGTGTTTTTTTTTCCCTTGTGGTTTGCCACTCCGCGCTTGACGCGAGCTTCCTCTGCGCTCCCACTCGACCCGAGCTTCCTCTTCGCTCCCCTCGGTATCGACGAGGGACTTTCACTGTACCCCTCCATCCCTCCCCTCGGTATCGACGAGATGTTCACTCCCTTCGTATCGACGAGAGACTTTCACTCCCACCCCGCTCACACCCATCCTCTTCCACCCATTCCCCTTACCCCCCGACCTCCCACCCCCTCTTCCTCCCCCCCACTGCAACCCATACTAACCCCCCCCCCCCCCCAATAACCAAATACTAACCCACCTCACAGACCGCCGCCCTCGCCTCGGACGCGCTCCCGCCGCCGACGAACGCGCCGGGTGTCCCGCCGCCCGCGCTCAGTGGGGTGGGCGTGGTTAATCCGGGGGGGTTTTTTGGGGTGAGTTGGGTTTTTCTTTTGTTTGTGAGATTGGATACGTATTTTGCCTTTACGGTGGATACGTATGCTCGTCCTCGGCGATACGGATTCGCCTACTAGGCCATGCGTATGCGCGGACGCTCGGAGTGTTGCTCGTGCTGGCGGGCGCTCTGTGAGGGGCGGACACCCTAGTACGCGGGGAGCGCGCAGAGGGGACCGTACGCGGGGACGCGCGGAGGGGATGGTAGGCGGGGGACGCGCGCCGTGGCGGCCCGCATCACTGCGCGCGTGGGGAGGGGCTGAATGACGAAGGAGCGGAGGTGGTCTGACGGATCAATCCTGCGTCTGTTTCCTCGGAGGAAGGTCGATGGGCCGCTCGCGAGGATACCACGCGCGCGAGCAGCGCTGGTGAATTCCCCGAGACTCCCTCTTTCTGTCCTCGCGAGGATACGCCACGCGCGGGGCTCCGTATGCGCCTCTATTCTAGCGAAAGGGACGCGACTGTCGGATGCGTGCGCTTACTACCGCCTCGATGCATCGTCGTCCTCCACCTTGACGCACTGTGGTCCTCCCCCGCGACGCACTGTAGTCCTCCCCCTCGATGCTTGTGTTTTGCGAACTATGCTGACCGTTTTTCACATCCAGAACCACCCGCCGGGCCACGACCTGAACGGCGCGCGCATGAGCGGGGAGATGGCCGCGGCGATGAACGGGCTGAATGATCCGCATTTGAACGATCCGCGGATGAACAACGTCAACTCGGCGATGAATGGAGGGATGAACGGGTGCGTTCGAAGCGTCGTTCTTTTTGGTGGACGCGTCGTAGTCCTCCAAACTCGCGGTGTCGTTTGTTCCGGTGATGAAGCATCAAGCTAACCGGTCTCCGCAGCGTGAACGCGAATAGTCTGAATGCTGCCAACTTGAACAATGCGATGAACGGCGTCGTGAACAACGGCGTCGTCAACAACCCGGGCTTCAACGGGCACGGGCTGAACCCGAACAACCTGAACGGGTTCAACCCGAATCCGCCTGGTTAGTCCCATACGCTCACTTTGCACACGCTCATACCATCCTCGCATACGCTCATTCTAACCTCGCATACGCTCATGCTAACCTCGCGAACCCAGGCATACCGCACGACGTGAACATGGGCGGGGACATGAGCGCGGCGATCGATAGGTTGAGCGGTGCGTGTTTATTTTAGCTGAGTAGCGCGCGTGGCTGCTCGTCTCGCGGCGCGTGTCGAGTTCGTTCCCTGGCGCGTCGCGCGCGTCAGATTCGCCCCGTCCCTTTGCGCGTTGAGCGTCGAGGAACAAGTCGCGCGTCGAGCTCGCCCCTCGACCGCCGTCCTTGCATCACTTCGATCGCCGTCTTTCCATCACTTTGCCCGTTGCGCGTCGCCCCCTCTCCCCTCTCCCCTCTCCCCTCTCCCCTCTCCCCTCTCCCCTCTCCCCTCTCCCCTCTCCCCTCTCCCCTCTCCCTCCTTTCCCAAGAAGCACCGCAACTCACACACACACCCCGCAGAAGAAACCTCGCGCCTCTCGCTGAACGCGACGTACCTCTACGTCGACGACGAGGGGTACACGCGCTGGCAGGGCGAGACGTCGGGGATGCCGCTGCTGGATTTGCTCGTCGAGATACACGCGGTGGAGGGCGCGGGTGGGGCGGGTGGGTGAGTGTTTGAGGATTTGTTGGTGTGGTTGTGGATTGATGGGGGTGTTGTGGTTGTGGTGCGATGGGGGTTGGTGTGGTGCGATGGGTGGCTGGGTGGGGTGCGATGAGCTGGGTCGCGGTGTGATAAGTCGTGTCGCGGGCTGATGAGCTGACTCCTCGTCTCCAGGAACGGAAATACGAGACAAGGCGTCCAAGGGGGACAACAAGGACAAGGACAAGGACAGGCGGGGCAGGGCGGCAAGCAGGGCCCGCCGAGTAGTGATGGGAGCGAGTGTGGTGAGTGGTGGTTGCTCGTTCTTGCTGTGCCAGTTGTCGAACCACGCGCTTCGTTGCGCCGCGCGAGTTGGACCGCGAGCATTGCGTCCTCGAACCACGCACACCGACTGACGCCCACCCCAGGCGCCCCCACGCCCGAAGACCGGCCCATCGACTGGTTCCCGAACCGCTCCGCCCGACGGCCCGCGGCGGTCAACCCGGAGACGCTCTGGCTGCTCGTCACCTCGCACATCGCGCCGGACCTGATGGATGCGCTGGTGCAAACCTATCTGAGCACGAGCTACTATTTGATGCCGTTCTTGCATATCCCGACGTTTTTGAAGGACTATGGGAATCCGGCGAAGTGGGGGGAGCCGGTGAGTGGGTTTCTATGTTGGGGAAGGGGAGCGAGAGGGAAGAGGGGGAGGGGGAGGGCGGAGGGGGAGGGAGGGGAGGAATGAGCGAAGGGGGAAGGGGAGGGAGGATCAGAGAGCGCGACCGCTGACGCATTCCCCAGGGTTTCGCCTCCTTTATCGTCGCGATCTGCTGCCTGGCGAGCCGGCACACGGACGACCCGCGCGCGCGGGTGGATCCGGCAACGGGCGCGGGGGCGGCGCTGCCGCAGGGCGCGACGAGCGACGGGAGTGGCACAGGCTTGACGGCGGGCACGCAGTGGTTTGAGTTGTTGGGCAGGTTGCGGTGAGTGGGGCACGCGAGGCTGAACTTGCGCTACAGTATCAACGTCCCGTACTGACGACTTCGCTGCAGTACTCTCCCCGGCTCCGACCGCCCTACGCTGTACGCCGTGCACGCCGCGCTCGTCGCGGGCGTCTACGCAACGGGCCTCGGGCGCCTCTCCGCCGCCGCCGCGCTCATCTCCGAGGCCGCCGCGCGCTGCATCGACGCGGGCCTCCACCGCTCCGCCGCGCGCTACGACGCGTTCACGCCCGTCGAGGACGAGGTCCGCCGGCGCACGTTCTGGTGCGTCTACGCGTGGGACAAGCAGCTCGCGGCGCACCTCGGCCGGCCGCCCGTCCTGCGCCTGCGCGACTGCGACGTGGGCGAGCCCGCGCCAGTCGACGACGAGTTCGTGACCGCGGAGGGGTACGTGGGGCGCGACGGGGTGGTCAGAGAGAGTTATGGGCCGGAGGCGGCAAGGGCAGAGTGCCGGATGGTCGCGTTCGTGGCGTGGGTGAAGATGATGGTGGTGCTGGAGGCGGTGCTGGACGTGCCGCCGACGCGGGAGGGTGAGTGGGGCGGCGGGGTCGCGGATGGGGTGGCTGACGCGTGGTGTGCAGACCAGGGCTCGTTTCTGAATCGCGCGGGCGGGCTCGGTGGTGGCAGGCGGTCGGGGCGCGGGGGCGGGAACGCGCTGAGGGACGAGGAGACGATGCTGGACGAGGTGCACGTGAATATTCCGTCGTTTTGGTGCCATAAGCATACGGCGTTCCCGCCGACGGCAGGGTATGGCGCGTTCGGGACGACGCCGCAGAGCTGCTGGTCGACACCGCTGGCGGCGGAGACTTTGGTGAGCGCGCGACCGTTCTTCGTGTGCATGTCGATTCAAGTGCGCATCTCAACTAATCCCTCCCGCAGAGCAGCGACGACGTGATCCGCGTCACGCAGGCCGTGCGGCTGCACTGCACCGAGCAGTTTGTGCGGCTGCTTATCTACCGGCACCGCATCTCGCAGCTCGTCGCCGCGCGCGCGCAGCAGTCCCAGAATCCAGGCGTCTACAAACCCAACGCAGCGGACACGGCGGCGCGCGAACGGGAGGCGATGGTCGCCGCACATCGGTGTGCGCTGCAGCTGGTGGCGGCGTACTTGCATGTGGCGACGCGGGGGCTGATGACTTACTGTGAGTCCCACAGCCCATTCTCGCGCCCGGACATCCACTAACGCCCCCCCCCTCAAGACGGCGTCCACGTCATCCACCAGCTCACCCAGGCGGGCCGCACGCTCGTCGCCGTGCTGCTGAACTGCAAGTGCGACTGCGGGCGACAGGGCGAGGCGCCCTCGGAGGCGAACCCGGCGCGCCCGAACTGCCGCTGCGGGCTCGAGCACCTCATCCCGTCCGCGATGGACGCGCTGCGCTCGTGCGTGGGCCTGCTGAGGAGGTTCAGCGGGCGGTATGTGTGCGGGCTGAGATCGGGGGATCTGATGGAGGAGTTTTGTCGCTGTGAGTGGAGGGATTTCCTCGTTGTAGAGATCTCGGTGGACTGACTTGTCCGCTCTTTCTAGTGACGGGCATCCCGCTGGAGACGAGCCAGAGGCCGGACGGGGAGGAGAATCGGCCGGCGTGGATCAGGCCAGTGCGCAAAAAGTCATCGGTGAGGAGTCCGTCGAATGCGAGGAGCGGCGACCATCGGGCGAGGTCGCATTCGTTCATGTCGGAGCGTGGAAGGTCAGTCTACTTGTGCGAGGTGAGGTGGACGGGATCGCTGACTTGCACTTGCAGAAGACCATCGACCTCGTCCTACGCTCGCTCAGTAGGCTCCGACTCGGCAGGATCACCTGAAGGCTCGCCTGCTGGTGGTAATGCGCCGTCACCGTTGACGGGTGTGCCGATCAACAGGTATGTCTGATGCTCATCTTCCTTCACCTCCAGGTGTTGATGTTCCATAGACCATCACCCTCCGTCTTCACCGGCAACTCGCCCTCCGCGTTCGGCACGTCGCCCAACACCTTCAACGTCGGCTCGCCCTCACAACACTTCGGGACCTCGCCGTCGCAAGCCTTCCCCCCGTCGTCCTTCAACTCGGGCCCGGGGCAAAATGGGACGTACTCGCCGGCGTCGGCGTTCAAGATGCCCCCCGGCAGCGGTGGCGGTCATGCGCACGATCCTTTAGGAGGCAATCTCTCTCAATCGAAGGGAGGCTACCCGCCGGCACCGAACTCAGCTTCCGCCGCGTCCCCGCGACATAGCTTCTCGGACTCGAACGCGCAGCGCTTTGGGGAATCGTCCTCGCAGCGCTTCGCGAGCTCGTCCCTCTTCGCCGACGCGAACGCGAAGCGCGCGAGCTTTGCCTCGGACCCCTTCTCGCTCGACATGGCAGGGCTGTACCGCGGCTCCGGGCAGGCAGGGTTCGAGACGCCCACCGCGGCGTTCCCGAATGGGCCGCCGAGTTCTGGTCTGCATGGGCAGGGCTTCGGCAACGGCTTTGACGTCGACGTGGACATGGGCCACCCGGGCGGGATGGGTCACTCGGGTGGACTTGGTCATTCGGGCGGGCTGGATGGAATGGGGGCGGGGATGTCGCTGGAAGGGCACCATGCGCCGATGGGGATCAGCGAGGCGGAGTTGATGGCGCTCATCACGAGCGAGCTGGGGAGCCAGCACGCGCAAAATGAACGGCCGGATGTGTCGAGAGAACAGCAGGACTCGCGGGGGAAGGAGGGCGACGGTTCGGCGCGAATGAATGGCGTCGCGTCGTCGCATTGAGATGCAGCGGTTGGGGAGAAGTGATTGGTGATCCGAGGCGGTCGACGTCGCGAGGAGGTTCACGGTATGGGATGACCAGCAGCGCGAGGCGTCCCCTGGGTGTGATAATGGACTGCGTAGTTTGTATACCAGCCTTTCTTCTGTGACTTATGCTTTGAAGTATTGCCTGAATGTATTATATAGTCCGTCTCCTTTGCTTTATCAGTGGCCTAGCTATATCCTATGCACCGTCTCCTTAGTAGTTGTTCCACGCTTCTGCGCAAAATAAAGGCCTTTCTACTATTGCTGAGTCGGACTTGGCTGTCTCTTTTGCGGTCTTGCAAGGTGTCCTAGCTGCTCGTTTACTTTGCGTCGAGTCGATGAAGGTCGTGGATGGCATAGAGGGAAAAAAGGTGTCCTCCTCGGCGGGGAGTCGAACCCCGCTCTCCCGCGTGACAGGCGGGTGTACTAGCCGATATACTACCGAGGACTTAATAATTTATCTTGCTTTAGTCTTCAGACTCCGCTAGAGTACGGATAACCTTCTGGACAAAACTCAGCCTTCAACTTGCTCCTGGGATCTTTTGAGACGGAACTAACACGAGTAGGCTCGATTCTCCGTCGGTTTGGGATTGGAACTCGCCTCGTGCCAATCCATGTCATCCGCCAGCAACGTCGGAACCGATGCACGTGAGGGATGTTCGTTTTCGGCATCCTTTTCGTCTCTCTATTCTAACCATACCGATGGCGCCGATAGCCTCACCCCCGTTCTCCTCACCTGTAAACTCCTCTCGTCACCGCAGAGAACAGTGCATGTGGGTTGGAGCGGCCAAGGGTGCTCAACCTGTGGCGCCCGTTCATCTCCCTGTCTCCGGACACCAAAGTTGTCAAGACGTGCTTCGAAGCGATGTCCCTCGGCGTTTCGAAAGGTTCGGCTATGCTCATCTGTGCTTCGGGATGCACGTCCAACGCTTCGACGAAGCCATCGCTGCCGAACGTCCCTTGCCGAGGGACAACGATGCGGCAGAAGGATGCGCCCGATGCGCCGAAGCATTCAGTGAGATGCCGGGCGATGGGAGGAGGGAGATGAAGGGGAAGAAGTGGGGATGATGGCCGAGATTAGATGCGATGTGAGCTGGGGGGCGGGGTAAGGGCCAATGGGCGTGTAGAGGTGAACTGAGTTGAGAGCGTAGCTCAGTGATCATGGAGGTAAAACACACTAAGCTTGTAGACCTCTCCAGCGAGCTGACAGACGCATTGACGGGTCGGCTTGAAGACATGAGCGCGCAGTCCTCGAGGCCGAGTATAATCCCTCGTTATCGGGACGGTCCGAAGCGCGGGACTTTGAGATGCAGGAGCGAGCTCTTCTCATCTTCTCTCGTAGGCGTTCACATCAGGACCCACGCATCTTTGTCTCTTTCTCAGCCTGCCACACATGCTTTTGCGCATTGCGACAAGTGGCCTCACCCGTCGTGACGAATACCCTAGCCCAACATCATGCATGTCCTCGCACATTGTGACGAATACACTTGCGCATACGGACCGAAAGACCCTCTTGACGTTACGGATGCATATGGACCTGCATGAGTGACTCAACCTCGCTGGGCTCTAATACGAGCGTAGCTGTGGCCGCATTACATACGCGAAGTCCGATAGTTAGGACAGACGCACCTGCGCGGACACGGTCGTACGTGACAGCAACCCTTGCAGAGCTCAACCGGTCCGGTCGAAGGCGAATTTGTTGACCATTGCTCTCGAGAAACAAAGCAAAGTAGAAGCGTCTGGCTAGATACTGCTAAGAGCGAGCGACTCGAGCGTTGCTTGGATATTTGAGCGCATGAATACGGTGCTTTGTGTCCTGTCCATGTCGCCAGCCGCTGGGGCAGGAATAATTCCCGAAGTGGCGTGTACGACGATCCAGGAATCCCAGGATACCTGCGAAGGTTCGCCGTGTGTGAGAGCGGAGATCTGCGCCTAGATGCTACCGACAAACCTTAGATGCGAGGGGGTCCTTCCGCGCACGCGGCACGAAGCTGGGCGAACGGCATGGAACAGAGTTCAATGAAGGTATCTCAAGGCATAGAAGCAATGGACCATGCGCGAGGAGGAGGCTAGCGAATGAGGATGGAGCGGGTTCGGAGCCGATGCACTGGATAGCATTGAATTACCGCGGGATGGTCTTGAGCTCCCGCGCCGGGTTTCCGGATGGATGAGGGGAGAAGATGAAAGGAGGGTAGGAGAGTGAAAAGGAGGGACTTCGTTGTTTATGTGATGATCATCGACTGTCGAGCGTCGGTTCGCGTCAAGCGTAAATTTTTGGACCCGTTCGTTGAGTCAAGCACCTCAGAGCCTGCGGAGAGGGTGAGTGTGAGCCTGAATGACCGCGTCGCTTCTCGTGCTTCATGAAAAAGCGCATTGAGAGGCGGATTCAGCGGCCACGTACTCACATGCGCCGCACCCCGAGATGGCCGTGAACATGAACGGAGTAGAGTCGTCAACAAGAACGGAGTTGGAACACATAACGAAAGGCGGAAGATTGCCGTCGGGAAATGAAAGCAACCAGGGTGCGCTTGACGAGACTCGCCAGGTACGCATTGTAGAAGACGCCCCAGTACGAACGTGACAAGAGTATGTTTGATGAGATGAAAGCCGAGAAGGGCGACGGAGCAGTGACCGCGCTGACGACTCAGAGACGGTGGGAAACTCGTGCCCCTCGCGGAAGTAACGAGAACGGAACAATGGCACACGTTCATCTCGGCGGATGTAGAAGTGACGCCACAGTCGCGAGGGTTCTACAGCTTTGCTGGCTTCCTGTCCGTGCGAGGGAGGACATTGTTCCATCAGAAACGTCGTTCGTGCGGGGCCCTGTGTGAATATGAAAGCTCATGGTCCTCATCGTTCCGGTGCGCGATCTTTCAAGGTGGTTGAGAGGGGTCACGAAGCATGAAAATTGTGCATGCCGACAGGAAGTCGAAGGAACCTTCGAGCACGAGTCTCACCTGTAGCCCCTGTAAGATTTGGAGCCCAGGAGGAGCAGAAGCGATCAGCCTCGCAAGGCTGCGTAAGGTCGAGATCATGAAAGTTGGAGACAAGAGCTCGCGTGGTCTGCACGTGATAATCCGGGAGTTTGCGGGCTACGGGCCGGTCTGTCCGTGGCTTGTTTTCGACCATCATGTTGTCTCCTCGGTGGTACGGCTGCTCCTTTGTCTCGCACTTCCCTCACAATGTAATTCTCTCCACCCGATGAAATGCTATACAGTTAACTCACCAATGCTCTCGCGTCTTCCAAAAGTCGAAGAAACGATGCAACTTGAAGAGGTCGAACCCTGGACATATTCGAGCGTACATACATAACTCCAGTCATGGGAAGTGCCCAGAGTATCTTTTGTCAGACACCCTTGCGCTCTGAAAGGAACTGGCATGTTTCCTCGTTTGCTCCTTGCGCTTCGGTCTCTTATTCGCCGCTCAATCAGCGCGCATTGACAGTTCATCAGGCTAAACACCTCGCGGCGCCTCGGCACTTGCTGGCACCAGAACACGCTGCTAAGCCGGCCCAGCTCTTCCTTCCAGCGTATGTGCTGACAAGGTCGTGTACCATCAAGAACGTTTTAAGGTCGTCTCGCTACATCAGCGGCGCCCTTACGCGCCGGCGAAACGGCTTACCGCTCGACAACGCGCGCATTTCGTAGCCGACGATGTGTCTCCCGCCTAGCTATACACCGCCTCCGACATCCTCGGCGCCGAAGCCACAACCAGCCATCATCGACACGCTCGCCGCTCTGTGGGCTGAGGCCGTAGCCAGATACGAGAATGATACGCGGACAAAGTCGAGCACGCCCTTGGTAGCCACCGCCCAGCGCGAGTCGACTAAGGGCTCTTTATCTACTCGCAAGCTCGATTCCGCAGACGCGATCTTTGACTACGTATGCCAGCACGAGGCCTCCTTCACGACCTTTCGCGAGGGCGGTGCAGGTCCGTTACTTCTCCGTCTCCGCCCAATCGCCGAAGTGGTGGGTACGTTGTCTGGCCTCATCGGAGAGGCCGTTGGTATCGTGAGTCGCCAAATGCTCATGAGCGACAGAAGGAACCGTACTGACTTCCTTTGCGTTACAGCCATTCGCTCCCGGCAAGGCCGTCTTCGCTGCAGTCGGAGAGCTGGTGAAGGTGAGATCTCATCGCATTTGGTCTGATGTGAGGGCTGAACATGATATGCAGGCTTCTCTCGCTATACAGGACGACTATGACGCTGTCTGCACGGCATTCGAGACGATGGAGGCCCACCTGCGTATCATACAGCCCGCAGTCGAGGGCGACCTGCATCCGACCTTGCGGGAAGCGTCTGTCAAGCTTCTCGCGCAGATTCTCACCGTGCTCGGCGTGATCACGAAACTACAGAGGGAGGGTCGTATACGTAAGCCGCCCATCCCCACCCAAGGCGCCCGTATTGACCAATTATGCTAGGAACTTGGTTGAAGAGACTGGCTCAGTCGAAGGAAGTGTCCTCAGCGTTGGATGATCTCGCTCGACTTGCGACCAGTCACCATCAAGCAGTCTCTGCCGTGACTCTAGCGACCTCGCAGAAGACGCTTTCTATGCTCGCGGATAGCATACATTGTAAGTCCTTGGCGCGTTCTGCTGTGACCTAAAACTAACTGGGTCTTAGGGGCAGCGGAAGATAAAGACATGAACCGTCAATGCTTGACGTCGATAGCGCAGATCGCCCAGGAAGTATATGGTGAGCCATCTGCTTCGTGAATGCGACTCCTGATATCCATCTGTCGTGCATCAGATGAAGTCAAGCGCAGCTCTTCCGCGACCTGCCAGGAGGTGATCAACAATCGAGTCATCCTCGAGAGCTTGCAGAGCACCCTCCTCCACCACCTCGCTGCTGTCGAAGATGACAGAAGTGAGCTCCAGAATCCCTTCTGCGTATCTACACTCACACTCCGTCGCAGCATCCGCCGACATGGATAAGATATGCAAGTGGCTTGAATACCAGGACTCTTCGCCGCGACTGAATGAACTATTGCATCACCGCACGCCCTCGACCGGCGCGTGGTTTCTCGATGGCGACGACTTCGTTTCACTGAAGACCGGTAAGAAGCGTTTCTTGTGGTTACAAGGGAAAGGTATGGCTTTGGCGCCCGTCCAGACATTCACCTGCTGACAAACTTCTAGCTGGAAGCGGTAAGAGCACGATGATGTGAGCCCTTGCATACGTTTTTGCCCGCGTACAGCGACTCAATGTATCCCCAGCGCCGGCGCCCTCAACGATCTACGCGCTACCAGTTTCCTCCATGACTCTCAATCCCTCGTCCTCTCCCACCTCTTCGACGCCACGAATGCCTCCCGATCTCGTAACTTGCGCGCTTTATTATCCGCGCTGCTATGCCAACTCGGACACCTCCGGGTTGAGAGCCTCTTTTCGCTCCTCCGCTTTCACAAGGACAATATGCATGGGCATTCCCAGCCGTCGACGCATGCGCTACGTCGTCAGCTCGACAGCGTCTTGGATAATTCGTCCACCACGACCTTCGTCGTCATCGATGCACTGGACGAGGCGGACGACGAGAATGGCGAGATCCTCGACTTTCTCCAGCACCTTCGCGCGCATGAGCAGGTGAAGCTGCTGCTCTCTAGTCGTGGGGAGGTGGTATTCCGAGATCGCTTGGCGAGCCTTTGCGACTCGTGCGTCATCATGCGCGAGGACCTGGTGGAAGGCGATATTGGCACGGTACTCCGCGGGGCTTTCGCCGAGGGCGGTACTTTGGGAAAAGTCAAGGACACCGACCTCGTGCGCGAGGCTCTCACCGCCGGGGCTGATGGGAGGTACGTCAGATTTCCTCGAAAATCGCGGCGACCATGCTAACAAAAGCATTCAGTTTCCGCTGGACCGCGATACAGATACGCGAACTGTCTCGGATAGCCGGGATCCCCGCGAAGGTCCGCCAAAAGCTAAAAGCACTGCCCAAGTCTCTGAGCGAGACGTACGATCGCTGTCTGCAGGCGATCGATCCTGAAGATCGCGCAGATGTGCACCGCCTGCTGATCTGGTTACTCCTGGCGTGCGTACCTTTGACCACGATGGACTTCGCGCAACTTCTCGCATTCGACTACTCTGACCGTATCCCATCTTACGACGCCGGATTGCAACCGTCATCGGCAGATGCGGTCCTCTCGCTCGTCGGGTCGACCTTCCTCTCTGTTCACGATGACGAGGTACGCCTCGCGCATGCGTCCGTGAAAGATTACTTGCTCGCGCTTCCGCCCACGTCCGATTTTCATATCGACCCCGAGCTCGCACATTCGCTCATGGCTCTTACTGGCCTTGCGTGCCTCAGCGCCATGCCCGACACCGACCAGGAGACGCGTCCACAGAAGCCGAACCACCTGACGTACTCCTGGGTCGCACACGTAGCAAAGGCCGGCACCGGTGCTTACGCCGACCTCGAGCGGGACACCCTCACTCTGCTACAGGGGCTTCGCGGATCGGAATATCTCAGCGACGCACTCCAGGCCGCCGCTCAGATAGGGCATGCGCTGCTCGTCAATCTTCTGATTGAAGAACTTGACGCAGACGTCGACGCTCGCGATGAACCTGACTTTACTGCCCTCCACTACGCCGCGCGAGAGAACCATCTGGGTATCGCTTGCTTGCTTTTGGACAGGATGAACGTAGCGAAACTGAATGGCGCCGAAGGCCGTATCTCGCCGCTGCACTGTGCAGCTGCGTACGGGCACGAGGATATGGTCGCTCTGCTCGTTAGCCGTGGCTTGGACATAGAGACTCGAAGCAATAACGGCTTCACGGCCCTCCATTCCGCCGCCATATCCGGGCAGGCGAGCGCAGTACGCTTCCTCGTCGGGCTCGGGGCCAACATCGGAGCTCGCGACGTCGATCACGAGTCGTCTCCCCTCCACTACGCCGTGCAAAGAGGTTGCGACGATGCGGTAGCCGCGCTACTCGACCTCGGCGCAGACATCGAGCAGCGCGACAAGTACGGGCTCACGCCGCTGCACACTGCAGCTCTATCCGGTCGCCTCGAGGCCGCGCGCAAGCTCATCGCACGGGGGGCGGACATGGCCACGCGGTTCGAGCAGTACTCTCCGATACATACCGCTGCTATGAACGGAATCCAAGACGTTGTTGCCCTCCTTCTTGACAGCGGAGTGCCTATGGACGACCCCAGCGCCTATGGCAGCACAGCGCTGCACATTGCAGCAGAGAACGGGCATATTGAGCTCGTACGTATGCTCCTGTCTCGAGGGGCAGAGCTCGATGTCCGCGAGCGCAGGCATGCCACACCACTCCATCTCTCTGCTGCGCAGGATCGTGACGAGGTCGTGACCTTATTGCTCAATATGGGCGCGGACACAAATGCCCATGACAACTCAGATACGACGCCTTTACATTACGCATGTCGGAATGGCTCTACGCGCACCGCTCGTATCCTCCTCGCCGGCGGGGCGGATATTGATGCTCGCGATAGCTCACAGCTCACCCCGATGCTCCACGCTGTCTACATGGGCCACCAAGAGATCATCGAACTGCTCCTCCTATGTGGAGCTGATCCCGCGGGTCACGGTGGTCCCGGCGTTCTCCACACTGCAGCATGGACTGGTCATGTCGAGATCACTCGCCTTCTCGTCTCTCATGGGGTGAGTGTCCACACCCGAGACGAGCTCGCTTCCACGCCCTTGCATTCCGCTGCTCTGAAAGGTCAGAAGGATACCATGAACGTACTGCTCGACGCGGGTGCTGACACGGAAAGCCGCGACGTCGACGGCTGTACCGCACTCCACTATGCGACCAAAGGCGCCCACCTGGGTGTCGTGTCCATTCTTCTCGATCGTGGCGCGGATGTGAACGCGCGAGAGAAGACTGGGAAGACGGCCCTACACTTTGCAGCAACGGGAGACATCCTTCGGTCAGCGACGGAAGAGCGTGTAGCGGCGGAAGGGCCCGCGCAGAATGGGTCGGATCACCCAGCTCTTTGCCCGCGCCCCAATATTGAGGTCGCCCGCGCACTCATAAACGGCGGGGCGCACGCGAATTGCCAAGACGACGACGGAAACCAACCTCTGCACGTCGCAGCCTTCCACGAGGCGGAAGAGATAGCTCGGCTTCTCCTTGCAGCTGGCGTTGATCCCATATGTTCGAATCGTATGGGTCGGGTACCTGTAGACGGGATCGGCACCAACAGCCAGCTATCGAACAGCCCGGCCAGGCGTGAGCGCGTTCGCCAACTCTTGGGCGCTAGTGTGGTGGTCACTACAGCAGGCATGCCGAAGTAGGAGAGGTGTTCCCATTAAGGTAAAAGCCGCCGGGCGACAATTTGAAGGGCGCTAGGAGTCTGCGCAGTGTAGAAACAAGAAACAATAGCTATCAATACATGTCGTAGCGAGGTATATATTAGTGAGTTGCGCAGAGCAGAGCCGAGGTGAACCGGAACGAAGTCATGGTCGAGGACAATCCTGATTTGCGAGGCCACTACACCTCTTATGCTCTACATGCGCTGATTCCTCGACCTTTCCTAGCGCCGATCACGACGAGCTCGTCATTTCGGGGGGGGGGGGGGGGATGTCCTCCTCTTCGAAAGCATCCACCTGCGTCTCCCACCAATTTTCCAGGTCGGGCGTGGGCCGAGTTTCAAAGTGCTTGAAGCGCGCCGGATGGCGACCAAATACTGACGCTGCAAATGGCCGCAGCGTATAGACATGTTTGATCTTGGACGTATCGCTGTGAACCCCTTTCAAGGGCGGGAAAGACATACTCCGGCCGCGGCTCCACGCACGAGTTCTGGTTCCAGGTGGAGAGGGATTCGCATACTCCAAGCGCAACGACGGAGGCTGTCGCTCGACATCCGGTTTCCACCTAGCTCCCGCAGCTAGCAGGCGGTCCACGATCTTGTCAAGACCTCTGGAAGTGGCCTCATGAAGCGGCGTCACGCCGGCATCGTCAGGCATATCCGTGCGTGCGCCAGCGCGCAGCAGAAGGATGACCATTCTGATATCACCGCGGCGTACAGCACGCTGCAGCGGGGTGCACAGGTCTTCCGTGAAAAGATGCCGCCACTGGGTCTGAATCTGGGTGAAGTGCATGAGCAAATCCGATGATGAGGCAATGCGCTCGTCCGGCAACGACAACTCCTGTTTCCATGAGTCGGTCCTGCGTATCGCGTAGTATTCGGGCGAACCGCGCTTCGGAAGCCTCCTAGGTCGTCCACATGTTTCTTCGTTCACGTCGGCCCCTGCTCGTATAAGCATCTTCGCGATGCCGATGTCGCCCTCGACGACAGCGTAGTGCAATGGTGTTCGTCCACGTACAAAGGCGTTGACGTCTGCGCCCGCCTGGATTAACTTGGCGACAAGGTAGTTCCTTCGATCAGGCGCACTGCAAGATCGATCTCCGCGTCCTCGACCACTGGTAATGGCAAACATGATCGGCGTCAGCCTCAGCCACTGTGAAGACAGATCCTCGGCCATCTCCGGGGTCCGATGATTGGGGTCTGGAAGAAGATAGCGGAGGATGAGGTCAACGAGGTCTGGTGACAGAGCCTCGCGCGCAGCATACAAGGGCTGAGTCGTTTGAGAGCAGGATTCAGGCTGATTCATGATTTTCCATAGCTTTTTCCACCTCTCTTGAACCTCGTTCGACATGAGCAAGTACATGACGGTCGCCTCTAGCTCAGGACATGCAGAGAGGTTAACAGTCCTAGCGTAGTTGAGCCAATGCTCGGCCGCGTGCGTGTACAGAGGCACCTTGCCTCCTCGCGACATGAGTTCGAGAGCCCAACCGTCCTGGTAGTAGCCACATGTTATCAAATAACCGACGCAAGTCGCCGTAAGCTGCTGCAGCGCGACGTCATGAGTGTTGTAGAAAGGGGATGATGGAGGTAGCGCGCGCAGGTACTCCAGGACGGAGGCATGCGCGAAGCGAACGTCGCCACTTTGAGGGTCAACTGTCAAGAATGTTGATCCAACAAGGGCGATGACCTCGTTCGCAGAAGATGGACGGAATCGTCGCGAGAAGACAGGTACAGGCCGGGAGTAGTCAAAGGACATGATCTCTGCGAACTGCTCTTTCCGCAGCGACGAGTGACTGAATAGTAGCCACATGAAGAGTCGGCGAACATCGGCGTGATCACGCTCGTCGATTTTGGAAAGCGCTTCGTCGTAGAGGGCGCGGAGATCAGGAGGCAGAGATGCGAGGCGCTCAACCACTTTGAGAGGGAAAGCAGCGACGAGAGAAAGTTGCTGCACTTGTAGAGCGACCCAACGGAAGCTACCACGATAGTCAGTAAGCTGCGCTGCACTAGCTCGAGAGGCGTGACATACTTTCCGTCGGCGCCGGAGGTCAGTGTCCTACACGCCGAGCGAGGGTTCTGAATTTTTGCCAAGGGCCCATCCCTCGAGAGCGTTTGGTTCAGCATAATGCCGATGTCTCTAGCAACCACCTCCGTAGACATGAGAACATGACCGTCAGCCAAACGCTCGAGTTCATCCCTGGCCGCCAGCTCGGACCGGCTAGAGACGAGGATGGAGATTTGTTCCCGCTCTCGTAGCTCGCCGAGCAGTCTGAGGACCTCTCCTATATCGTCAGATTCGTCGAGAGCGTCAATCGTGAGAAATACGTGTTGGCCTTCACCGAGTAGGTGCTTTATGTAGTACCGCAGCTCATCAAGAGACGGCTGTCGCATCCCGCGCAGATGCTCCCTGCGGGCGCGCGAGAGAAAGTCGACAGCCCGGTGCTCCTGATGAACAAGCTGACACAACAGAGAGGCCAAGAGAACTTCTAGATTTCTCTTGATAGCGTTGTTCGTCGCGTCGAAGACGTGAAACAAGGCTAAAGAGGACCCGGGCGTATTGCAAATGGTTCTGATGTCGCGCTCGGCTGCTGCGCTGCAAAGCACATAAGGCCTTGAAGGGGTGAAACACCATATCAACACATACATTATAGTACTCTTCCCCGAGCCCGCTGAGCGTGAAGCCATTGGTACAAGAACTTCCGTAAAAGCTGACGACGCACCTTTACCGTGCAACCAAAGGAAGCGCGCAGCCCCCACCTTGAACTTAGCGAATTCCTCGCCATCGAGGAACCAGGAACCAGTCGAGCGCGCACGTTGTTGCAAGAGATTGTTGATCTTGATTGAGAAGTCCGGACAGCGCAGCCAGGCAAAGATGCGGTCTATCTCGTCGTCTTCTGCGAAGGCATCAGCCCAGAGCTAGCTGGCACTCGTCAATTGAGCAGTCTACCTTTATCATGCTGATAAGCCTCAGAATGGAGGAGAAGAATGCCTTGAATATCCTCAAGGATTGCTCGATTGGCGTGTACTTGCTGATCGATCGTGAGCGCATTTGACCTAATCATCTCTATATGATGTCGCAGTAAGCCCTTCCGCGTGCACTTGAAGAAAAAGTCGAGACGTACCGTGCATCTCCTGAGCGACCTTCACGATTCGAGTGAGGCAGGTGCGAGTCATGTCTTGTTCTTGCTGTACGGCTGAAGGAAGTTGAGATCGACTCGAAAGCTGCGAGGGGGCTAAACGCACAAGTCATGCTATGCCCAAGAAGGTCCATCGTCCTCTCAACGCTGAGCAGTGTTATTGCGGAGAGTGTCTCGTGGTGATTTGTAGCCAGACGCTGCAGGTCCGCCAGAGCCTCTGTCAGCTCATGCGACTGCTTGAACTTGTGAAGCCATGTCTCTGATGAACGATCGAGCCTGAGGGATGCGCTCCCGCTGCATCGGTATAGCACTCACTGAAGCGTCCGTCTCGCTGAAGCTGCGTGATGACTCCCATTACGACGAGTGTCTGGGAAAGGACCCGTACTGACGGCTCGCGGAGGGTCTCGTTGGCGCCGACAATCTTGATGCGCGCGAGGTGGTCTGCAATGGTCTCGAAGGCGTCCATTGCCGCGTCGTAGTCCTTCGTCACCTCGATCGACAGCTAAGGAGACGGGTCTTGTCAACGACTGAGCTGCCAACACGTCTGGAAACGCACCTTGATAGCTACGCCGATCGCGCCAAACACGGCCTTCATAGGTGAGAAGGGCTGTGGAGCGCCGTCAGTGAGATCTCGAGAGAGAGAGAGATAGAGACGCACGAGTGTCACTGCATCCCCCAAGCAGCTTGAGAGCAGCTGAACCGTAGCAGCGATTGGCTTCAGCCACTTGCGTGCTCGCGCGCCCCCACCAGCGCGGAATAGGGCGAAAGACTCGGCGCGCTCGTCAATGAAGCTTTCGATCGAGCTCGCGGATACGACATCGACAGAGTCGGCAAGAAGTAGCGCAAGCTTCATCCCGGTATCGCGCTCATATCGCTCGACAGCAGCGCGCCAGATCTCGACGATGGCTTCCTCGTCCTTTGCACCGTCCAAAGCAGGTCCAACAGATCTCACTCGAGTATCTCCGTCCATGTCCAGCGCCGCAATATGGGTAGGTATAAAGTTGAGCAAGCGGTGTCGAATAGGCGCTGTGGAAGCAGGTCTATAGGTGTCATGGGAAAATGGCCATGGCCGTATGATGTCGGTGCATGCCGAACGCAGCATTCAGTATCGGCATGGCTTCTTCGTGAGGCGCCGACTACGAGTCAACCTTCAAGGCATGCCCCCGGTAGTCAAGAAAGAGCGTATATTCCATTCTTCCTAGCACAGCGCAAGAGTATACTGCCCTTGTGATGTTGCGAAGGCCATCTTGCGTTCAGCGCCGATCGCGCGAGTATCATCGCCGGCTTGTCTCTCTTGTGCTTGCAATCCAGGGCGAGTACAGATTCCACTTTGGAGCGTCGATAATTCAGCACTTCTAAGAGGGCATGGAGGCGAAAACCAAGTGAAGAAGACGGCCGATCAGAGAACTGGTTCCGTTTTGCTTCCGCGCCGGAAGTAACCGAAATCACGCGACAGCACGTGACCGATGTTTTGAGGACCAAAAAAGTCCGCGGCGGTTTGAGCTCGCGGCTGTGGTTGGTAGAGAAGAGAAGAGCTCGTATGGAGGCAGATACTTACCGATGTCTCTACTAAGCCCGGCGGCCATGCAGGTTTCAGAGTCACCGGCGATGCGCAAGCACTACTAGTGCGATTGTGGTATACTCTACATGTGCACAACACCAAAGCCGGAGAGTCCCACAAACCGTCCCGTTATCTATACAAACAGTATAGCAGTGTAGCAATCAGTTATGAGAGACGAGAAATTTGATATAATGAGACAGAATAAAGAGTGAGAATGTCAGTGATCCTGAGTGTGTACAATGGCTGGGAAAGTCGAGAGTGAAAAAGGAAAGCATGCATGCGTCTAGAGAAATGAAGAGGAGATGTAGAGACGTGGCCAAGGATCCATGATGAAGCAGAGATCGCGAGATAGCAATGAGGATAGTAGATGGGGAAAAAGAGAAAGAAAATGATAATCACGCGTGAAAAGTGTGCCTCTACGCGCAGGTGAGATCAATCTGCGGAGCCATCGCCCTCAAGCCAGGTACCCCGACGCGCCGTACACGACGAGCGGGCTGGGCCGATGATGAAAAGCGCCCACGCGCTGCTGAGCGGCGGCAGACAGCATACGCGCGCCGGCCCCAAGCGAGAGCGTGCGCGAGCGAGAGTCGGAACTTGAAGTGGAAGGAGGGTACGTGTGCACATATCCGTCGTAGTTCGGCTCGTGGCCCGCATCGTCGTAGACCGAGGGCGCATAGACGAGGTGGTCCGTAGATGCGTGTGGTCGAGGATGCGAGGATGAATGTCCATGACGTGCTCGCCGTGCACCCGCCGCTGCCGTCTGCGGTCGGTCTGCAAGCTCAGCATACGTCGGAGGCAGCCGAGCGCGCGGATTACGCTCACCATCGGCCACACTGGGTGTCCGAGACTCACTCGACCGCCCACTCGTCGCCTCAGGCGTTCTCGACCGCAAAATCTCCAGCGCCACATTCTCCAGCTCCGCGCGCTCTACATGGACGCTGAAGCCGATCGCGCGCAGGAGGCCCTCCGTGTGCTTGCGCATCGCCTCTTTGCTAAACGGCGCGACACCATCAACAAAGGCATCCGCCCCCAACCATGCCCTCCCCTCTCCCGCCCAACAGTAGTTTCCAATATGCGCCCAGCACCCCGTGCAGATCCCGACCTCCGTGCCCGCACGGTGCGCGAGGGAGAGCGCGGCGAGGAGGCGCTGCTCAGGAGAGACAGACGCGAGCACGAACATCGAGGAACGCGCTCTCAAGAGAAGCAGCGCGTGCAGCGCCACACTGAGCTGCACCTGCGCGCGGCCGAGGACCCGCGCCACGAAGGTCTGCGGCCTGCGGTCGTCCGCGCTGAGCTTGGACCCCGCAGCGCGGACGAGGGCGCCCGCGATCTGGTCGACGTCGTAGAAGTTGACGGTATGCCGCCCGCTGACGCCCGCGAGCCCGCAGCGCGCGGTGTACCCTGCGAGAGTCGGTGCTCGAGAGGGACTCCCGCTTTTCGACGCCCAGCTATCACCCATTGGGATCTCACACCGCACGCGCGGGTACCCATGCGGCATGGCGCTGCTAGGCAGAGCCGTGAGGGCGTCCTGGCGCGTTCGCGCGGACGGAGACGCGTTGATATCCTGCGGAGAGAGTTCGTGGGTCCCCGCCGTGCGGCAATATTGCCTGCAGGTAGGATTCCCGAACGGGTTCGCGCTATCATAGCGCGGCTGGTTAGCGCCGTCGTAGCGCGGCTGTGGGGGCGGATGTGGTGCTTGAGAAAGATAGGCGGCGGACTGAGAAGGGTAGGCGGCGGAACGAGGAAGATAAGCGGCGGGTTGAGGAGCGTAGGCGGCAGGACGAGAGGCAGGCGCCGCGTGGTGTGAGGGCACGCGAACTAGCGGGGCGCCCGCGTGGTAGATCGGCGCGTAGTAGGTCGGCGGGCCGGGGTAGCCGGAGGGGTCGCAGTACGGCGGGTACACGGGAGCGTGCATCATGGCAGGCGGGAAGGCCATGGACCAGGAGGATGCGGCAGAAGGAAAGGAGTGGGTGTGGGCGCTTAGGGTGATGGCGCAGGCGCCTGGGACAATGAGGCGCTGTTAGCAAAGGGCAATGAGGCGCTTAGCGAAGGGTGGTGCACAGCTGATGGCGGGCTGGGGCGCGCTTGCTGTGCGGCGTGCGTTCGTTGTGTGGCGGGCACGGGTCTGCTCGGCTGTGGGATTACTATTAGAAAATGGGGCACCAGCGGGTACTGCATGGGTGCTCACCAATGAGTGTGCACCGGTAAGCGCCTTTCGGGTGCTCTAATCTCTCGCCTTTGGGGGCCGTGGGGAAAGCTACCTCACCGCGCCGTCATCCTTTATACCGCCAATGATCACATTGGCGAACAATAACATGCCGTGTCATTGTTCCCATTTTGTGATCGATGGTCAAAGCCTGCGCTTCTGAAGGTCTTTGTACGCAGAAATGCACTGCTGAGCGCGCTTCTCGCATGGAGCGGTCTTTACGACGACATACATGGTAGAGCAGGTGGCTGCGCCGAGCAACGTTAGCTGCGCGGCAGTTTGCTCCAGGTCTCCCTCGTGCAGACGACAAACGATGCCGTCCGCGATAGCAAAAAGCTCCTCGGCGGGGAGTCGAACCCCGCTCTCCCGCGTGACAGGCGGGTGTACTAGCCGATATACTACCGAGGACCTGATAGTGCTGGTCATGCAAGCGATGGCACCGTTGAGAGCGTGGTATCCCTTGCGCAACCAGTCGTGCCGATACAATGTTCAGTTGGGACCATTTTTGGTGGGTAGGTCAGTGTCAGTCAGCAGAAGGTTCGGTTTCAGGGAAAGCCGACGTTCGAATGATTACCTTAAACCGCGCTGGGTCGCCAGTATAGTTTATGGCAGGCCGCATCTTGTTCTGTGCCGCAGGGAAGATGAGAAGGTGGGATGTAGAAGGCGAGACAATCTGTAGCGCAAAGGAGCGTGATGGTCGAAGACAAGGACGAGACTGAGAAACGGAGGTCCGAAATGGGAAGGAGCCAATCAGGTGCAAACGGAAGTGAGCCACACGGGCCTCCCTCCTTCTCGGACTCTACCTTATACGCGTTGCGTTCGTCGTCGTGTCTCTACCGCGGCTATCTCTGAAAATACGTCGTGCTTCTCTCTTGACAGCGCTTGATGCTGCATCATCGTCAACGAGTGGTGACCCGCCACGCACGAAGCGGATAGAACAGCGATCATGGGAATCTACGTCGGACCAATGCGCTCGCACAACTCTGCGCGCGTCACCCCGTGTCATCCATACTTAGCATTCAAAGAGGGAGGAGGAGATGGCTACCTGGCCAGATCGAGACGCCGTCAGGGCTTGGTGCGTCGACGCGCCGTCCCGCGCGCGGGCAGCTGCTGACGTTCTCTTCAGGCCCTACCCAAGGATTTTCCCCAAGACGATTCCAATCCCCGAGACGACGCAGCGATGAACAGTCAACTCGGACGCCTCAATGCTCTCCCATCGATCCCTCACCTGCTTAGCTGATCTTCCTCGACGCGCCTGCCCTCGCTCCACGCCGGCTTGTTTTGCCCCTTCCTCAGCAGAAGAAACATACGACCGTGTACAAGCCTATGACGGCTGCTCAAGCGCAGGGTCTCATCTTCCTTCCACTGCTCACTCTCAATCCCGCTAGGGAACGAACTCGAACAAGTACGTCTCATCGCTCCCTCGCACTCGCCGTCCTGATCGTGCGCAGGGCTTGTCGTCGTATTCCATGCTTTCATATGAGCCCGTGCGCCGTACGTTTGGCAATACACGAATCATGTGGCCCTCCCGCTCGTTCAATGCGCGTCCAACATCAAGCCCGATCCTCGTCTCGCCTGTACGCACCTCTCGACAAGGCATATGTCCACCAAAGCTCATACGTGTCCACGTATCTCGTCTTGCTCAGCTTCATATGAATCAGCAGCATCCGGCCAGGACCAAGACACGCCAGCAACGCTCTCCCGTCAAGCCGAAGCATACAATTCAAGCATCCCTCATACAGTCCAAGCCGCCTTCATCTCATCGCACCCTCGCCCCACCTCGCCTCCTGCCAGCCTCACCTTCCGCCAATACTACGTACACTCAGATCGTACGCTCAAACGCTCTCGACGTCATGTTGTCGGTGCGGGCATCCTCCACGCTGGCACGAAACCCCTCAACTCGCCCTCATCGCGTGCGCCGAACCAATCTCACCCGTCGACCTCATAGCATGAACCCCTACGCGGCACATATACTTTCTCCGAGCCCCTACACGGCGCGTCGATCCGCTCCGACCCCCTACGCGACGCAAGTATTCACGTCAACTTCGACCTGAAGCGATGACATCCTTCCACCCACGCGCGATGCAATCATTCCCCTCGCGGAGGTATTGGTTATACCCCTACTGCGCCTGATGCCAGAGCATCGATAGGTACGTCTTGCTGGGTGAACATCATCGTTCTCTCGCATACTTACTCTCGCTCAGCCTGTAGAGCAATAACCTCGACACCCAACGTCAAAGCCAATTCGTCCAATCCACCGAGAGGTTTCCGACTGCCGACCATATCACGGGCGAGGACGCCCACGCGTCGTCGTGTCCAGTCCTATGTCGCCGTATCCTATCCCCGTGTCGTCTTATTCAGTGACCGCGACGCCCGATCCTTCTCGTTCAGCTCAAGTCCTGTCTCTCCGCCTACGTGTGTACCTGCAGGACATGTGCAAGACTCTCGTCGGGCTCCATAAATGACGCCGCGACCTTTCGCCGTCGTGACCGTCCTCGTCAGCAAGGACAAGTTCAGTCGTGCACGCGACGTCCTGCAGTCCCATCCAAAAGAGAGGAGACGTCTTCAGCTTGCCGACGACGAAGCCGCATACAATCGACCAACACCACTTACAACTGACTAAGACGAGGTCGATTCCGTCCTCCAGCAAGTCTCTCACCAGTACTGGGGCGTCCTGTGTCCACTCGCTCGTGGTCTAGCACGCCAACATGCTTCTATGGCGTAAGTTATGCAGGTAGTTGGTACACGTCTCTTCGCTCCGAGAAGAGGGTTGCGGCTCACATCCTACTCAGAGTCTCTTATGATTCGCAGGCATGCGGGGTCCACGGGTGGGCAGAAGTATGACCGGGCGCGGGGGTGTTACAACGAATGTTGATCTCTTTGTTGTAGGTAGACCCGGAGATGTCTCGTACCGCTGGTACATGCCACGATATGTGAGTACTGAAGAGAGGCGGAAAGAGATCGCGATAGACAAGGGGCGATATCCTAGATTGGCGAGTGCAGGGAGCCCTTGGCGAGCGTTGTTTGTCTACAAACAGGCGAGCTGTATCACCTTCAAGAATTTCGGATATATTGTCAGAGGAAATTGAGCATGGATATATCAAGCGAGATAGGAACAAACCGAGGAACCGGTCTGAGGTTGATCTTGCTTACCAGTGTTTGTCGAGCCCATTATTCCGAATGCGGAAGGCTTTGTTCGACTTGTCCTCGACGTTCATGTTCTCATTAGAATCAAGGGACGGCCGACTCCACCAGCTGAATCTCGGCATCCGCCCCGAGAGAACGAGCATCCACTGCTCTTGCACTGCTCATGTATATGGTTCAAAGAATTCGATGAACTCTACGAATGCAATACGTCCTCGGCTAGCGACCATCGGGTGCTTGGGCAGGAACAATACGTCCGGGAGAGGTGACTGGGTGCTTGCCCCTCTGTGATTCCACACGCGCGAGCAAACTTTGAGGAGCGGCTCGGCGCAGGAACACTGCACCGATCGCATATACCGGTACGTGGCGACGCACACTCGCACGTCCTGAGCCGTCTGACCCCCTCAACAGCTATCTCATACATTCCAAAGCACCTCTAATCTGCTCTTCTTGAAGACATAGACTCGTCTGCCCTCGCACCCGAAGTGCTGACAGCGGATTCTCCGTGATCGAGCTGACAACGGTCCCAAGGTGCGTACTCTGCTCCCTCACCATGACTTTTCCGCTAAGTGGTACTTGTATCAGCGCATTGCAATTCGTCCAATACGTCTCGTGTACGCCGATCTCTCGACACAACGCAAGAAACGACGATCGGCACGCGCCATACCCCACGCCCCCATTCACGAGCATCATCATGCCCAAGCTACGCGTCCTTCGCCTCGCCGTTGCCGGATATACACTCGTCGGCAGCCTCCTGAACTCCAGCTACGCTTTTGCGCTACCAGACCGCTTGCATCCACCGCAACCTCGTCAGTTTCGGCGTACGTCCCGGCCGTCCAGGTACCGCTCGCACTACCGCGGATAACACCCAAGGCCTTCGCTCTCGTACATGAGCGTCAACCATACGGAGTGCTATCTCTGGGCCAATAGCAGCCTCCGCTGGACTCGCCGTTCGGGCTCGCGAACTTCGTCTTCACGTTGGCCTCATCGACAACGACCGTCGTCGACTTCGGCCTCAGAATCCCCTCGATTTCTCTCGCCGAACATGACACCATCGCTCAAGTTCAACTGTGCATCTAGACGGTTGAAGGGATATCTCGCCCAATGGGCAAACGGTCGGGTACACTCACCTTCGGCCGACTTGACGTCCGCTTCTTCGACAACAGGCGATGTTGCTCCTTTGCTGCGCGCTGAAGAATGGAGGACCATTCGACCAGCGGTCCGATTACTGCCTCAGGTGCTCAAGACGTAGATCGCCACAAAATCATAGTACCCTCGTATGTATGCTTCGATACACGATCTGCTCCTCGCGCTAACATACCCGCTCGCCAACGTATATAGCAAAGCTTGCTTCATATCATATCGTTTCCTACACATATTCAATCGTTCTCTCACACCATACCGACACCAGACCAAGTATCCCGACGCTCGCCTGGTGATACGTGTAGTGGGAAATTCACACACTGGCAGTCGCCGTATCATAGCAGTAAGCAAGAGATGCATCGTCAGCCATGACATATCCTGCGCCATCTCCGGGAAACCTCGTCCCTTCGCATCGACGTCTCCGCTAGAACGGCATGTTGTGTCCTTCCGCCACGCTGTCAACCTCTAGACGACAGATCGAGCAACCTTTACTCACCTCACGTGTTTGTGGAGGTCGTAGCGCCTACGTCGCGGAGCTAAATCGGGCAAAGCCACACACGATATGGAGGAGGAGGGGGCTCGGATAGAGTCTTGGGCGGGGGAGACTCAACCAGAGGAGGCTCGGGCGAAGGATTATCAAGCGGAGAGTCGCACAAAGGGGACATCGCTGAAGGCCTTGGACCCTCTATCGCCGTAGCTTGCAAGAGCATATTCCGAATACGCTGGTCTCGCCGTGGATCTTTCTCAGCGTATTCCCACCGTCCTATCATATCCATTGGGATCATCCCATTGTTGACACGAGCCCCCGCGTCAGCGCCTAATTCGAGAAGTATCTGCACAGCCTCTTCGCTAGCACGGTATGCTGCACAATGCAAGGGCGTCATGTCCGCGCCAGTTCGAAACTCCATATCCGCACGGTGTTCACAAAGCAGGCGGATGGAGCGGGTATGGCCGTTGGTCGCAAAGTGGAGGGGCGTATATCCACCAATCGACTCGCGAGGGCCTACGTCCGCGCCAGCTTCCAGCAGCAGTCGAGCAACATCGTCGTTATCGAACTCTCGGACTGCAAGATGAAGAGCGGCACGGCCCTTATCATTGGTGGCCTCGACCTGTGCCCCAGCGTGCAAGAGAAGGTCCGCGGTATCCTTGTGACCAAATCTCGCAGCGAGATGCAGCGGTGTTTGGTTGCTGTGATCGCGAGCATCTACGCTGGCCCCTCGCGCAATGAGCAGGCAGGCGATTTCGCTCTGTCCCTGCCACGCCGCATAATGGAGAGCTGTAAAGCCCACCCGGCTTTGAGTATCTACTCGCGCCCCCGACTGTAAGAGGAGCTCCACCGCTCCTTTATGGCCACACTGGGCAGCGCGAAATATAGGGGACCGGTTGCGATCATCCGCAGCATCCACGCTTGCCCCTTGTGCAATGAGCATGCTGGCAACCTTGCAATGATTTTCGGATATTGCGAGGTGGAGAGCAGTCCGCCCATCACCGTCAGCATCGTCTATGCCTCTTCCTTTGTCGTGGAGAAGCTCTACTAGTCGCTCATGGCCTAGCTGTGCAGCGAGACGCAGTGCCTTCCCGAGAACGATGTCCACGTCAGGTCGTCCACGTAGTTGACGAAGCATCGCGGCGATGTCTTTCTCGAGCTCGTAGTAACAACCCATCCCTGCCATGTCGATAAAAGAGACCCAGCCGACGGCGAGATCCGAACGTGGGTCAACAGGGCGGGCGCCGGCGACATATGCGATACTCATGCGCGCCAACAGAGCATGTGAATTGCCAGAGTATTCAGCTTCTTGCTCGAGCAGATACTCCTGTACTGATGCATGCGCGATGCGAACGATGCTGTGCACCGCTGTGACGAACATCGTGTCAATCGTGTTCATGGCAGCATCTTGGTGAGGGACGAGCGTGTCATCGTAGACAGGAAAGGTGCCCGAATAATCGAAGGCGAGCAATCTTGCAAAGTCTATGCGCGAAGGAGCTTCCCGGGAGCAGGCGAGCCAGAGCAGAACGCGGCGAACGTCAGTCTGTACGTCCTTGTCGATGACATCCAATCGCTGCTTGTATAGCTCAATGAGGGATCTTGGTAGCGATTCGAGACGACGAGACAGCTGGACCGGGATACCGACCAATTTCCTCAAGTCTTCGATAAGCAGTGCGGCCCAACGCAAGCTTTAGGAAGGTTACTCTCAGGGAAGAATGAAAAGCGCGTTCAACTCACTTTCCATCGGCTCCTTTGACTAATCTGTCGTGCACTTTCTTCTCGAGCACGGTTCCCTTCAGAGACCTCAGAGCACCGGTCTCGAGGGATGTTTCGACAAGAATGGCGACATCAGTGTTCGCGCGATCGTCATCCACGGAAATGACAGTTTGACATAGGTCCCCGATGGCCACTATCGTACGACTGGACACCAGGAGCGAGACCGTCGGGTGTATACGAAGGTGCCGAAGGAAGTGGACAATCCTCTCATCATCTGCTTCGTCCAAGCCGTCGACAAGGATGAAGACACGAGACCTTATGTCGGAAAGTATGGCATGTATGGCGCGCTCCATCTGGTCGCGCGTTGCAACACTTCCAGCTGTACGCGCCTGTGGTTTGGTCAGGTAGGGGATGGCATGCTCCTTATGGTGAAGCACAAGCTGAGAGAGTAGCGAAGTCAGGAGCGAGATTATGTTTTGCTGGGAATGGTCCGTCCTATCGAAAAGGTGGATAACAGCGAGGGCGTTCCATTCCTCGTAGGCGCAGTGAAGTTCCAAATCTTGCATGGCGGCGGCCCTGGACTCAGATAGATTAGCAACAAGCACGATCTCGCAAGCGAGTTCTCGCATGGCGTACATGATAGTACTTTTCCCGCATCCAGCTGACTTCCGATCAATAATTGCTGTAGTAAAACACTTGATATCTTACCTTGACCGTGTAGTAGAATGGATCCATTTCGAACCCTCTTGAAGTTGGCAAACACCTCCCCTTCGAGAAACCAGCGGCAAGTCGATGGTACGCGATCATTGATGAGTTTCGCCGTCTTGACCGAGTAACCAGGCCATTGGAGCCATCTCAGAATATCCTCAACCCTTGCGGCCACTAGACAATAACGTCAACAAGGGAGGGGAAGAGAAAGCCAGGACATACCGACTACCTCGCTGATGCCTGCCAACTGCGCCTGGAAATTCTCTTCAATACGCTTCAAGCCGTCAATACTGGCTATACTTGAGAGTTAGTCTGTACGGCTCTAGGTTATATTGCAGCTTACCCTGATTACTCTGACGCACAAGCTTCAATAGCTCGTCGAAGCTCGCCTTGATCGAGCCGCGAATATCTTTGTTCCCTGAAAGTAGAGCTATAGCAAGCGGTGGCAAAAGATCAAGAACACATAACTTACAGTTGGTCTCATCCGACAGCGTAGCCATCACCTTCATGATGGTCTCAAACATCGCCGCGGATACCACACCCCGATGTTGCGAAGTCATGCGTCCTAACTCCTCCAGAGCTTGCGAGAGCGGCATCGTGTCGCGAAGGCATTTCAACCATTGTCCTACGAGAACATGATGAGTGCGTTTGTACGATTGAGAAGTCAATGGGCCTACGGAAGCGTCCTTCCTTCCGCAACTTCATGATAGCCCCGAATACGGCGAGGACTCGGACCAGAAGCTTCACGGACGCTTCTCGTACGGATGGGTGCGCGTCAGAGACTGCTTTCAGAACGAAGAGCTGAGACCTGATTGCATCAAACGCCTCGCTCGCCGCCTCGAGTTCCGCATGCACCGTCAGTGATGCCTAACAAGCATCCTGTCATTAGACATATTGTGCGCCATCCAATGTACTCGCCTTGACGAGGATGCCCGCCACAGAGAAGACTATTTTGCTAGGAGGAAACGTCTGGCGTCCCCAGTCAGCTCTAAACGATGCACGTAGGTCTTGGTCAGATACTTACCGATGAGAGAGTGTCGCCAATGGGTTCGCAGAGGGCTCGAAAGACCGTAGCGATTGGGAGCAGATGCGCGCGCAGCCACCGTGGACCGTCATCGCGGAACCCCTTGAACAGTTCTTCTTGGCACTTGATATACCCCTCGATATCATCCTTCGGATCGAGCGGGAGCGCACTCTCAATGGAGAGGTCGACACCGCTTTTCGCCTGATACTCCCTGACTGCATCTTCCCACAGACGGACCAAAGGGTCATTGACGATCGTCTCGCACGAGGAAGGTGGGCAACTGGTAGAAGCAGGGTACTCTGATTGCACCACCGGCGTCGACTCGATGATCACGGGGGACGAGGCCGGAGGAGGGAGGGTGGGCGATGGAATGTGCGCGGCGATCGTCGTCCCAGAGTGCGTGCTCGTATCACCCTCAGCCGGAAGTGACAGCCCTTGCATGTCTAGCTGTGAGCATGTCTCAGGCGCGGGGACTGCGAGTCCAGGACTTCCGTAAGTTGACAGGAGGACTGATGAGCTGCCAACGCTAGAAATCGACCGCGCTGAAGTAGTTGAGCGACTATAACCCCAATTGCGCGGGTTGAGCTTCGCGCGCCATCCCAAGCGCGATGCTGGCGGGGTAGATGGACGTAACATGTCCGGTAGTTCTCGAAGTCTCGATGAGCACGGTCAACGAGGGAGCTGCAACAAGCGCGGAAGACAAGGTATCGCCGGCTGGTATATTGATCAATCGACGCCCGTGTATCGCCCGTCCATCACCTGCGACTTCTTCGCCGACCTAGAATAGCGTGAGAACCAATCCTAGGACACAGCCTCTCATGTTATTGACATACGGCTGAAGCGAGAGAGCTGCTGAACCCTTCCGCCGAGCCGGCCACAGCAGAGGCCATACGCGGGACCCGCGCGAGACGATAGGCCGATTCCGTGATTTCTCCGACATATCTTTTCTTCGCTGCTTCGCCTTCAAGCTTCCTATGTACATCTTGAACCGATGCAGCGCTAAGCACAGGAGGTAAGAACGCTCGCCAGCCGATTCAATCTCACAAAGCAGACGGCTAGGCTGGGCCGTCGCGAAGGCAAAGGAACGATAGAAATATTCCATTGTGCATCATACCTCTATGAATATAGAAACAGTAACTGAGGTGGAAGCCTGCATTCCCTTCAGCGTATGTGAGTCCTGGCATTTCCGCGTAAGACGCCGGAGGCAACCACACAGTCGAATGCGCGAGTCACGCACGTGCTAGCAAAGGCCCGTCGCCGCAGATGACGTTCAGCGAGGGTGTGAAGGCATACATCTACGTGCATACGCACTACGCCGCGCGAGATTGACCGGAGGAGCGGGCCCTTCAGTCGAGCGCGTAGAATGGGCACCAGCGTAGGCGCGTGGATTGGGCATGAAGCTGCGCGCGTATTTGATTGATGAGGATTATTGTCGAAGGAGAAGACGGCGACAGACGCACCAAAAAAGCAGGCGAGCGTAGGGAGAGCGCGCGGGGTCGAATGTGTGGTGCGCTAGCAGCCAATCAGATTATCAGCCCTGTTTTCTCATGATGCGATTCCAGTGCGGGCCTTGACAGCCGTGGAGACCAGCGGTGTCGCGGCTGCTTGACGGACGGTCGGCGCATGTTGTACAAGGCAGACGTCCGTAGAAAGGCGTAGGGCTAGAGCCGTGCGCCGACAACTCGTGTCAGCTGTGGATTCTTCACCATGGGCGCGAAGATAATGGGCTTGCGTGTCGTAACTTGACTTGAAGGTGATGCGTGCGTAGATGGGAGCCAAGAGGTCATTCGGAGAGTTCATGCATTTGCGTATAGTGCATGCGGTTACGAGGGCCGGCGGGTGCTGTTGATGTTGGCAATCGCGGATCGAGTGATTGTCCGTAAGCCCTCAACCGTAATCATGTAGGGCGTCAACCTTGATAGAAAGATTCGAGGGAGAGCAGCTTAAAAAGCATGGCTTCGGGTGTGCAGCATTTAACAATGGGCTTGTTAATGGAGATTCGGTCTATGAGAGGCACGCTAGGCGGAGACGCGTAAGCTGGCGCGACGTACAAGCATTACCCTCATCTGTTTCCAGGCTCAAGGCGCATCAGATGACCATCGACCGCGCTACCAACCAGCCTATTAGTACGACCTAGACAGACTTATGTTGGTTAGGTTGATGACGAGACGTAGTCGGCGACGCACCTTGCCGCAACCTCGCCTCGCGGATCGACATAGTACTAGTGCAGGCTCGAGCTACATATCGTTAACTCCTTGCTATTGGGAAGTAGTATATCGCAGCATTTGAGCATGTCTTCACTGGCAGCAAGGAAGGAAGGAGCAAGGTCCCGCAGTCCATGATGGTGGGAGTTAAGGATGAGAAGGGACGAAGGCAGTACAACTACAAGGCTGCACTTGCGCATGTTTGGCACCGACGTTGATCCCAATTTGGAAGGCTTTGTTCGACTTGTCCCCCACCTCCATCAACCGGAATGCCAATTCGAACTTTTCTCTCATCTATACCATTTCTTTGCTAGTAACCTGGGTCTGTTGCGGCCGTATTTGTGAAGCGAAGGCCTCCCTCCTGTGTGAATCACCGAACGTTACGAACCCTGCGTCGGAAGAGCCGTAGGGACATACTGGCGCCGACGCGGCGGCCTCAGGTGCTCTCTCTGAACTCCCTGACTCTGCGTGCATCCAGAATGTTGACGCGAAGCGACATTCTGCGCTATAAGAACCCATAGTGGCAGGCATTGTCCGGATGAACCGCGTATATCGGTGCGTGGCGACTTATCACCATCGCGGACCTGCGCCTGACGCTCACCTTAGGTCTTGCAGTACGTAGAGCGCAGACTCTTTATTCATGAAGGATGGCTGTCCCTTCACCCAAAACGCCGGGGTCGCGAACAAAGGGCAGAGTAATCGAGCCGCCGCGCCCACGAGAAGGTGCGTCATCCTCGAACTCTGAGCCACACATGTCGCTCATAAACGTCTGCAGTCGTATATTTAGATTGATTACGAGCGGAACTTGGCAAGAGGCCGCTCATCATAAGGTCAGACATGACGATTTGGGCACCGCACATATCCCGACCCCCTTCAAGTTCTTCGTCAGCTCGAACCATCGGGCGTCTCGCCGCAGTTTTCCAAGATTCTCACTCTTCAAGATCTTCTTGAACTCCCCCTATGACTGCACTAGGCGGGGCCGCCTGCGTCGTTGGCAACTTCGTCAAGTTTGCAGCTCGTCCCGGTTACAAAGCCCTCCCTCGCACTTGCGCAGATTGCGCCCAATGCTTTCGTCGCCGCACATGGTCATACACTGTATGTCTACCTACCTCCTGGGAAAGACATATCTTGTTTGGGCACGGCGTTGAGGCTCGCGAACTACCGCTTCATTCTCAATGCCGTCGAAGCGTCGACCAGTACGGACAATCATGCACATCCGACCCGCAGCTTTGGAGCACATGGCTATATGCTCCCGGAGAGGTGTGAAGAGCAGGCTAATGGTCGCTTCGCCCGCGCTCACAAACTTCCAGTTAAAAGCACGGCGAGTATTTTCTAGCACTCCTCTACACGTCGCGGTCCCTAACATGTGCTTGCACCCGGCGCTCAAAGATCGCGAAGTCGAGGATGACTGACTCATCGCCAATTCCAACAGCGTCCGGCGCCCTGAAGGCAATGAAAAGGACATGACGGTGTCTATTTGTTCGCGAACGACATTTTTGATCCCGAATCCCCATTCGGGTAGGTCATTGTTCCTTGCTTCCGACTTCCATCACCATCGTGAATGGTGGTTATGTCCCGCACCCATTGCCTCGCTTTCTTGATTCTTGCCAATAACTTCATTACTGTGTCCTGTACGACTTGCAATTATCTCCATGCCATCACCATTATCGCCTCGCCACGCCGAACCTCGCGGCCAGGCCGAGTGACCCGTCAACCCTTGGCAAAAAGGACGAATATATCGAGTGCGACTCGCAATGGCTAGATGTACGTACCATGGGTCAATCGTACCGTTGCGACGGGTGTGCACTGACATCGAATTTCCTTCATGTGTACAAACTAACGTTACACGAGGCTCGTGCTACCGATGCCTCCATCTCTTCTTCGCATCTCACCGACACATCTGATCATGCCGGGACTCAATGCTGCTCGGCATTGACCCTGCTTCGATGCAGTCACGCTGACTTTCCCAGGCCCTTTGTATACGTCCTCTTTCCACAGCGCTTACGGGACTCCTTGTATTTGATCTATCCTCGATCCTCGATATCCTCAAACTAACCATGGACGACGTCGCATCCGATGCCTTGAGCACCACAGGCCGCGCACCAGAAGGCGAGATGGCCAGGGACGACGCCGCCATCGTCGAGATCTGGCGAACGGCCGTCGAGCGATACGAGCGCGATTCTGGGACGGCGCTTGCGGAACAGCTTGACGGATCCCTCGACGCTTCGTCTTCGAGCTCGATTGCGACCTTCATCGAAGAGCGCGCCGCGCGATTCGCCCAGTTCCGCGCTGAAGGGCACGAGCGGGCGCGCAAATGGCTGAAGCCGATCGCTGCTGCTGTTCAGCTGCTTTCTAACTGCTTTGGCGATGCAGTTACACTTGTGCGTCTCATCAGCTCGACGAGGACCGCTCATTGATAATCTCGTGCAGCCCTTCTCGCCTCTGAAGGCCGTATTCGGCGCGATCGACGTGGCGATAAAGGCGAGCATCCATCCCCAGTTCTTCGCAGATCCAGCGCTGATCAAGGCCATTCTCTAGCTATCCATCGAAGTGACGAAGGACTACGACGCTGCCATGGATGCATTCGAGACCATCGCAGATCATCTCGCGCGCATCAAGATCGTCGGCGCCAACGAGACCCTTCGCGAGCCCTCTGTGCGAGTCCTCTCTCAGACGCTCGTCGTCCTCGGGATCATCGCGCAGCTCCAGCGAGATGGGCGCTTCAGTGAGTGCTACTCCTTCGTAGCGACACACCTTTGCTTACACCCGAGCGTTCGCCAGAGGCGTGGATCCACAAGTTCAAGCAGTCGCATGAGCTGACGGAAGCGCTGGCGGACCTGCAGCGTCTGGCAACAAACCATCACGAGACGCTCTCCGCGGTTACGCTGCTCAGCGTCGAGAAGACGATGGATGTCCTTGCGCATAGCATGACCTGTATGTTGCTCCCTGTACGCCGAAGACTCGACCCCTCACATGCCTCTTTCTAGCTATCCAGCAGGAACAAGACATGACCCGCACCTGTCTGATGCGTATCGCCAAGGTCGCGCAGGATATGCACGGTGCGTTCAAGTGAACGTTTTCGCAAGGTGTGGACTGACGACGTTGAGTAGAGACTATCATTGCCCTTGCTTCCACGAACGAACAGCAGATCCACGACAACCGGGGGACTCTGGAGGACATCCAGCGCGTCCTACTTGCTTACTCCGACGCGCTTCAGCAAGACAGAGGTAGGTTATCCCGATGCGTGACCCCCTCGCAACTGACATCCTCGCAGAGGACGGCGAAGTGGAGCGTATATTCGATTGGCTTGGTTTTCCTGACTCCTCGATCAAGATCAACAACCTTTTGCGTGACCGCGCGCGCTCTTCCGGCTCTTGGTTCCTGGATGGCGAAGCGTTCGCCAAGTTCAAGGCGGGGACGACGCGCGTCTTGTGGTTGCACGGTAAAGGTGCGTTGGTACGCGATGTAAGGTTGCTGGTGTTGACGAGCTCTCGTAGCGGGGTCGGGGAAGAGTACCATGATGTGCGTGGTCTTGCATATGCCCTCCTCGCGATTTTCTGACATTCTGGGCAGCGCAGCAGCAGACCGCGATATCCAGACCCTTTGCAACACCACCGGCTCTTGCCTGGCCTTGTGCCACGTTTTCGATGCGACGAACAACGCCATCGCCAGGGACTTGAGCGTCCTACTGTCCTCTATTCTCTGCCAGCTCGTCCATCATGAGCCTGAAACTGTCGCCTTTCTCTCGCGTGCTCGCAAGCAGCACATACGCGGGAGGAGACAGCCATCCCTCGACGAGCTGAATTACTACACGAATCAGCTACTCGATGAATATAGCTCACGCGTATTCATCACGATCGACGGTCTGGATGAGACCGAGGACATGAAAGTACTACAGTTCCTCCGCAAGCTCCGAGAGCGCGACGACATATCCATCCTCGTCTCCAGCCGGTCGGAGCTCTCGGCTCGAAAGGAGCTTGAGTCGCTAGCTGACGACCAAGTCCTCATGTCCACGGACGCGGTCACAAGGGACATCAACATTCTCCTAGACGAAGCTTTCGCGAAGGATGGATCGTTGTCCGGGATTCGAAACTCTCGTCTTGCGCGTAGCGCCCTCGTATCGGGCGCCGATGGAAAGTGCGTTGCAGCGTATTCATAGTGCTGTCTTGCGATGACTAACGTATCTGGTAGCTTTCGCTGGGTTGCTCTGCAAGCGCAGCAACTCGCTCTCGTCGCCGCCTTCCCCTTAAAGGTGGTCGAGCGTCTCACATCTATGCCTCTCGATCTTCGCGCCCTCTATGACGAAGCCCTCGCCAAGATCGATGAGCGGGATCGCGCCGACGTTCGCCGGCTTCTCATGTGGCTTCTGTTCAGTCGCCAGCCGCTGCTCAAGGAGGAGCTCGCAGAGATCATGTCTTTCGACTACTCCCGCCCTGTCCCTGTGTTCTCCCGTCGATTTCGCCCTACGTCTGCGGACAAGGTCATCGCCCTCGTCGGGTCGACATTCTTATCCATTGATGCCAACAGTGGCGACGTCCGCTTTGCGCATGCTTCCGTCTTGGAGTACCTCCATGCGCTTCCTTCGTCCTCGCCCTTTTATAACGACGAATGCGATGCGATGCGCCAGTTTACGGCAGTTTGTGTGAGCTACCTCACCTCAGGTGGTGATCCCGACGACGGCTGGGCCAACCCCCTACAACGAGGGGGCAGGGTACCGTTGTACGCGCATGCAGCCGAGAACTGGCTCAGTTATGCCGCACGGGTTGACTTCCCTGCACATCCTGAGCTAGCAGTGGCAGTCGCACGATTCATGGGATCGTATGCATACGATCAGGCTCGCCGCAAGCAGAACCGCTTCATGGCTCCCCTACAACCTCAGTTCGGCTTTCGACTTCTTCAAGATGGTGTCCAACCCTTACATGCTGCTTGCGAGCTTCTGTCTTGGAATCTCGTCGACCTCATCCTCCGTCGGCTTCATTCTGACCCCAATAAGTGGCTTCCTGGAGAATACCTCCCTTGGGTCCAGAACTCTTCGCGATCATGGAAAACCCGGACACCACTCATGGTCGCGATCTCCTGCAGTCGGAGAGCCACAGACGACATCCATAGCGTGCGGCAGAACAGACGCAGTGTTGTGACCGGGCTAATTGGAGCAGGCGAGGATGTCAATGCCTTCGTTCGTGGACGAACGCCATTGCATTACGCTGTTATCGAGGGTGACATTGAGATCGCAGAAATGCTCCTAGCCGCTGGTGCAAACGTGAATCAGAAGACTTACGGTCGACTCCGGGAGCTACCTGAGCGTGGCACGCCTGAGTACTACGCAATACGTAGGATAGAATCATGGGTCCTGGAGGTGGCAAAGGGTCACGGTGATCTTTGGGAAGTACCGGAGAGCATGCTTCTCTTCTTCCTCGATGCTGGCTGTGAGCTACGGCATGTTTTCGAAGAAGACCTATGCTCCCCCTTACATCGAGCTGTGCGACGCGGCGACATCGAAATGGTCAAATTGCTTTTGAAGGCCGGCGCATTCACGCATCTGGAGGACGATGCAGGTGTGACACCGCTCCACGAGGCTGCGGCTAGGGGACTTGACGGGGTGGTCGACGTTCTACTTGCTGCGGGGGCAAGCTGGCGGCTGCGCCAAAAGAGACTGTCTTCGTCCTTGCGCTTGGAAGATGCAAATCCTACCCCTCCAGGAAGCAGGATGCGAGCGTGGGGCCGCGGTCGGAGCTTGTCGTTCCCACCCATCAGGGGAGTCCATGACCGATCCCAGATCCGCAATGTATATACACTGCGTCCTTTCGCTGCTTCCGGCTTCGGTCGGCAGGTGCAGTCCGAGCGCCTGGGCACCCTGAAGCCGAACCCTGACTTGAACAACTGGTGGGAAAGGGAGGTTGCTGCTTTTGAATGGGAGAAGATCATGCAAAGATTCAGAGTGGCATTCGCGAGGGGGTTGCCGACAGGGTCGTAGATTGATTGAGAGGCGGGATTGGAGGTTATTATTCATCGAGGTGATGTAGGGTGGAATGTATACTATCTGCAATATCGCACTTTGACTGCTCCCGCCTCCGGGAAATCGTGGCCTCACAAAGCTGTTGAACGTAATGACTCCAGGCGCGCCTTGAGCAACTGGATGGCATAGAAATATAGTAGAAAGATCTGCCTAACTAGTATACGAACCAAGCGTCCAAGTTCTCACGCGGGCGGCCTTGCGACTCTGAATCCTGTTTTGACTCCCCCGGCCTGAAGAATCGCGTGGAGGACGCGGTCGCGCACCGCAAGGTCTCGTACTACTCCAGGTCGGATTCCGACAAAGTCTAATGGCGCATGCCCATCGTTTGTGCGAGCATTCGGGTCCGCGCCTGCACTAAGCAGCAGGCACACCATGTCTGCGTGCTCGTTATACGCAGCGAGCTGAAGCGGTCCGGCCCCGCCAACTTTTCCAATCGTGTAAGCATTGACGGCCGCCCCGCGCTCGAGGAGCAGGCGAGCGACGTCGAGCTGGTTGTCCCTCGCGGCGTAGTGAAGGGGAGTCCAGCGCCAGCGAGTTTGAGCTCCCACGTCGGCGCCGCCGCCGATAAGAAGGCGCGCAATGGTACTGTGGCCGCATTCCGCTGCGAGGTGGAGGGGCGTCCGACCATCGTCCAAAGTAATGGAAACGTTCGCTCCTCGGGCGATGAGCAACTGGACGACAGCGACATGGCCAAGGCTCGACGCAGTATGCAGAGGCGACCAAAACCCTCCGTCAGTAGGGTTGTTTGGGTTCGCACCTGCATCCAGAAGGAGCTCAACAACTGCTTTGTGGTCGTGGTATGCGGCCAATGCTATAGGGGTCATACCCAGATCGCAGGTATCTGGCGCGACGCCTCGGCAGAGAAGAAGACGCACGATGGCCGAGTGGCCGTTTCGTGCTGCGATATGAAGGGGTGTCCAGCCGCCGTCGACCGGAACATGCGGGTATGCGTTAGCGTCAAGAAGCACTCGTGCGATCTCTTCGTGCCCACGGCTGGCGGCGCGATGTAGCGGCATCGATCCATGGATGGGAGGCTTCTCGCAGACGGTGTCGCTTTTCCCTGCCCCGCTGCATCTTCCTAGTAATGCCGAAATGTCGTCCCCGGAGCAGAGAGCCATGCGCTGAAGCGAGGGCCTCCTCTCGTCCTGCGACAGCACGGCGAAGCAATTTACGTCTGCTTCGAGATGGGTGATTAGTAGTTGCATGAGAGGTACGTTGTCGATTCCCGCCGCGGTATGCAGGGATGCCTTCAGCACGTCCCTATGCGAATTCTGCGCATCCTTCCTAGAGAAGGCTTTGAGGACATCTCCCTCGAGTGCTCGATATCGCTCGTGGTCCACTCCGGAAATGTAAACGGCCCACGACCAGGTCATGTGGTGAAGATAAGGCCCGCCTTGAGCGAGGACTGTGGCGCCGGAGTATATGTACGCGAGACAAGTACGGACCATGAGGGAGTGTGCGATATTGATGTCCACGTGAAACTGCGACGAGCTCGGGATGGAAAGGAGATAATCCTTGACCGAGGCGTGGGCGAGACGAACTTCGCCATCTTGGATGGTGATGAAGGTCGACCCAACTAAAGAGAGCACTGCAGTACTGGACGAAGGCTGTAACGAGGTGTCGAAGACCGGCATGGGTTCCGAATAGTCAAAGGACAATAACTGCGCGACGTCGTTCGCTGACAGGGGACTGCACGAGAAGACCAACCAGATGAGTATGCGGTGAACATCAGCGCAATCATCTGGCGATACGGCGTCTAAGCACTGCGTGTACAACTCTCCAAGCGACCTCGGGAGCGTACGCAAGCGCTTCCGAACCTTGGCGGGTATCGAGGCCACACGCGCCAGCTCGTTTGCCTGTATCACAGTCCAGCGAAAACTGGAAAATGAATCAGTCGCTGGTCAACATGGCGATACTTGAGGGTTTCAACACGTACTTTCCATCAGAGCCTGTCCGTAACCCTTCACGGACGAGTTCTACGTCTGTGACCTCGGACAAAGCGCCGCCTTCACACAGAAGACGGTCAAGTACAATGTCGATGTCGCCTGTCACAACATCCTCGTCCATCGTGTTTGTGGAACCGCATAAGGAAGTCAACTCATCACGATACGGGATCTCGCGGCTAGACACGAGAAGCGACACATTGTCGTGCGCACGTAGCTCTGCGAGGAAAGACAATATTTCAGCGGCGTCTTGAATCTCGTCCAGCGCATCGATGACCACAAAGACTCTCGTGCTGATAGTCCGGATGACTGCGCCTATACAACGTCGGAGGGCATCGAGAGGCGGCTGAGAATGCCCCATCATGCTCTCCGCGTGAAGCTTGAGCAAGATCGGGACGGCATCGAGCCAATTGCGCGCGATCTGGCAAAGGAGCGAAGATAGCAGGGCTCGCAGATCCCTTGATTGCGAGGAGTTCGTAAGGTCAAAGAAATGGCTGATGACGAACGATGGCGCATGGGATATCGCACACCACGCCTGAAGATCCCGGATAGCTGCCGCTCTGCGCAAATGGGTCAGCTCAGTCGAGAGAAGGAGCTCGCTCACGTACATCACAGTGCTCTTTCCACATCCGGCTGCTGGTGCGTCAGACGGTACTGATCGTATGATGGGTATGAAGACACTGACCTTTTCCCAACACACAGATCGTGCGCTCCTTGCCCGCCTTGAAAGCAGAGTAAGTCGAATCGTCCAGGAACCAAGAGCCGGTTGAGTCCGCGCGGTCTCGCAAGAGCTGGTCCATCCTGAGAGATGAGTCCGGGTAATGAAGCCACACGCAAAGCTTGTCAAAGTCACGAAGTCCTTTCAGACCGCTCAAGTCAGCAAGCGTTCATGTCACTGCCATTGAGGACTCGCCTTTATCGTCCTGATTGACACTGATGTGGTGAAGCAGCGTATTTTGTATGCTTTCGAGGATACTCCGGCTGCTCTTGGCGGTTCCTGTGGTCGCAGAAGTGAGCCGAGCGCCAAAATGGCCAGACCCGCTGCTTACCATAGACATCCTGCGCAAGCTTGGTTATGCAGATGAGGTACGTCCGACTTATATCTCGTTCTTGGGCCATCCCTGAGCGCGGTCAGCCGAGTATGCGGACACATCACGCGAAGTGAAGACGCTCACAGGCGACAGTATCGACGAGCACGCTAAGGCTTCTCTGCGACGTAGCTAGCGCTACAGCCGACACGGCTGCATGGTGACATGTCGCCAGCCGTCCGAGATCGTCTAAGGCGGAGGTAACGTCCTTCGTCTGACATAGCTGCCTGATCCATGCCTCTAATTACGACACGATCAGCAACCAGGGATCAGGGGCAGAGCGCAGGAGGAGCTTACTCATTCGTCCTTGCTTCTGTAGCTTCGTGATTACGCCGAGGACAATTAGAATCTGGGCGAGCAGCTCGACGGAGGCTTCGAACAGAGTATCGTCGATGGGGTCGCGCGTGAGGGGTTGAAGGATGCGCAAGTGATTTCGTATAGTCTCGAGGGCGGCGTCGACAGCATCGAACTCCTCTCTAACCCTCAGCGATGCCTATGTGTACCGACTGTCAATACGGATGATATGCGGCTGTCAAGAAATTTCACCTTGAGCAGTACACCGACGGCAGAGAAGATCGCCTTGCTAGGCGAGAACGCCTAGTTGCGTAGGTTAGTATCCGTAGAGGTCTGCGCAAGACGCGCGTACGCACCACCGCAAACCCTTCCCCGAGAGCCCCGCACAACATCTCCACTACACCAGCTATCGGGCAGAGACGATCGCGCAGCCTCTGCAGGCCATCCCCTCGGAAGGACTTGAAGGAGTCCTCGCACCGTGTCAGGTAGTCGAAGATGGCCGCGCTGGAGTCCAGGCAAGGGACGTCCGGGGAGAATAGATTGGTGCTGACCTCCATCTCGTACTTCAAAACAGCAGCTTGCCAGATCGATTTGCGGGGATCGACGGTCTGTCGCAAAAGACGCCCCCGCGCGGGCGCGGGCGCGCCTGCCAGAGGGAGCAGGGAAGCAGACATGACCACAGGGAAAATCAACGCCAGTGGACGGTCGTCAAGGAAGGAACGCGTGCCTCGACGTCGTGGTTCGAGGTGTACATGGGATCACGGGTACGCAGAGCCGTCGGCAATTCCCTTCGCCGAAGAAGCCAGACGGTCAAGGCGGACTGAATAGGCTGTCGGGCGCTTATCAGCAGCAGCACGCGCGTCTCCGTCATTCTTCCCTCGCGCACTTCTGGGAGCGCGGAATCGAAAGATTGGGACCACCGGAAAGGCGTACATTTACGGGGTTAATCAGTAGCAAAACACGCTTTATTGAGTACAGCTCAACAGTACAAGGAGCACGCGCTATCTGGGTAGGTCTCAGTACAGTTATCGAACACGAAGTCGATTTGCACACCTGATTCTTGCCGAACAAAATCAGGTTACATTGCTGTCTACATACGAAGACGGGAGTTGCGTTAGGCCTTATTGGAGATGGTCAGTTTGCGAGGAGTCAAGGATTTGTGTCCGTAGGCGCTTCAGGGAACGGCTGAAAGGTCGAACTTCGAATTTGCTAAGTGTCTATCTTGCCAGGCGGTGGAAGGGGTAAAGACGGTTGGAGGCAAGTATGGCATTACCACGAGAAAAGGTGAGCATGCCGGGTCAATGATGAGGACGCCATAGCCGCATCTCAGCGCGGGCCTGGCGGAAAGTCAACTTGATGGTGGAGACGGCGTGCAGTGTATAGCGGGGACAGCAGAGACAAAACGGTGCTTAGTGGAGATCTTTTGGTAGTGGTTACGGGCGTGGCGTAGGGTTCAAGACATTTGAAGGGGGATGATCCGCCTTTGTGAACGCGTCGTGGTTGATCGAGGTAGCAGATGTGACTGCAGGACCCCGCAGCTGGCGAGGGGAGAGAAGTATGTTGGTCAGTTGTATACATCAGTACTCGTGAAGCGATTATTCTAGGTCCGCACCTGAAGCTCGTCAAGGGCATGAGGACAGCAATAGTCGCAGCGACCATCCGGCGCGTTCGACCGCGGCGCCTCACATCGTGTCTCAACAGGTTCATTCCAAGAATCCGCGAGGAATATGAAGTTTATATCGAGTAGAGATACCTGTAGGATGAACGAGGAGAACTGGCCGAATAAAGGATGATGATGGGCGGAAGCAAGGAGAACAAAGGTCTCCAAATGGAGAAATCCGGTGGCCGGATCAAATATTGACAATCACGCGCAAACAAAAACAACTCTTCCGCGACGCCCCCAAACTTCGCAACCAGCACAACTTTCGCAGTCTACTGGGCTGTAGCTCGCCTCATATGTCATATATTATACTGATGCACTATAATATTTGACAATCCGCAGAGCACTCGAAACGAAAACAAAAGTAGCATGATCCTATGCACTTCTTCCATCGATGCAGCCATGCCGAGCACAGCCATGGAGTGGGTGCTTCTCAAAACATGGTTGCTGACGTATGCTCCTTCTGGGGCACTAAGCGCCGTAGCGACTAAAACTCACCTCTTTCTTGTCCCTCATCTATCTCGTCCAGTTTGCGCGCTTTAATGACACATGACCGCCAATTCGGGCTTACCACCTCAACGGATTTCTCGACTCTCATCGATGGATGGCGTCGCTCCTAGTCCGCGTGAAGGGCTGCGTCGCTTCTTCCGCCGCATCGCTCGGATTCCCATGCCGCGGCTTATTCGTTCGGGTAGGAACCAGCGTACGTCGATGAATATAATTCTTATTTCGATTGTACCAATCTCATCACTTCTTCTCGCCGCACAGAAATCTTAGAGAACACATCACCCTCTACACCAATCACCCATGCTGATGCGCGTCCTGACTGTCGACCCGCGTCCTCACAAGCCAGACCTTCATCGCTTCAGTCTATCGGCAGAGTGCAAGTCGCGACCTTGACTGGCGGGATCGAGTCTTTATGGGCAGAGGCGTTGGAGAAGTATCATCGCGATACCGGCATCGACCTCCTCGCCCAGGACTCTGCTCCTTTCACCTCCGCGGAAGCGCTATCGGCCTTCATAGAGTCCAATAGACACGACTTCGAGCGGCTCGGCACGTGGGGGCCGCGCTGGCTACAATTTCGCATCGCGCCCTTGGCGACCATTCTGCAGGGCCTATGCACGGTAGCGGGCGACTCCGTCAGCGTGGTAAGTCATGTAGGTCCTGTGCGGGCAAGGGTTTTCTGAGGTTAAATCTTTCAGGTATTCCCTCCCGGAAAGATCATCTTCACCGCGCTTGGCCTCCTGATGAAGGTTCGCACTGTCGCTTGCGCTTCCAGTCCCCGAAACCCATCCCATCTTTAGGCCGCCGTGGCGGCGCGCGAAGACCTCGACGCGGCAGGGAGGGCGATCGACATCATCTACTATCACCTGCGCGCCATCGCGCACGTCTCCAGCGCCTCAATGCCTTCCATCTTGACTGAGGTTTGCGTCGAAATCCTCTGTCAGGTCCTCGTTGTCCTCGGCATCATCCATAAGCTACAGGAGGACGGCGTCTTGAGTGAGTGCATTACTTCCCTATTATACGCTTGCAAATATATCCGTCGTTTGACGCTGCATCGCAGGATCGTGGTTCTCGAGTATAGGACATTCTGGCGAAGTCAAGAACGAGCTAGACATCCTGGACAACCGCGCGCAAAGTCTTCGACAGGCCATGCTCGCCGTGACGGTCGACAAGGTGCAGAAGATGGAAGTCATCCTACACCATCTCAGCGGTGAGCGCCTCCGTTCGTGGACTAGCTGTGTACACGGGCTCATCGTCCAATAGAACAGAATCAAGCCCCGCCAATTGTCTGCGAAGCTGTCGTAGGAGACTCCACGGTGACGAGCCTCGAAGATCGTCGGTCTTCTACCTATACCCGACGAAGAAAAACTGACAGGATTGTCGCAGACAAGAGACTCGTCGCCATGCGGGAAGCTAGAGCACTCGCTGACCGGCGCTCCTTCGAGGAGAGCATCCTGCGCGGCAGCCCAGCAGCCGAAGTCTACGCACGGACGATCATTGGTTACTTCAGAATGACAGACATCGACCTCGCCACGTCCGACGCTCAGTTCCTCGATTCACAACCTGCGCTTTTCCGGTACACCTATGAGAACAAGACGACTACAACGAGCTACGGGAGGGTGGCGCACGACGCTTGCGGGACCATCTGTTCTCCGTTGTTACCATTCTTAACAGGCTTTGTGGTTGGATTGGGGACTCGGACGAGCTGGTGAGCGGTACCGGAAGGACGTGTGCTTACCTGGTTGATAATCAATGCCCAATCTAGGGCCGTTCGCTCAGCAAGAGCGTCTTCTCGGCGCTGGACGTTGTGGTCAAGGTGGGCGGGCATGGTTCCTGCGCCGGCACGCAGCTGATCCAACGTCGCCGTGCAGACCTTCGCTCGACAGGAATTAGAGCCTCTTTTCCATGCCCTGAAAGCGATCGGTAGAAGCTTAGGCGTGATCTACTCCGTCGCTAGAAACCATTCCCGACTGCGCGAGGCCTCGATTAAGCTCCTTTGCGAGGTGATCCTCGTCCTTGGGAATATTGTGAGGGTGCAGGCGCAGGGTAAGATGCGTCAGTCCAGCTCCGTCTATCCATATGCATTGTCTGACGATAGATGTAGAGCCCTGGCTTAACAGCGTCGGATCGACAGATGGGCTAACCTCGGCCTTGGAAGACTTTAGCCAACTCGTAGCGAAAACCCCTGGGCTTATCACCATAATTGCGTGCGACGCCGTCGAGAGGATGTTGGCGCTGCTGGCTCAAGAGGTCGTTTGTACGTTCGAGTTCTTCGCATTCGCCATTGGTCTTATCTAAGAGACGGTTTAGCGGAGGACGAGACCCACGACCTGTTCGACCTGTGCTTCAAGCGCGTGGGGAAAATATGGTGGGAAGTTGAGACGGATGGTACCGAAGGTGGGCAGATAAGCCATTGCTCTTGCCTCGCTTTTGATCCGCCCCCTGGCAAGACGACTATTTCTTCGGTCCGAGCGAGATAGGTGCCAACCGATGCATTCTGCATCGTATTCAAGAGGCGTTCAGCCTGTCGCTCAAGTCGCGACAAGAAAGGATCGACAGTGCGTACTTTGGCTTACTTGAGATACCTGTCTTACTCACGAATTTCATGGTAGAGAGGGAGGTCACACGTTGGCACGAGTAGGTGAGATCCGAGGGCCGACCATGGTTTGAGGTCGAAGCTAGCCCCTGCCCCCAAAATCATCAATCCTATCCTTTCTCTATTTCTTGCTCTATCTATCATTTACCCCGCTAGTGTCACCATCTCAGAGCTAGCATCCGTACTCTTTCAATATGCTCGCACCTCTCGACGGCAAGCATCCCACGCATCCGCTGTTTGAGCGAGGTCGCGACTATCGAGAACATAGTCAGCGTTTATTTCGGAGCTCGAGTAGTCCAGAGGTTAGGCCGAAGCGCACAGGGTATCGGGAAGGATCCGAGCGCTGTGATGAGACGTGAAGGTGAGCGTCGAAGACAAGCGCCGCGGAGTCCGAGTCGTGGGAATTTGAGTCCTCATCCGGTCCGGGGGAATTAACGGGCGCTTCCGTCAACTTACACCGCAACCACCATGTCGGACGCCCCTTTCTGTCCTGAGTCCATAACCCATCGTATATCAGGCTTGGAATACCTGGAAGTGCTCTACTTTGTCCTGTTTCTTTGCCCTTCCCTATAGTGATCACTGCAATGAGCGCAGCTAGCTCAGGCTCTTAGCGCATTCAAAGTGAGCCAAACGCGCCTCAAACGACTCCCTACTTACCTCTCACAGACATAGAACTGGCCGTTAATGTGAATCCGCCTGACCCTCCGATGAACGACCGTGATTGTAGGACTCAGTGCTTGCGTCAGCGAGCTCCGAGCTGAGCCTACGTTTGAACAAAAGTGTGCCTTTGTTTGAAGACCACCCCACGAGCTCAGAAGCACCTTCATGAATGTTATAGGCTCTTTCTATACTGTCACATTATTGTCTATTTGCGAGTTGTGTCTTCTAGTCCTGAACCTGTCCCGCGACGCTCCCGCTCAGCCCGCACATTCATTGACATTATGCTACAGATGCATTACTTTTATTATCCAGGCGTTTTCATCCGCAAGGCGTACGCCCTATCGAGGACAAATTATCGCTGTGCCATACAAACTCGCGTTGTAGGTTTTCCTCCTCTGGACGCCTGTACTTCGTCTGCAAACCCTCGGCTATAGTTGTGGCGCGCGCGCGGGTCGGCCTCCGAGCAGCCATCTATCGTTCTCTACGGACGCTAGCTGAAAGTCCCTGCTTCAGATATCTACTCTCCGACTACTAAGCCTTCCGCCGGTCGCTCCTTCGAGGTAGGCTCTCTTCATTGCACCCGCTCTACCAATCGATCCCGCCAGACGGATTGTAGCCGCTCTGCCGCTCCACTCACCCTATATAACCCTCTCTCAGATACCCTCTTTCCTCAGAGAACTCGACCTCGTTTTCCTCTCTCTCAAGAGGACCCTCCACTCCTTCATATACTCATTGATTCGTCTTTCTGATGCTCAATCGACTTTCCAGAATCATCACCGGGCTAGCCGCCTTATCCGGGGCGTTGTCGGCGCCCCCGCCCGCCTACCTCGGCGACTACTCCAACGTCACGACCAGCGCGATCGAGGGGCGCGCGGACCCTGGACAGAAGCTTGTCTTCGCACACTTTGTGGTACGTCCCTCCATGACCCTCCCCTTCGTGACCGTCATGGCCATCTTCATCGCCGCAGTCCTTACCGCGAACTGCTCTTCGACAAGAGCCTCCCCCGATCTCGTCCACCCACGTATCCCTCCGCATGAATCCTCGCTCACACATTCGTCCCCCAGGTCGGCATCGTCTCCAACCGCGGCAGCGCCGACGACTGGGACAAGGACTTCCAGATGGCCAAGGCCGCTGGTATCGATGGCTTCGCGCTCAACATCGGCGTCGACGACTTCACGGATACGCAGTTGAAGTACGCCAATCCGCTGATGCGCGACCCGCGTCATATATCGACGTACACAATCTAGCTACGCTTACGACTCCGCCGCCCGCAACGGCATGAAGGCCTTCATCTCCTTCGACTTCAACTGGTACCACACCGACCAGGGCGAGCAAGTCGGCCAGAAGATCAATCAATACGCCGATAGGGACGCGCAGCTGAAGATCGGGGATAAGGTACTTATCTTTTCGTGCTCTTGCCCCTTCGGTAATGTCCACTTCCCCTTCGGTAATGTTCATTTCTCCTTCGGTAATGACCATTCCCAACCCCCAATTTCCCCGTCACTCCCACTTCCTACGCACCCATTGCACAGTCAATGCGTGTGCCCTCGGCGTCCTTAACTTGCGCTCACCCGCCCATCCAGGTCTTCGCCTCCTCCTTCATCGGCGAGGGCGTCGACAGCCAGGCCATCCGCAACTCCGCAGGCCACGACATCTTCTGGATCCCGAACTTCTGGTCCACGACAGACGTCTCCCAGGTGCGTTTCCTGCTACCCCTACGACCATAAATTCACTCAGCCTAGGTCGACGGCCTCTTCAACTGGGTCGCGTGGCCGAACAACGGTAACAATAAGGCGCCGACGTCGTCCGCAGACCTGCACACCGTGATCGGCAACGACGATGCGTATAGGAATGCGCTGGGCGGAAAGCCGTTCATGGCGCGTGAGTGAAGCCCCTTCGCGCGGGGTAGAAACTTGAACTGATCGCTTATGACTTGGATAGCGCTTTCTCCGTGAGTTGCTTTTGCGGCGAGTGAAAGTGTACCGACTAGACGTTGTGGTGCTTTTCAGATGGTTCTTCGTAAGTGTCGAGCACACAATTGCGTCCATGTCGCTCACGATCTCCCGCAGACGCACTTCGGCCCCGAAGTCAGCTACAGCAAGAACTGGGTCTTCCCGAGTGAGGTGGACACTCGCGCGACTCTATCCCGATGCTAACGTATATCCAGGTGACATGCTCATCTATCTCCGCTGGTTGGAGATCCTGTCGAACCCGCCGCAATACCTCGAGCTGGTCACCTGGAACGACTATGGCGAGAGCCACTACATCGGCCCGCTCTCTACTCGTCACACCGACGACGGCGGTTCGAAGTGGGCGAATGACATGTATGTTGCCGCCTTGGTCCTACATGGCTCCCAGCTGACGTCTATTCTAGGCCGCACACCGGCTGGCTCGACCTCTCCGCACCCTTCATCGCCGCCTACAAGGACGGCAGCAACGACGTTGCTACCCACATCACCGAGGACAAGATCATCTACTGGTACCGCCCCACGCCCAAGAACATCAACTGCGATGCCACCGACACCACCGAGGCCGACGCCAACAACAGCACCGGCAACTACTTCAAGGGCCGCCCCGACGGGTGGGACACCCTCGCCGACGACGTCTTCGTCGTCGCGCTCCTCACCTCCCCCGGCACCGTGCGCGTCAACACCGGCGGCACCGCGTACGACTTCGCCGCCCCCGCGGGCGCCAGCGGCTTCAGCGTGCCCTTCAACACGGGCGCGCAGGCGTTCAGCCTGTACCGCGGCGACCCGAACGCGCCGAGCCTGCACGCGGTGAGCCTGAAGCAGATCGTGAACGAGTGCCCGTGCGGGATCTACAACTTCAACGCGTACGTGGGGACGGTGCCGGAGCAACCGGCGGACCAGCTCGATGGGGACGGGCTCGCGCAGTTCTCGAACGGGCTGAAGGTGCAGTGCCAGTCGAACACGCTGGGGAATGTGCCGGCCGAGCCCGCGATTACGGCGACGATGGCGGCGAGTGCGGTGGCGACGCAGCCGCCCATTCGGCGCTGAATCAGAACGAAAAAGCCTGGTCCCTTCGGGCTTCCAACTTGATACCCATGTGCGCGCGTACAGCGCGCTATTCCCAGACGTATACCCAAACGAGGCGTATCTGACTCCTGATTATCTATCTACTTCTCGGATGTCTCATCTTGAAGCCGTTCTTCACCTTTCGCCGCAACGCCCCCTCCTGCCAAGCAGCGCGGTCTTGAATAGAAATCCTTCCTCATCGGCCATAGGTTATAGGCTCGAGCTTCGTCTAGCTCTCGAGCGCAATTGCCCAGGTTTCCCTCCGCTTTCGCGTCGCTATTTCACCGCTCAATTGCTTTGTCTCTTGGTAGACTCAATCCCCGAACATATGCCTTGTCAGTAGCTCAGCAACTATAGCATGCGTACAGCCGCTGATCAACTTCAGTTCCGCGCGGAGGTGCGGCTTCGACTCACGAAACTGTACAGCATCCAGTATGCACTGATTGCTGTCCCGAATCTTGCCGGAGATACCTTCTCCGGCCGCGCCATGTTCTCGAAGACTGCTTGTCGGACGAGCCGGGCGGCACGCCGGTGATCTCGCAGGTCTCGAACGTATCGGAGGGTGGACTTCTCCCGTCTTGCATGCAATATCACCGTATCAGCTACATGCTGTTCCACTGGTTTGTTCATTTCCTCCCGCCTTGGTCATTCGAAGGAACATTCAAAGCTTCTGTCTATTGCATTTAAACGACCAGATGTATAGTTTGCGACGCCCTGCTATGATTTTGCGCCTCATCTCCTAGATCTCTCACTGACATAGCTCTGGATGGGATGGCTACGAACATCACGGTCAGCCAAAATCTCGCAATGCTCGCGCTGGAGACCGAGCCGTCGGTGACAGGCCTTGTCCTTCAATGCATACTATACGGTGCGAACTTCCTGTGCTCATCACGTATCTTACGCTAGACATGTATATTAGGAGCATACGCGTCATTATTTCCTGCGACGATCAGTGCCATCTTGTGAGAAAGCTCAATGACCCAAAGGCTAGGCTGACGACGCATTTGCAGGAAGCGCCGTGCACGAAGTCGGCCATGGGTTGTCCTCATGATCACCACAATCACTATGTTTGCCCTGTCCTGTGCATGCCTGCTGCTCGACGCCCTCAACACTATGAGTCTCGTAAGTCCTTTCCCGGCATCGTGTATGCCCGTAGCACTTCACTGCATTCCAGCTCGAAGGAGTCCTCCTCGAAACGCGGGGCGAGGTCCAACACCCAGTTGCATGGATTAGCAGGCAGAGCGCGAACGACCGTGCATTTGCTCAGGCTGCGATATTCGCCTTTGAAGTGAGTTAACAACTCGCTTCTGTCTGAGGCAATCGCGTCACTGATTCTGCGCCCCAGCTCATAATCAGCGATGGTGTCGTGGTGTGGCGCGGTGCGGCGTTGTGGGGTTACAACTGGAGATGCTCGACAATCATGCTCCTCCCACTTTTTGGGGACTTAGGTGAGTACCTAAGCGTGTTCGTCGTCTAAACCCAACAGTGGTCTAACCTGCAGCTCAAGCCGTTTATGTGTATTTCCTGGCGTGCGAAGGTCAATCGAAATGGTTATACATCGACGGGATGCAGGCTAAACAGTACGTAGCGCGCCACTCACTGTTCATGGAATCTGATATTGCCTCAGTTGCCATGACTCGCAGCGCGCGATGTATTTTTTCTCCTTCTCGACCAACCTGCTCGCAACTGGCTTCATAATCGCGATGGCTTGGTGCGCATCAAGTATAGATAAAGCGCGAAATGTGTAAAGCTAATCAACCCGTCAAGGCAGCATCGCGGGGCGTTCGAAGTGCGGAAGGCGACTCTCTCTGGCTCTGGCAGACCCCGACGCACGGCTGCGCAGAAGGTCATGTTACTGCTCATTGAATCTGGCTTCGTATACCTGATCATGGGGGTCAGTCTTTTGACGCCTCAGCGCTCTTCTGAGCTTCGTGCTGATGTGGAAGCTGTAGGCGGCCTCCGGATTTACTTTCTTCCTCGTCGTACAGGACTTATCCTCGCCTGGGTATTTTGTGACGACTGTCTTCGTCTCGCTCAGGTATCAGATCGTGGTATGTAGCAGAGCGACATCCTCTGGCTCCGTCCGCACCACCATCTTATATTCCTTTACTGATCGCCCACAGGGTCTATATCCGACGACAGTCATCTACCTTGTTCAGCGCGAGCAAACGAACTGGTGCATACCCGCGACCGACGAATCGCTCCACTTCAAGGGCATTACACAAGAAGATACGACCGTCTGTCCCACGACGCGCAGCTACAATCTGACCGTAAACAAATGCGACAACGAAGCGGGCCCAGATGCCATTGCAATCAATATATCAACGGGTAGCAGTTCAGGAAACGCGTCCGGATGCAACCCTGTCTCTACCAGGCCGCCACTTGTGAGCGATCTCCACTGCGAACCAAACACGGTGCACGTGGTGGCAACGAATGGAAGCTCAGAAAGTATGACCAACGCAGCGCTGAGCGTTTCCGGGGACTGTCTTGTATAATCCGAGTATAACAGCTTTCGACATTCACTCTCAATTGATGACGACTATGTAGCGCATTCAGAATACTGCACGCAACAAATGCGATAAGTCGGTATATTCGGTGATTATTTTGTCAGAAATTACACGCGCTCGAACCTATCTCACAACAGATAGTCTTCACCACCCCGCTCCGAGCGCAACCCTATTTTCTCCAACCTCTTTCCTTTCCCAACAATCATCCAGCCACGTCCACCATCTTCACCCCGCACGCTAGTTCGTAAACAACATCCGGTATATACGCACGTATAACGGCGCCTTCGCGCGCTCCGCCCGATACGCGCGCATCTCCTCGACCGTGAAGAAGGACTTGCGCCCGGTCTGGGAGAACAAGGAGTCAGTATCGAGGTATAAAGAAATATACAAAGTCGTTGGCTGTCGGAAACAAGGTACCCGTGAGCGAATGCGAGGAAAGGCCTACTCACATCGAGGTCGATCTCATGCGCACGCCGTGGCCGCTCGCGCTTCCACGCATACCCGCCGATCCAGCAAGCGATGACGATGGGGAGGGCGAGGTACGCCTGGAAGAACTCCGTGGCGACCTCGCTTCCACTGTCCGCCATGCCGCCGATGGGCCAGACAGCCTGTTAAGGGCGAGGGAAGTCGTACGAGCGCATTGTGAGAAGCCAAAGATACGGCGATGAGACGTTGGCGAGGTGAAGAAGGGATGGTCCAGAGCAGAGGCGAAGCGGGATTAAGGGGGACAAGGCAAGTGGGAAGAAGAGTGCTGTCAGCTCGGATCTCGTGTCATAGCCACGCCCACTCACGATGTAGAACTGCGCGATGAGCACAAGGATGATCAGGATCGTGCCGAACCACGAGCCGTAGACGCCGCCGAGAGCCTATAAGAGAACCATCAGCATCACTGCTAACATTACAGCGCAAAACATCCACCCACCCTAAACGGCAGCTCCTCCAACGAGTGCCCCTGCGCCTTCCACGCCGCGCGGAAGCGGATGTGGCAAATACAAATCGAGAGCCAGGTGAAGATGGTTGAGAGGCCGGAGAGCGCGACGAGCCAGTCGACTGAGCATAAAGGTCAGCATGAGTCGATTAAGAATGACGAAAAGGACAATACTCACACACCGTATCCCCTTCCGCGGCAACCTGCACGTACGCAATCGGACCGAACGCGAGCACGGCGACGACGGACCACAGAGGGCGTGAGGACTTGTCGACTTATAGATAGAATCAGCATGTCGTTCAAGATGGAGCGTGGGTCAGCGCAGCGAGACGCTCAGTGCTCGGATGGGACTCAGGAAGGGCGGTGGCTAAACCCCGAGCTCTTCGATCACCCACGACAAGGACTCGCCCGAGCGTCCAGCACTCGCCCAACGAACACAAAGCTCGCTCCCCTCGCAACCTCAACATTTCGAACCAGACGATCGTTGAGCGATAGACACTCACCATACGTAAAGCAGTTCGGCGCATACCCCGTCTCCGCGAGCGCGGTCAGCGTCCGCGAGCCCGCGTACACGCACGAGAGGCCGATCGAGAGCACGGAGATGCAGATGACGGCGTTGATGAGGTCTGGTAGATGAGAAGGGAGGGAAGGAGCGAGGGGGCAAAACGCAGTCAGCCAACGTCGCAAACAAGCAGGGCAGTCTACTCACGGTCGACGCCAGAGATGTTCGCGCGAACGAGGGCGATAACGAAGGGTGAGGCGGAGGAGCCGGAGCTAAGTGGAGGCGTCAGCGATATCAGGAGCAGGCGAACGGTGGGTGAGATAGACGAGCGATGTGGGCTTGAGCCAGCAACGCATAAGGGGATTGGCAGTTTGTGCTCTAGGTGCGCTTTCGCGAGCGCCTAGAGGCGTTCGCACGCTCGCCTTTGGACGTCGAAGAAAAGATAGGATCACACTCACCCATTCAGCAGCCGGTCATCATCGTAGGGCACCATCAGGCCCACAATAGTAAGCGATAGAATGTAGACCACGATCTAAGAACCCAATCAGCATAGCACTCTTGACGAGGCTCGAGAGTGGAAAACGGATGATAGCGCTGGGACAAAGTATGCCAGCAACGAGCCGCATTCTCGTTGGCGCGGAGGTCACTTCGTAGCCCGCAATCGCGGTGAGATCAGTCGCACTACAACTTTCCCCAGCAGCACAACTCCGCCCCGAAGCAGCAAGACTGTCTCCGTGACAAGATAGCAAGCAGTCCATAATACTCACAATCCGCCAAAACGTCCCCTTGACCGCGCCCGGCATCACCGAGCGCGGGTCCGGCGTCTCGCTCGCGGCGAGCCCAATCAGCTCCGTACCCGCGAAGGCGAAGGCGGCTGGCAATATGGTCAGCGGTCGTCCGCTATATGACACCACATGGGTAAAAGAGAAAAGAGCGAAGGAGAAGATACATGGAGGACGAAGTCGGGGAGACGGAGGAATGGGAAAAGGGAAGAACGAGGCCACGCCCCACGAACTAAGTCACATGACCAGTCTCGGTAGCTGCCGAGACGGGATATGCCGAAACGGCGTGCGCGCCACAAAAAGCCGCAACTCACCAGTCACGAAAACGCTGCACACGCCCTTGAACCCATTCGCGAATGCGCCCGGATCTTGCCAGCGCGCGCCACCGACGTAGCTGCCGAACTCGCCGGATGCTGGGCCACCACCGCAGATGCAGACGCTAGAAGAGGACGTGTCAATCAGGCGTAGTTCATGATGGGATGAAGGTGGATGCGGAGAAGAGGATATTATGGTCAAGATGCGAAGGTAGGAAGAGCAAAAGGAGATATGGAGCGAAGACTCAATGAAGGTCGAGGAGAAGGAGGACGAGACTTTGGATGGTTCTGGCAAGAAGCTGTACTCACATTCCGATGAGCACAAACATGACTATGACAATGAGCTTGAGGACCGAGGACCAGAACTCCTCTTCCGCAAAGCCGAGCGTGCCGAAGAGGGAGAGGATGACTGGGGTGGACGTCAGAGCGATGAGGATAGATGGGAAGACGCAGAAAAGTCAAGGAGCGGGAGGGAGCGGGGATTGAAGCCAACGCGTTGACGGCGTTGAGTGTAAGTCGTCCCACAGAGACGCAGTACAGAGGAAGACGTACTACCCCTCCTGCGGCCAGAACTGCTTCTGCAGATGTAGGAAGAGTCGAGGGAGAGGATAGAGTGGGGGAATGTGGCCTGCGGGATCAAGTGCGGGAAATACGTACTGATAACCACATAAAATATCGTGACCCAAGCGGCTATTGGGACGTTATTTGGCCAGTAGTTGACGGTGGTGACAGCGACAGTGATTTCGAGCGGCAGCGTGACGACCCAGGAGAAGACGTAGTTCCAGCCCATGGCGAAGGCCCAGGAAGGGTCGACGAAGCTGCGTGGGTGTTGTGGTCAGCGCTTGGAAGACGGGAAATATGTAAAAGTCAAAACGGGACATGACCGAGGGGAGAGGGAAAGCAGAAAATTGAGGAGAAGAACTAAAGGCGTAATGATAGGCATAAAAACAAAAAATAAGTGATAGAGGGGCGCGAGAAGGTCCGAGTGAGACGGCGAGAGCTCGAGGGAAGTGAACGGGGCGATCAAGGATGTACAAGACCGGATGTGAGAGTGGAGATGTACAGGGTCGGATGGGTGAGTGGAGAACCATCAGGGGAAGTGGCAGAACCGAACGAGAATTCCTGGGGCGAGGAATATATGAATAGACGACACTCACCGACTTGCCAAAGTATAGTACCCTCCACTCAAGGGATACATGATGCTCATTTCTCCCAATGCCTGGGTGATGTTGACAAGCATGATTCCCATCAGAACCCAGTCGATGAGGACGCCCGCAGGACCGCCCGCGTTCAACGCCGCACCCGACCCGACGAACAGGCCCGTGCCAATGCTCCCGCCGACGGCGATCATCGTCAGGTGCCGCGGCTTCATCTTCTGCTGCAGCATGGGCGACTCGGCGAGCGCCTTCTCGTACTCCTCCGCCGAGAGCCCGCCGCCGGAGACGACGAGGCCGGCGGTGGTGCCGGGCGCGCGCTTGAAGGACTCGGGGGAGAGGCCGACGCGGGTCCAGATGGATTCCTGCGAGGGGTCGTAGAGGGTGATGTTGGAGGTCGGGTGTACATTGTTGGTGGTGGAGGGGGAGTCGTGCGAGGCGCGCTTGACGTAGGAAGCGTCGCCCGCTGTCTTCTCTTCGTCGCCCATGGTGGGGGGAGCCGAGAGAGGGTCGGCGAAGGGGTGGGACGGTGGGGGAGGAGGTGGGGGTGGTCGTAGATGATGTCCCGTGCGTCGGACGCGTCGGTGGCGCGCAGAGGCGGGGGGATGGCGCGCTGGTCGTGGGGGATGGCGAGGGTATGCGTTCGAGGCAGCTGCTCCGCAAAAGTACAATTGCACGATCGTGATCATGATGTCAGTTTTGTTCGCCCCGCTCCGCCATGTGCGCCGGATAAGTGCTCGCCCTCCTATTGGCAGGAGAACTCGGCCCTATGACCCGGCCGCTCGTCCGCACCGCGCCCAGGCGGCGCTCGTCGTCGCCTATCTCTCCTTCAGCCCACACGACGCCCGCTCAATGCGATACCGTGCTCGGCGCCGCGCCATGCCCGCTTAGCGCCACGGCGCCGCGTCTGACCCCTGCTTAGCCTCACACGCCGACCGTACGCACGCAGTGACAACGCTAACTCAGCAACGAGTCATCTCCCCGCCACCTCGCGAAGTTCGCTCTCCAAGTCATTCTCGCCTTAAGTTGAACCCTCCGCAACGCACTCCTCCGGTCGACTCATCGGCGTTCCCCTTCTGCGATGGCACCGGACGATCGCCAAATGCATGTTCCGTGCGCTGACACCGTGCTCCGTGCGTTGACGGCGGGCGGTTTCCCTGGCTGACGGCCCTGGGGGGCGAGCATGGCCCGCTGGGTCATGGACAGTTCCACTGGGCGATGGGCACTCCCCTTGGTCTTCGCCCATGTTCCACTCGCAAATTTGGCGCGCTGCACATGTCGGCGTGGATGACTCGACGATGGACTTCCGGAAAACTATCCGCTGTACTCGATGATGAGCTTGCCATGTGTCCTCAGAGCCGACTTCCGAATCTTCCCGCACGGACCTTGAGCATAGCTCGGTGCTATAACTTGGTCTACGCCCACCATGGAACACGGCCTACTCAGTCGTCAATCCTCTTCATCGGACCTTCTTGATCACCCTTGCCTCCAGGAGGGGAAAGAGGACGGGTCTCAACGCCCCTCATACGCCCCTAATTATAACCGAGTGTACATTTTTGCCTGGGTTCTGTCTAACATCGCGCCGCGCCTTTTGAGCCCTAGTCACATACCTCTTCGCCTTTCCTCGTCCTTGTATATGCCCCACGGCTCCTGCGTCCAAAGCAGAAGTTTTTCCCGAGCAAAAAGCCTCCGCTTTCGAAATTTTGATCCCGCGCGTCGCACTTCTTTTCTGGCAGAAAACGTCAAAGGCGGCTCTTTGACAGTACGTGTCGTCCGTCGAAGAAGCTTCGCTTCTCCGTCACTCGCTCGTGCTTCCCTGCCACTCTACTGTGCTTCTCTTTCCCTCACCTGCTCGCCATCGAGTCTTCGTGTTTCGTATACTGTCGTTCAACTGTTCCTTGTCGATTTGCGGTTTGATCGTGTAGCTTTCAAGTCATCGTACGCCCTCTTGTGAGCTGGTTCTATACCCTGCCGTACACCATTCACCCTCGTTTCTATCGGTAGGCCAACTCGTCGCCCCCAAATATCTACGTTTGTTCTTCCGAGAGATTCCTCACGCGTTCGAGCGCGTCGATTCGAGCGCTGAGTCGTTGCCATCGCAAGTGTCAGAATGTAGACCTTCATCAGCCTGGACATGCGTCGTAGCTGTGACGATGACACGAGAGCTTCGGTCGTGCAGCAATGAAAGTATCGCCGGGTCCTACACGTTCATTAACTTCGACATATGCCACCCTTGAAGCATTTTTCGGCCTAGTGCCCGAGCCAAACGAACGTGGACAATAACACGAGTGTCAGCCCGAGGTGTTGTCGGGCTGACGACCGAATCCTTTCCTGGCTTTCTTGCGCGATCCAGCCATGTTTTTGTCAGGAGGTTGTGCACCGAGCCTCTCCGCTTTCTGCATAATTTGATTGTCGTACGTGCTGCTTTTTCGTGCTTTATATTATAGTGATCATGGCTCTTGTGGGAGCTATGCTCGGACGAAAATCCACCTTGAGTCGAGCGACAAAGAGCGAAGACAAGGGATGATCATGGAAGAAGAGCACGATTGAAAGCTCACGCAGGACAATATCTCACTTTTTTCATGCACGGCACCATCACGCTAAGCGGGAACATAGGCGCTCATTCGAGTGGTGACATAGAGGGAAGTACACGACATCTTTTGCCCAGGCCGACTTTGACTCGCACATCTCTTTAGGATTGGCCCCAATGATCGCCTTGCATACGTATAGGCAATCGCAGTCTATGTTCTCTCTGCTCAGTACTACATAGGATATAGAAAGCGGATATTCGTGCTGTCTTAAATATATCTAGCCGCGCCGTCCTCATCAATGACGGGAGGGTATAATTTACGCCGCTTCGTTGATATATTGGCTATTGTGCTTTCCTCCCAATGGGTCGGTTCGGGATCAGGCTGTGTACCCAGATGCTCGAACCCTACCCCAGGGCGGCCGAATCCCATCGCTGCGAAGCGGCGTAACGGGTATACGTGCTCCAGCCTCGAGACATCGTATGTCCCTTCCAGAGCTGGAAAGGAGAGACTGCGGCCACGGCCCCAAGCGCGTGTCCTGCTTCCAGCGGGAGCGGCCTCCGCGTACTCCAAGCGTAGAGACCGAGACAGGGCACCATATCTTCGCCAGCGAGCAGGACTCGTGGTGAGCAGGATCTGCACGATCTCCTCGTGTCCTCTGTCTGCGGCTTCATGCAGCGGCGTTGTACCGGTGTCGTCGAGAATGTTGGGAGATGCTCCGAAGCGCAACAGTAATCTGACGAGCTCCGCGTCGCCTCGTCTGACTGCTCGATGCAGTGCCGTCCTTGCCTCCTGCTCGGCGAGGTACCGCGACTCGGACGTCAAAAAAGCGAATATGAGCAGTATGTGAAGCGACACGCGAACGCTGCGAGGCGCAGTGAACAAATGTATGGGCCATGAGATGCTGCGAGTCGCATAGAACTCGGGCGTGCCAGATTCGGGGAGCTCTCTGAGACGGCCATAGGTCTTGACATTGACAGCGGCGCCGGCTTCGAGTAGCATCTTCGTCACAGCCGCATCGCCCGTGGCTACGGCGTAGTGCAGCGGCGTCCGACCCCGTATCATGGCATTGACATTAGCGCCTGCAGAGAGCAAACTGGCTATCACAGCGAGCCTACGAGCCTCGGTGTCAGGCGCGGCCATTTCGTCTCGGCCAGCGGAGATGGCCGCCATCAGAGGGGACTGGGTCATCCATTCCGGGGACTTTCGCCCAAGCATGGGATGATATGCCTCAGGCTGCCATCTGTTGGGGTCTGGGTGGATACGAGAAAGGACGCGCTCGACAAGGCCAGGTATCAAGGCCTCGCAGGTGACATACAGTGGTTGCACGGAGTCGTATACGACATTGGTATAACCGGGTTCGCCGAAGCTGATGAAGCGCAATTGCCTTCCGTGTGCCTCCATATGCGCGGACGAATTGAGGTAGTCCACGATAAAGTCCAGAAGATTGTCCAAGTCTACCGGACGGAGTGCAGCAGCGTAGTGAAGCCATTCCTGGCTAGCATGTGCATAGAGGGGCATACTGCCTTCTCTCGTGAGAGAAAAGGGCCCCACAGCATCTCTAGGTGCGCCCAAACGGAGATAGCTAACGCAGGTGGCGGTTAAGAGGCACATTGCATCGCCAGGGTCACAATAGAACGGAGAGGATGAAGGAAGAGCCAGCAAATGCTCCCTGACGGACGCATGTGCAAAGCAGACGTCCTTGGTGTCCGGATCGACCGTCAGGAAGGTGGACCCCACGAGAGCAAGCACATAATCGAATGACGAAGGGCGAAGGCTCTCGTTGAAAACCGGAATCGGTTGGGAGTAATCGAACGCCATGTGCTCCATGAGTTCTCGCTTTGTGGGCAGCATACTCCCGAATAGCAGCCACATCAGTAGTCGACGGACATCATCTCGGTCGTCATCCCGGATTTTCTGCAGCGCCTCGTCATAGATAGCACGGAGGTCAAGGGGCATTGATGCGAGGCGTTCATACAGCTTGCGCGGTATGCCAGCTACGCGAGCAAGCTCATATGTCTGTAGCGACACCCAGCGAAAGCTGGAAATATTGTCAGCTTCGTCATAGCATTGCAGTCTTTCAGGACTTACTTTCCATCCGCCCCTGACTCCAGGGCGTCCCTAACGCGGTGCACATCTCGGATACCGGCCAGACGCCCATCCCTCTTGAACACCTGGTCCAGAAGTATGCCTATGTCCCCAGCGACAATGTCCTCGAAAATGTCCACCCTTTCATCAGTGAGGTTTTCGAGCTGCCAACGAGATACGAGTTCCGAGCGGCTGGAGACTAGGAGGGAGACTTTATGGCGTGCTTTAAGTTGGCAAAGAAACGGGATGATTTCTGGATCGTCTGCCTCGTCGAGCGCATCTATCACTAGGAATACGTGAGGGGAGCGATCGAGGGCAAGCTTCAAGTAATGCTTCAGCTCGCTGAGCAAAGGTTCTACGTGACCTCGCATATGCTCTCTTCGAGCCTGCGAGAGGATGGCGACGGTGTCAGGAACGTGGTGGGCGAGTTGACACAGAACAGAGCTCAAGAGGGCGTACAAGTTACGCCGCGCGGCGTTGTTCGTCATATCAAAGACGTGTAAGAAGGCGAAGGAGGTCCCAGTGGTGTTGCAGAAGGCGCGGAGATCACGACTGGCTGCTGCGCTAGCGAGTTCAGTCAGCACCCTCCTCAGATATAGGGAGTACGACATCTTACATCATAGTGCTCTTGCCAGAGCCAGCTGGAGGCACGCGTCAGCTCGGCATTCTCCAGAACAACACAGCACTGACCCTTTCCTCGAAGCCAGAGCACGCGAGTGGTTCCATCCTTGAATCTCGAGAAGGCTTCGCCGTCAAGAAACCAATACCCAGTGGAGCGCGCGCGGTGTAGCAGTAGGTTGTTGATCTTGACTGAGAAGTCCGGAAACCTAAGCCAGTAGAAAATGCGATCCACTGCTTCATCCTCTGCGAGATGTCAGTCGCGAGTAGGACACACATTCCGGGGGCTTGCCTCTATCTTGCTGACGCGCATCGGAATGAAGCAGCAGCACGCGCTGGATATCCTCCAGAATGGCCCGATTGGCGTGTACTTGCTGCTGGGTCGTGAGAGCATACGCGATCATCATCTCTGCGCGACGCCCACTTTAGCGAGAACTTCGCAAGGAAGCTGAGACGCACCATGTATCTCTTGAGCGGTCCTTGCGATGCGCGTCAAGCAATTGTGAGTCATATCTTGTTCCCGCTGGATAGCTATAGAGAAATATAAGTATATATCAAAGCGGCAAGCAGGGTCAACGTACCCGTCATACTATCCCCGAGAATATCCATCGTCTTCTCGACGCAGAATAGCGTGACAGCGGAAAGCGTCTCATGGTGGTTAGCCGCCAATCGCTGCAGGTCCGCCAGAGCCTCCGTCAGCTCATGTGACTGCTTGAACTTGTGAAGCCAGGTCTCTGACAGGCAGTCGGGCGTAAGGGCAGGCCGAGCGCTGGAAAAGCATAGCACTCACTGAAGCGCCCGTCCCGCTGAAGCTGCACGATGATCCCGAGGACGACGAGTGTCTGAGAGAGGACGCGCACTGACGGCTCGCGCAGGGTCAGGTTGGCGCCAACGATCCTGATGCGCGCGAGGTGGTCTGCGATGGTCTCAAATGCGTCGATCGCCGCGTCGTAGTCCTTCGTGACCTCAATGGACATCTATAAGGGTGGTCTCTTCAGCGAAGGCCTCGCTACGACCTGACGAGGACGACCGACCTTGATAGCCACGCCGATCGCACCGAAGACGGCCTTCATAGGCGAGAAGGGCTGCCCGGAATCATCAGCGAGAGATCCTCGCAGAGCTGAAGAGGACGCACCAGCGTAACTGCATCGCCAAAGCAGCTGGAAAGCAGCTGGACAGTCGCGGCGATCGGCTTCAGCCACTTGCGCGCCCGCGCATGCCCATCGGCGCGGAACTGAGTGAACTGCGCCGCGCGATCTTCGACGAAGGCCGCAATCGCGTCCGCGGATGCTGCATCGGGGGTTCCGTCGAGCTGGCTGGCGAGCGTGGTCCCACTATCGCGCTCGTATCGCTCGACGGCCGCGCGCCAGATCTCCGCGATGGCGCCGTCGTCCGTCCCGTCTTGCTCTACAGTGTTGCTGGGCGCGTCGTCCGCCATATCCAAGGGAAGATGTCTGGGATGTATCGAGTTCGATGAGGTGTGCCCCGTAAGCGCCGTAGAAGACGAAGTATAAGGACCCTGGGAAATATTAGAGTCAGCGTCACGGTGGCTGTATCAAAGCATGCCGAGCAGTCATTCAGTCCCGGCATACCCAGACTCGTCTGCGGCTGCGAAGTCAGAAAAGCTCCAACCGGTACACATCCCGCCAAAAGAATGTACACAGGATTCACCCCCGCATCCACGCACGACGATGGAAAAACGACCGGATCCTCATTACATAGATCCATTATACATCTACACAACTGCAGTGCTCGAACGTCCCAGGATAAGCCCTGCACGAGAAGACAATGCGGGAGAAAACGACTGAGCTGAATAGTAAAGCACGGGTCATTCGGTCAAATCAAGCTTGGTCGATTTCGGAGACCCAGGTGCAAGGTGTCGATGGTGTTACAATTATCGTGGTGAGGGCCAGTAGTCGAGGTTGCTGAGCGTCGTTATCAAGCTTGGTAGAGGTGGCGCTTCGTCTTGAGGTACTTCAGCATGCACTTGATGCACAATTACGCAGCGGAGGGCGGTGGGCAGAAACTTTGGCCAGGGGATGGATCCCACCGGGCTTGAGGCGTACGGAAGAGTTGACAAAATTGGTGGTGGCTGCAGCGATCTGTCCGCGTCAGAGCGTAGTTGAAGTTGGTTAGGAGCTTGCTGAACGTCATGGCGATGGCGGCGGAGCGAGAAGTGCGGTATTCCGAGTTAGCGAGGGACTTGAAGGGAGCCGGGGGATCATGCTCCTGGGCACAAGAATGAATGAGGAGTCCACCAGTAAGCCAAAGTACTTGATATATGTAGATTTCGTGACTGGAAAGGAGTACAGGTCAGCCGCACCGCTGACAGTGGAGGAGGAGAAGACGCACCGGGATGTAGAGGTGTGCGCAGCGCTGTCCTCGCGCCCCGAGACCAGCCAACAGCCACATTGTCAGGTCTCTCGAGAGTAGTCATATCCACGAGCGCGTCAGAAGATCCTCGAAGCCGTCGTAAACGCGTCGAGGTCGCCCGTCGTGGGCAAGTCCGGTCGTCATTCGTGGAGTGCGACTTGCTGAACGCGGTAAGAGAGCGCCCCTCGGTTTGTTCAATATCATTGTCATATATGCAGCGAAATGGGGATGGTCTGAAAAAAATCGTCGAATTCAGGACGGGAAGGATGAGCGTCGAAGACAAGGCGAACAAAGCCTACCGAATCCGGAATGACGGCACCGGCAAAAGCCGGAAAAGCATGTGCAAATAACATCAAGCCACTCTCGCGTCCTTCTCGACGGTCACGTTCAGCCTCTGATATCAGCACCTCTAATCCGCCCCTCGACAGACATGATATCTGTGTCTGGCTAGCGCTAAGCTTTGTAAAAACTACATGACATCCGGATATGGAATTTTTCTGACTACTGATTTGCCAAAGCGCCCCGCTGGTCGAGCGCCGGGATATCTGGGATCTCAATGAGGGCTGAAACAAGAATAGATGGGTAAACTCCTCTCCATAGACAAGCCTCATAGTATGGAAAGTTCGAGACCTGAGTATACGAGAGCCTTCTGCGCTCAAGCTGCTGATATAGTACGCTGTTTTTGTAGGTCCCTGCAGGTGCTTTGTGGGTTCCTTCAGGCACGATTTCTTTTGCTTCCTTTTCGGGTTCTCCCGAAGCTAAGCTTCTTGACACTTCCTGTCTCTTATGCTCTACCAGCCGTTGTGCTGAGATTTGCCGAGGACGATGGACAAGCGTAGTGCGATGCCATAAAGTTCCACAAGTTCAAGGACCCCAACCTCCAGTCCCAGCTGGCAGCGTCGATCTGCAACGGAGGTCGGACCGCACCGAGGACATGCTTGGCGTCGACCCTGGTGATGATTGGTTCTCGACCGGCATTTGGCCGGCACCAGGTCGTGCACCATTTATATACGCGGCATTCGTATGCGCCCAGGAAAATCTCTGCTCGTGCCTCCCTCTTCCTCCCACCGGCCAGGACGCCAGGATACGCGTGCCCCATTCCCCTGCTTACTCCCCCGAAACCACCCCTGGCAGACATGCATTCCCCGTCGAGCGAGAAGTCCCCCATCGCGATGGCCGCGCCCCTAGCAGATAGCCAGGGCAGGCCCGAGGCGCCCGCCCCGTCCACGACGGCGCAGGAGCTCGCCCACCTCGCTCGCGAGTTCCTCGTCGTTGTCCTCATCGCGTACGCGATCCTCAGCGCGCTGCTGCCCGCGCTCGGGTACGTGCTGGCCCGCCTCCCCGCCTTCGCCGTGCCCGACGCGCCGTCGTTCGCGATCGACATCGCGCACGTGAACCTCCTCCGCGTCGTCTTCGTGTGCACGGCGCTGGTCTTCGCGGTCTACGGCGCGGCCGTCGCTGCGTACTTCGCCGCGCGGAAGTACTGGTGCGCGAGGCGGTCGGTCGATCTGGAGAAGGGGTCGGAGGAGGAGTGTGCGTCCCTCCTGACGCGGAGAGGACCGATTGCGCTGTGATCGGGCGGGGAGGCTACACCATACATTCTTCGCGAGACTACAGCATACATCTCTCGGGAGACTACACCATTCATTCCTCGGCCAGTCCTTACTCCCGGCTTCCTTCATCCACGCTAGACGCACCTGGCCGACAACTCACCGCGCTTGCACATTCTACCGCATCCCATCCCGTGACGATCCTCGTCTGGACAGCCGCGTACCACTTTTCGCCCGCGGAGCCTGGCTCATTCGTTCCTTGGTTCGCACGCACAACCGTCTGCCATCCTTCAGCATCTCTCGCGCCCCATGTCCCGGCGCCAATGCTCACGGGCCTCATACTACCCTCGTCAGCGTGTCCACATCACTGTCCACTCGCGTCCACATCACTGTCCACTCGCGCGTCTAGGGAGCCATCCACGCGCCAACGCCATCCGCCAGCACGTCCGCATAACTATCCACCTCACGCCCACACTACTATCCACCAGCACGCCCTCCCTACTAACCATTGGCCCATCCACACAACTATCCACTCCCGCGTCCGCCGCATCCACACCATCTCTTACCTTCACTTTCTTTCTTTGCCTAGGGGTTTTCGGAGTCTAATGTATTGTTTATACCAGGGAGTAGGACGAATACCTACAGGAGTAGCACGGAGTACCTACGGGAGTAGGCCGAGTTCCTACAGGAGTTGGTCGAGTACCTACAGGAGTAGGACGGGGTACCTACAGGAGTACGGTCTCGCCGCATGCGCACATCTATCGGACTCGAGGACACATTCCTACCATCGCCGGTTGCGTGCTTACCATCGTCGGTCGCTGTCTACCAGCATCGGTTGCGCACTTACCATCGTCCGTCGCTACCTCCCATCGTCGATCGCGCACCTCCCATCATAGGTCACTTACCTACAAGCGTAGGGTACTCAAGTCCACACGAGTTCGGGTTCGGATTCGGGGCCACTTACTGACCATACCGCATATCGGAGCACTACACGCTCCTTGTAATTGTAGAGCATAAGGGTCAATGCAGGGTATATATCGCACTGGATCTTCTGGTCGTGAGTGCGAATCTTTCGAGCTCGCCGGAGCGGAGTCGACTGAGAGAGGACGGACTTTATATTCCATGGCAAGGTCTGCGTACAACCATTGACCATCGTCGACTGCCTATGATGGCTGATTTCAACGAGAATTCGAAGTCACCGGCACTCGAACCTGGTCCTTACTCATGCACGTGGCCAATGCAATGGTTGTTAGTCCGTACTCCTGAAGGCGTCGTGATATTCGACATCGCCCCTCTCATGGAAATAACCGTCACGATTCTTTCCGGGGTCTCTCTCAATCGTATTCGCTGATATTGGGGTAGCGTGAGCAGCCTGCAAGAGACTATTCGGGAAGGGACCTACATGCACAAACAATGGTCAACAGGTGTGTTTTGTTTCGTGTATATCGGGTACGCTGAGCCTCTTGAGGCGCAAAAAAGCCACGAGTAGGCATATTAAGAGCGCTCCGTATATGTTAGACTTTACGGAGGGCCCTGCCGAATTATCCGGGCGCATGAACAAGATCTCGCGGAAATTGCCGGCTATCGAAGGGGGTTCCGCTTCTCAACCCTTTCGTTGTTCAATGAATAGAGGATTCATTTCATTTTGGAGGCGTTACTGCAATAGATCTCCTGGAATACGGCGACATCGACTCGAGCTGCCTATCGCCTTCGGAGTACCGACTGGAGCTCGAAAGCACGTGGCATACTAGTCACGGCACCCGACAGAGACGACTTCGGTCTTCGGCACCTGCGAGACTATGAACCTCGCCAACCCGACTAGAGCGGCCGATTTTACGATGAAATAAAACGTCATAACTGCCATCAAGCACATCCTCTGAACCTTCACCATCTCAATCACATACAATAACGATGTCATTGGCGCAGCGCAGACACCTGTCGACATACACGGCCATGATACACACACCTGTGAGCAGATACATATGTTATGCGAGCGAAATACTAGTAAGTTAGGTTGTAACTTGTAGTTGGGTCAACGGAAGACTGCAGGTCTACGCACGGCTATAAGAGTGCTACGCAAGACGGACATCTGTAGGAGTACATCGACGAAATAGTACTATGTGAGTAAGCAACTTGACGCGGAGTCCTCCAATCAATAACAATGACAATCTTAGATCCAATGTCCATGCGACAACGAGCCGCGGCGGGCTGCGCGGCCGAGGCGCGCAAGCGACAGGTCAAGCCCACATCGCTCTGCATCCACTTCATAGGCCAGAGTAAGATCCTCGTGCGCTCCTGATCAGAGACACGTTACGAGTCTCGCCCTCACCATACCAGCACCCCTCCCGCCACGAGCGCCGCCGCCGCAACAGCCGCCAGATTGACCGACACTCCCAACGCCGCGTTGTCGTCGCCGCCATCGCCGGTGCTGCCAGTCGCAGATGCTGTCGAGCTCGCGAGCGCGACACCGTTTTCGTTGGTGGCATAGGCAGACATCGTACCCGTCGGAGCAGTTTCGGTCGTAGCTGAGATAAAAAGCGTTAGCCACAGAAACTCCCGCGCCCGAACATGCACTCACAGTAGAAGCTCCCGCTCGAGGACGCAGCCGCGTACGCAGCCTTGTACAGGTCGCTCGCGTCGTCGGGCACAGTCGAGAGCAAGCCCACGCGCGGCGCATCGCGCGACGGGTAGGCCAGGTCACCGAAGTGGTATGCCGAAAGGACACTGGCGCTTCATCAGCTACAGTCATAGGCGGCAAGCGCGCCGTACGCACCTCTTCAAAAACGGGATCCCCAGACTCCAGCTATACAGATACCCGTCCCCCAGCTCGGGCGTATCGGTTGCCGCGAGCGTCGCGGTACAGTTATCGATATCACCCTCATACGCCTGCACCGCAAAGTCGCGCGGGTCGACCGGGAAGCGCTTTCCCCCGAACTCGAACTCCAGCGTATGTGGCTCGGAGCAGGGGAAGGTGCCCCCACCCAGCTTGTCTGAGATCGCCTGAAGGACGTCCGAGGGACCGCGGAGGAGGGAGTTGCCGGTGTCGAGGAGGGCGGAGGGCTCGATGCCGCCCTTCGGAAGGGATGAGTTGGGTAGCATCTCGCCGTCGAGGTAGACTGCGTCAAGAAAGACTTCCCAGGTGAAGGGGTAAGCTTCGTCGGGGGAGTTGCTGGGTGGGCTGAGGCCGCCTTGCTCGGGCGCGTACGTGCGGAGAGGCAACCATGTTAAGCTGTCGTTGCTCACCCCGGACGGAAGTTCGCCGAGAGAAAGCATGCCGACTGATCCTCCAGGATCAACCGTGTCGCGTTGTAGCGTGACGGCGAACATCGAGTCTTGAAGCATGTCATTTGCGACAAGGCGTGCGACGAAGGGTCCCTGCTCATCGTACGAAGTGATGACCGAGTCCGTGAGGGCTGACGACTGCCGCTTCTGCGTCCCGCTGTTCGCCGCGTTCACGAAGACCGTGCGCCAGATCGCGCTGTTGATGGGGAACCCGAGCCCGAAGATGCCTGACGAGTCGGTGACGATCACGGAGGTGTTCGTGCTGTTAATAGCCGCGAAGTACTGGTCGTCGAGCTGCAGGCCCGCGACGCTGACCTTGTCCGTGCCAATCAGGCCATCGGCCCGGGTGCCGCTCGTCGAGTCGCCGTACTGCAGGGAGATGGACAGTCCCTCGGGGCTGGTGAAGGTGTCCTGGGGATACTGCGCGCCCGTCGTCCTGCAGTCCGTGCAGCGGTCGGAGATGACCCAAAGATCGGCCGAGCCGGTGTCTGTAGCGGTGATTAGATCGCGGGGTGTGGCGCTCGGATGGTTCAGGCGTACCAAGCACGAGGGGCATGTCCTGGCCTCCGATGTTCAGCAGGACGTTGTAGGTGCTAGGGACAGGTCTGTAGGTGTTCATTGTCGAGGGTATAACAAGACGCACACATCGTAGTAATCGCCCAGCCCTATGGCGCCTGTTCCCCCGCCGCGTCTACGCAGCTTGGGTTCCCCCGAGTTGACGAGGGGAAGATGTATCCCGCCCTTCGTCCTTCCTTCCCCCGGGGTCAAAGATCGCCGTCCGAAGCCCTGCGCATCGTATAAAGGAAAGGCGAGCGCGTAGAAAGAAAGTGAAAGCCAGATGAACAAGTTCGCCCGCATAGTGTGAATCCGAATGAGAAAAGCGAGGCCTGCTCGAAGAGAGCGTTTGGGTCAGGAAGGATGGGCCTGCCCGTCGTGGTCGTGGTCGTCGCTGAAGACAAGAGCTTGACAAGGTAGGCGGAAGCAGCTGCGCATTCCTTAGACTTGGTTCCGTGATCGCGCATGCGCAGTCAATTGAATGTTGTTAGGTACTTTGACAGGCCGACGACAAGGACGTTCGCCCGTCCTAAAGAAAGGCGCCCTTGTTATCAAGGACTCTGTTCAACTCGCTCAGCGGCGGGGAGCAGATGGAGGTCAAGAACAAGGAAAGGAACGATACAAATGATGAAGTCGAACTTGCCATGTGACATCTTCGGGGAGCACAGTTGCCTCGAAAATCGAACAAGGAGAATGCTGAACAAAGTCAACGTCTGACCAAGTCAACAAGTCCAGCATCTGTATCAGCATGTTCCATTAGCAGCGTGAGCCTATGTACAATTGCAATAAGTAAATAATCGACCCAGCAGCACAACTCCAGCAGCCACAAGTACAACATAGCCCGTCATGATGATCTCGTTCGTTAGTATGTACGACGCCGCGCGTGCGTAGTAACACAGGTTTCCGTCTACTGCTGCTTCTCAACCGTGCCGGGCTCGACCTCCTTCTCGAGGTGGCCCTCGGGCAGGTTGTTCAGCTCGTCCTCGGCGGCGTCGAGCTTGCGGACGGAGAGCCAGTAGAGGATACCGGCGACGAAGGCGATGACGGCGACGACGCCGTAGTTCCAGATGAGCATCGGGTCCTGGACGAGGGCTGATGGAAGGTCAGTACGCGCGAAGGGACGTAAAGGGGGAAAGACATACGCAAGAACGCCTCGGACAGAGCGTACGCGATCGCAGACGTGAAGAAGTAGATGCCCATCACAAGCGAGCGCATATTCTTCGGCGCCTTCGTGAACGCGTACTCCAGGCCCGTGATGGACGCGAAGATCTCCGACGTCGCGACGAGCACGTACGCGCCCGTCTGCGACCACACGTTGATCGGCGAGGGCAGGTTGTTCCCGTCCGCGTCCTCGCACTCGCTCGCGTAGTACCCGCACGGGCTCGTCTTGTAGATGTAGTGCTGCAGCACCGCCGCCCAGATCATCGCCATGCACCCGCACGCGAAGCCGGCCGCCATGCGGCGCAGCGCGGTGAAGCGGAAGCCGATGACCTTGAAGAAGGGGTAGACGATGACGTCGCAGATGGGGATGATGATGAGGATGGCGAAGGGGTCGAGGTTGGAAAGAACGTCGTTCGGGACACCGTGTGTGGAGAGCGTCGCCGCTTGCGAGGTGAGGTTGTTGTTGATTTGGTTGTAGGAGAGCCCTGGAAGATGTTTAGTAGGTGAAGATGAGCGAAGGAGGCCGAGACGCACAGAAGATGGGGAACCAGAGGAACACGGCGCACGCCTTGAAGCCACGGCGAACCTCATCGACCCACAGGTCGTCAAAGTCCATCCATGAGGGCTTGGTCTGCAGCCGGCTGGGCTTGACGTTCTCCCAGAAGTCGTCCGCGCGCAAGTTCCTGTACGTCTTGACCGGGTTGATCGACCACCGCCCGCGCGAAGCAAGTGCCCAAAGCTTGAGCGCGCGCGCAAGTACGGACGATGTTGGCGGGGACCGCACGTAGCGATTGCGGCCAAAGAAGAGGATGAGGGGGCAGAGGAAGAACACCGCGGTCGGGAGCGTATACGCGAGCCAGAATCCGACGTACTTCTCCGAGTACGCCATCCCGATCTGACCGATCAGGGAGCCGACGTTGATGAAGAAGTAGAAGTACTGCGGTGATCGTCAGCATAGGCAAAGATACGCTATGTGCCCGCAACTGCTCACCATGTACACGCGCGATACGGTGAACGCGGGGTCGACGATCACGCGCGAGCCATCGGACTTCACGCGGATGAAGAGCTTGTTCTTCGTGTACTGCTCGGCCACCAACGGGGAGATGTTGGCCTTGAAGAGGCCCGTACCGAGTCCCATGATGACCAGAGCAATGACGAAGCACGCGAGCGACGATGTCTGCTTCTCGATGATGCCCGGAATGGCGGCGACGATGAGGATAACGTGTCCGACCATGGCAACCGCGACACCGACACAGATGGTGTTGAAGCGGCCCCAGTGCGCGTCCGCGAGGTAGGCACCGAGGAGGGGGGTAACGTAGCACCAGCAGGAGTAGAATGTTGTGAGACCAGTGGACGCTTGTTGTCCCATGCCGAGCGCGCCTGCCTGGCCGTCCTTCCCGCCAGCGCCAGTGCGCGAGGGGAGGTCCCATTGAATGAAGTTGGTGAAGACGACGCTGCAGCCGTAGAACGAGAACCGCTCGGCCATCTCGACCGCGGCGATCACTGCTCGATCGTCAGTGAATGATCGGGGACAAGGGTATGCGACGTACGGTACGATGCCCACGGGAGGGTGTCGGACACACGGGGGAGCGTCGCGAGCTCCTCCTCGGTCGGGAACTCCAGTCCTTCGTGCGCGTCGGGGACATCGTGCACGCTCGAGAGCTCATGCTTGTCTATGCTGTCGAGTTGTGTTCTCTTAGAGTCATTCTTCGTCGCTTCAGCGAGCGCAAGGTCGACGTCGTCCTGGAGGCGCGCCGCTGCTGCCATCGCAGTGAGTGATGATGAGGGGGGAAGCGGAGAATAGGAAGGGGAACGGCTCAATTCACCTTTTCAATAAATGGAGCCGCACCCGCATGCTCTTTCTTTGGTCCACCGGAGGGGGGGTAAAAATAGACCGCGCGAAACGCCGGCGAATTGCGGTGACCTCGAGCAAGTGGTTCCTTATCTCGCTGGTCCCTCACGGCGCGCGAACTCTTGCGCACCCTTCACATGGATGGGAAGTTCGCGGCCACAAGACTAGACATTGCCAGGAAACTGAGGCTTCAATTCAGGCGGGAAGATTCAGTGAACTCTCCAGATGGATCCAGGCTATACGTCCCTCGGTGTGCTCATCGTTCTCGCGATTCCGTAGCGCTTGCGCCATCGAGAGCACATGGAAGAGCGGAGAGAAATGACAGTAAAATTCGAATGTTCAAATTTCTCCTTCCGCCTGATCAGATCAAAACAGCACGTGGACTTCACGCGAGCTGGCCGTAAAGCGCGCAAACCGACCCTGTCCTCCTTGTCTCCGGCCACCATGTCCTCTATCATCAAGACCTGAGCGTTGTCGGCGATGGGCTGCCTTCATCTGATCTCTGTCTTCTATATCGCTGCATCAGTGCTCTGAACTGCTCGCTAGTCATTCGGCGCATTACCCGCCCTCTCCCGCATCGACCTCGCTCGTCGCCTCAGACTCCTTGCAGAATGTCCTGGACGTACCGACCCCTTTCGATAATCCCCTCCGTCAAGTTGGGAACACTGTCATGGCCCATTCCCTACGTAGACGCGGGGAGAACACATCTGTACGCCTCCAGAGGCCTCCAGAGGTTTCACTTTTGGTTCCACCTCCGGATGGGCGATCGACCACCTCCGGTTAACTCTCTCCGGCGGGGGCGGCTACTTGGATCGGCACGGATCGGCGGGGGGCAGCCCCAACTAGATCGCCGGCATCGACGACCCAGGCCCGCCCCCGCCCGCCTTCGGCGCCCTCGCCCGAACGGCCGGCGTTGTCGATCGTGCTTTGCTCATACCTGCGCGTCCTTTGTCGACGACTAATTTGCATCTGCCCGACGCGCGTCGTCGACAGACCATCCAACACGCACGACTTCGCGTATTACTGGACGCTCCATGCGGCGGGCACCTGCGCTCATCGGGAATCTGGATGGCGAATGCGGCGAACATCGATCGTGACTCGTCGCACCATCGGCGGCCTGGAATACTACATCATACACCGGGCTGAAGCTCTGCATCATACAGCTCCGCTGTATGAACTGTATGTCAGTGACTCGACCTTGTTGGCGCCGCTCGTTCTAGCAGGCTCTAGTCGACATGGATGGTGCTCTCAGTGCGGCCATGGGTGGTCCTCGTCGACGAATGCTGAAGTCACATGTGCGCAACGCCACCTTGACAGACCATGTAGCTCGCTTCGACGCATCGCCTACCTGACATCGCCCTGCTTCTACGCCTAACCTTCGCGCTCACGACAATTATGCTGATCGACCTATCTGCCTGACGCTAGGCACCTTCGCTGATGTCAAGTCGGCTTTCTACACAGACAAGCGCACTCTCGAGCGCAGTACTGCTTACAGTCTCGAGGAAGCCTTCCTTCACTGAAGGGCCTCTGACCTCGCCGCCTGCTTGCCGCCGCCGCCTTCTTTCAGTACGCTCGATGGCGTCTTTGCGTTCAACGCTGGCTATGCTGTTCAACGCCGGCTCTGCTGTCCAACGTCGGCTCACGAAGACCACCTTCTCGGACCGTCACCCATTCGCAGACCGCTACCCACTCGCCGACCGCCATTCTCACTATCAATCGCGCAACGAGACCGAGTGGGTCTTGCCGCAGGCCTCCCGTGAGAGCCAGTACTCGACTCTGATATGAGTAACTCGGATATCTCAGGGTATCTCGTGAGCGACCCACGTCCCACAGATCCAACAACCCGCAGATCGCATAGATTCAAAAAGGGCTGCGCATTTGCGCATGAATAGGCGATCTCACGAATAGACACCCTTCAAGTTTGCACACGAATGGACACCACGAATAGCCAAGCTCCGTCCGATATCAGAGCACTCACATTGGAAGCAGCTCGCGCAAGCTGACCTTCTCGACCAGCCGTGCAGCCACTTACGACATTCCTGCCATCGCACGACTGGTCAGATGAACGCTTTTCGTCAGGTTTCCGCGGCACTGGCAGACTAACCGTGAGCGCGCAGGACACGCACATTCTTCGCCGAATTCCGTGGCCGTACATGCTCGTTATCCCCGAAGCATGCTATAAGTCTCTTCGTGTAGACGGAGAGGCTTCTTTGCTTTCATCATGCCTGTGAGTACAAATTGCAATGGACGAGGCGCGCGAACGCAGGCAGCAGAGATTCAACAACGTGGGTTGCACGTGACGCGTGAGAACAATATCGGGATATCCCGAGCCCAAGTTGAACCTGCTGCAGGAGAGCTTACAAGTGCGAACAAGGACAGGGCCGCAGTATGAATGCGCAAATGCTCCTAACCGAGTCGCCGCTACAGGAGGGAAAGCAAAGTCACGACTGACGAGCCCTTGTCGACTACACGCCCCTTCGGCCCCTCACTCCGTTCAGGATTCTGGTACTAGTTTCAGTACGAAGTTGATAGCACAGACTGTCTCGAAAAGTCAAGGCGAAAGACCATGATAACGAAGCCTACGACAAAGCGCGTTTTAGACCAGTGCCTGCTCCCTGCCCAACAATTGACCGTGGGCGAGCAGCAATCTTTCACGCGCTCAAGTGGGTCCTTGTCGGCGCATCGAGTTGGACCCCAACTGGCAGATTAGCCCGCATTTGCCCACGATCGCAGCTTCATCTACGGATGCAACGCTCTGTCTAGACGTCCAGTATCGCCCTGATGAGGAGGTATACTTACACGATGGTCACAAAAGGTATACGGTAGTAGTAGTCGATCATGTCCATTCCGCAATATTTAGATGTGGTAGTAGAGCCCGTGCTATGAAAGCGTGCAGTGAGTGCGCAGTGGAAGAGGTAATGTCGCAAAGCATGCAAGGTGAATAAGTAGATAGCTAGCCCCCGTTAAAGATACACCTCTATCAACAACAGAGTTAGTTGGTTGGTACACCGACGCGCCCGCCCCTCATAGCGCGCGGCCACCCTGCCAGGACAGCTGGCTCGCCCGCCGGTCGTCGTATGTTACATCGAGGTTGGCCTGCGACGACGGCTCCTGCCATTGTGGTTGCATCTGTGGCTGGGCGTAGTACTGTGGCTGCGGCTGCGCCCACGGCTGCTGCTGCTGCTGCTGCTGCTGCTGGAAGGTCTGCGCGTACGACGGGGAGTGCGGCGAGTGCGGCGAGTGCGGTGGCCTGTCGTCCTCTTCCCACGTACTTTGCGCGGTCGCATAGGTGGCGTCAGTAGCTTCTACAGCATGACCAGCATACACTGGCTCGACGCCGCCATACGCCTCGTCGTATGAGGACGGCGGCCGCGGCGGTGCGTGGGGCAACCCCGGCGGTGGCGGTTGCAGGCGCGGGGGTGTTGCTTCTAAGGGTGACGCGGTCTGCCCAGACGAGAAGCTCGTCCGCCGACTTCGGCTGGGCGTGGGTGGTGTACTAGTGACATCGCCATTCGAGTACTTGAACTTCGGCGACGGTAGAGGGGATGGGACAGGGAGGTCGGATGCGGAGTAGTACGAGCCGTGCGGCGACGTCGAGTACGGGCTGGGTGCCAGGCGACCTGGCGGCTGGTAGGTGGGGGTGAGGTGCTGCGAGGAGGCGGAGGGCGACGGTGAAGGGAGGAGGTAGTTTGGTGACGGAGGTTGCGATCCGGGGGAGGGCGCGCGTCGCGGGTTGATGTAGTCGTTTTGGTCGTTCTGCCCTCGGTCCATCCCCCTGTCCAGCGGCGGGGTATCGAGGTAGGTTTCCCGTGGAGGGGGGCCTCTGGGGCTTGCGGTCAAAGTCATCTCATATGCCTGAGACATCTCGGAGTGTGTGCGGTTGTGGAGGTCGCTGAACATCGGCGCACTTTCGCTGTCGCTGAACTGGCGCCTGTTCTTCTTCTCCTTGCGGTGCCGTATGCCGAGCTTGTCCTTGAGGTCACCGAGAACCCACATCTCGCGGACGATGTCCTTGTCGAGAGGGTAGTAGGCCGTCTTGAAGAACTTGACAACGAAGCGAGGGACTGAAGCATGTTGTCAGACATGATCGAGAAGTCGTGAGAGAGAACTTACTCAAAGCAACTGTCACAGTGAAGACGACCGTCGTCCAGAACGTCAACTCGCCGAAGAGGATGATGACCTCGTCTATGAAGTCGCTGCTCAAGAAGAACGAGTACACCAGTATCCAAAGGAGCATGATGACGGAGGACCCAATGACCACGATGAACGTTATGACTGTCCAGCTGCAGGAACCATGAGCGACGGTACACCGCGCAACGGGGAAACCACATACTAATGAGTGTTCAAGCCAACATAGGTGTTCGCGGCGACGATGGCCGCCACTGCGACGGTTGTACCAAAGTCTGCGAGCGACTCGATAGTCTTCCCGTTCCATGAGATGGCGACCGTGCTAAGTATCCATACAAGGTAGGGAATGAAGAAGACGACCGCAGACTGGTACAGGCCGTCGAGCATGTACATCCAGAATTTCGCTCGAGTGTATTCCAGGCCGCGGATTCCACGGACGTATAGAGCAGGGTAGGCCAGCGCGGCCTTGGCGTTGATATCCTGATCGAAAGCTAGATGACAGTGTCAGCGCTTGCGACTAACGAAGATACTGTACTCACCTCCGAGAGCAACAACCGGAAGGGAAGTAAAGACAAGGTTGCACAGCAGGATGAAGGTGTACTGATACAGATATGTCGCGTCAAAGCTTTGAAGACATTCAGTGAAAGAACAGAGTCGAGACTTGGTCGCCTCACCTGCTGAAGAGCAAGAACCAGAACATAGCGAATGTCCAGATGACATTCTATAAGAGACTAAGCGACGAAGCGCAAGGGATACGGATGGCAAAGTTCACCTTGTAGAAGAAGTTGCTGTGCATATCGGCTACGCGCTGGTATGACCATCGACCGTGTACAAGCAAGAGCTTGGTCAGGAACCTGAACTGCCCGAAAGCATAATCCGCTGACATGGCCGCCTGCGAGCCCTCGAGACCGAAGAGCCCACACCCAACGTTCGCTTCCTGGATCATCGCCACGTCGTTGGCGCCGTCGCCGATGGATAGCGTCATCGCGTTCCGACCCTCCTTGACCTGCGATAGTGGTTAGCCATGTTCAACGAGGACTCAGTATGCGACACGTACCAGCTTGACAGTGAGTGCCTTCTGAGCCGGAGAGACGCGACAGCAGACAACAGTCTCACACTGAGTACCGAGGCTAAGGAAAAGCGGCTTGAGCTCCGGCGTGAGTGCGTGCCGGAGGGTGTCGCCGTCGATGACAACCGCGAAGGAAGCTTTCGCACCCGGCATGAACCCGCGGTCCTGCGGCTTCAGAGACGGTGGGCCCAGAACGGAGGCAATCTTGTTCAAGCCGCCCTCGATCTGCAACCGCGCCTGCTCCATCGTGTCCGCCGACAGAATCATCACCTCCATCTCGTTCTTCAACAAGTTGCAGCTGTACCCGATCTCGATGGCCGTCTGCAGCTTGTCGCCCGTCAGGATCCACAGCTTGATGCCCGCCCGATGCAGCGTGTCAATCGCGTCGGGTACACCCTCCTGCAGCTTGTCCTCCAGCGCGGTGGCGCCGAGGATCGTCAGGTTGCGCTCGATCAGCTCGTTCGCCTTGTCGATCTCCTCCTCGCGATTCTCGGACGCGCTCGCAGCGGCGTCGTATATCCGCTCCCATTCCATGAACTCGTGCTCGGTGAGTTCGCGGTACGCAATGCACAGCGTGCGCAGACCCGAGTTGGCGAACGCCTCCATGTCGCGCGCAGTCGCCTCCTTCATCCCCGGGTCGTGGTCAGGGGCCAGCCGCTCGTAGATGACGCTATCGGCGCCCTTGCAGTACAGGATGATCCTGCCATCCGGGGCGCGCACGGCGACACTCATGCGCTTCCGCGTGCTATTGAATTCGAGGAGCTTCAAGGGGATATGTCGCTCGCGCTGCCCGAGCACCTCAATGTCGATGCCGTCCTTTCCCTTGCCGACGAACGGAAAGCCGACGTCGCGCGCCGCAGCGACCAAAGCCGCTTCGTCCGGGCTCTCCGCCTTGTACACGATATAGTTCGGCCGCTCAGGTTCTGGCCTATCCGCGAGGACGCTGTGGCAGATCGCGAGCGCACGGAAGAAGGCCACGATCGCCGTGCGCTGCGGCCCCCGCTCGACGAGGTCCTCGGCCAGCTTCGGCGACACGAGCGTGAGCTTGTCCGTCTGGACGTATCGATTCTTGAACGCGCGCTCCATGGTGGACAGCATACGCTGCTTGAGCACCGCCAGCTGCTCGTTCAGCTCCTGCGGGGGCAGCGATGCGAGGTCTCCCGGGCCTGCCTGAGCGCCGCCCGTTCGCGTCGCCGCTCCACGCTGCGCTTCCGTGACGCCCTCGCCGTACGCTGTTCCCGCGATAGAGCACTTCTGGAACTCCATGATGTTCTGCGTGAGCGTGCCGGTCTTGTCGGAGAAGACGTATTCGATCTGGCCGAGATCGTCGGAGATGTTCCACGTCTTGGGCACGCAGGCGGTGTCGTAGGGCTCGTAGTACATGTCGATGTCCTGCGAGATGAAGTACGCTTGGATGGTCTTGACAATCTCGATGGAGATGTAGAGGGAGATGGGGACGATGTTCTGGAAGGCGATGAGGCAGGAGCTGTGAATAGCAATGAGCGTTGGGTGCTGCAGGCACGTAGTAGCACCTACAAGAAAGTCACAATCCCGTTGAGCACCGGTGAATCACTGGGAGTGGACCCAGCCTCGAAGTAATCTCTACTACTCTGGCCTTGGCCGTCGTCCAGGCCGTTGAAGATAGCAGAGATCCCGCACATCATTGCGAGGAGCACGAAGTTCACGATGACATTGAAGTTCGTCTCCCTCTCGATCTTGCTGCGCTTACTGGGCGTAGCGCCACCGTTCAGCATGATCTTCGTGTCCGCGCCGGTGAACGCAACCAAGCCGACAACCCACTGCGTGTTGCGCAGAGAGCAGCCACGAAGGAGCAGCTCGTTGATCGTCACGGGGTCCGTCTTGGTACCCTCCGGCGTCTCGTAGTGCATGGCGCCACGGTAGACGTAGAGGTTCTGGTGAGGCGGCTCGGAGTCCAGCACGAAGCTACATCGCTCGATGTCGTCCTCGGACTGTATACTCATGGTCGAGCGGATCGCCCGTCGCGGCTTCAGGTTGGTTTCGCCGTCGAGGTTCTTCGTCTCGAGATAGCACATACCCTCGGGGTCGGACGTAGAGAGCACGACGATGTCCGCGGGCACCTGGTCATTGTCCCGTAGCAGAACGATATCGCCGACCTCTAGCTTCTTCCAGAGCGTACGCTCCCATTGACTGGCACCCGTAATTCGCTTCGAGTAATCGACGACTCCGGCAGTGAGCGTAGCAGCGGAATCTCGTAGCGAATGCTGCTGGTATTCGGCTAGGGTTCCCGAGCCTGCACCTATTGGAGGCGCAGGCATAAGCTGGCTCGTAGAGGATGACAGCGACGTCTTCGACATGTCCAGGCTAGCGGGCGGATATGAGTGCGAATCGACAGATTGTATATCGTCCAGCTTCCGCCCGCCCGCACCGTAGCCGAATTCCATCGAGTCGTTGTTGCGCTCAGACTCCATAGCGGAGGAGCGTCGTGGCATCGCGATCGTACGCTTGAGCTCACTGGCCTCGCGCTCACGGAGCCTGCGCACTCCACGTGTGACTTTCCCCGGGGGATTCAGGCCGAGCAGCTTCTCGATCCAGGTGCGGGGATCTGAAGGCTGATTGGGATTCTTGAACGAGCCGCCAAGTTTAGTCGCAGCCGAGGTGTTGACCTCTTCGTCGAGGGTGGCGCGGCGATAGTCCTCTACGCCGTCCTTGATAGCGGTGACGGTAAGGATGAAGACGAGAGGGAGCATGGATATCTTGCCGTTCGGGGCGCCGAATATCTGGATATCTAGAGGAAGGGATAAGGCATGTGTGCGTCCGTGGAATGCCGTACGTACTCTGGAGGACGACAAGTGACAGGAAGAACACGTTCGCGACACTGGATGGATGGATGAGCTTGGCGTGTGAGCTGGGGCGAGGGGGAGACGGACCGTCGAAACTGCTCATACAGGTTCTTCGGTATGAACGTCAGAATCGTGTACTCTGTCGACTGGTCAGCTCTATCGCGTCGCGCGGGCAGTACATGCACACGCACTCGTCGTCCGGACTTTATTCCTGACATATCGCACAAGCGGCTCGCCGTGCTGATCGACCTCGTTGGGGGGAAGCGGGCAGTTCACGTAGACACGCCTGCGGACGCCTGGGACGCCCGCCGCGGGATCTGTTCCCGACTCGGGTGCCTGCTCCTGCGGCTGCTGCTTCTTCTCGGTGCTCTTCCTGAAGAAACGACCTCTGGCGCGGCGGGACTTGCGGCGTTCTGCGCGCACTTCAGAGCGGATAGACTCTGCGATAACGCTGTGGGCGGTGCGGACGGTGCGCAGGCGTAGCTCCGGGTCGATATTGTCGTCAAGCTCATCGTCGGAGTCGGCCTGCTGCGACCGCTTGAGGAAGGGCATGATGGGAAGGAATGACGCCCTGCCGCAGAGCGCCGTGCACCCTGCACCAGGTGATAAAAGAAGGGGGAAGGAAGGGAAACTTCCAGGGAGCGTCTACACGCTCGAGCTGGTCGTGGACAGCGAAGAAGGTGTTGATGAACGCCAAGCCCGGCAGCGACGAGCCTGCTGACCCTAACCTTGATCCAGCCTTGATCCCGCCTGTGCCGAGCGGGGATTTCGCGCACGATGCCGCGCGGCAAGTTCCAATTCTCCACTTGGCAATTCCGCGGTTGAAGATTCGCTCGACGAATTCCTGGAACGAATTGCTGGTTTGGCGCGAAGTTCAGAAGAGGGTACCGACTCTGACAGAGGTAGTGGTGGTGACGGGAGGGAGCAAGATTCGAACAGGGAACTCGAGGATCAATTGCATACATTTACGCATATTTACGAGAGCCAAACAAAAGATTCGGACTCCAAAGCCTCAGACGGCACGCAATTGTGTACCGATTTGTCCAGCCCAAGTTTCTTTCCATATTTCCGCCCCTTCACGCGCATGATTCCAGGCAGCTCGAATAATTGCACACGCAGGCCGTATCCGAATATGGTTACCCAGGTTACACCGGATATCGCTGAAGACTTTCGCGAGAGAACGTCCAATCTGGGAAGAACTTGGGCGTGCCTCGAGATCGAGCGGCCTGCTCCCGAAGAGGATCCTGAGACGGACTGGCGCGCAGGACGAGCGTTTGCTGTGCGGCACGGCGATGTACGGGTTTGAAAGGCTGTGGCAGAGAAGACGAGTTACGACAGCTGCCTTGCCCACATCAGCGCGCACGAGCCGAAAGCGGTGGTTCGAGGCAAGGGGACCAAGGACGTTAGATATTAGAAAACAAAGAGTCGTCACCGCCGGCGATAGTCTCCTTGTTTTCTACCAGATCCTCGGAATTAGCGAAGTGAGTTTATGCAGCCGGAAAACTTTACTCAGCGTGACTGGGAATACTGTAGCGCCTCGCAGTGTACTGGGTTCCGCAAAGCCATGACCATGTTCGATACCGCCAGGCGCCCGCACGTAGCCTGTCCGCAAAAGCATTGCCCGGCCGCTTGCTGCTCGCGGAAACTCATCGTGCTGACGAACATGCTCCCCCCGTCCCGCTCGAAGGCCGCTCCCAGGTCAGCAGGAATACGCTGCAGGCACGTCGTAGTTAGACGTGGACTCATCGACTCAAATTAGCAGACGCGTAGGAAGCGAGGTCGTACGCAGGCACACCCGGAGTCGACATTCAACGCGGGCGTCATTGTCGAAGAGAAAGACCGCCCCCAACGGGGAACCCGAGACTCGAAAAATAGGCGGAGTGTATCGTCGATTGGCCAATATTGCGATGTTCCCCGTCGATTCAGGAACTTGTGAAGCTGCGGTCATGTCAGCAAGGGGCAGCGTCGGTGTTCCCCTTGCGAACGCGCGTCGCTGCCGCACGAGTTCGACAGCCACTACGGCCCGATGACGTCTCTTCAAAGGTGTCAGTGTACTGGAGATTGAGTGAAGAACGACTGGCGTACCTCCTTTCGCGCCGCGAGATGACCGAAATGCCACCAAGCGACATCCAGCCGGTGACTCAGCACATGCTCGTGCGAAAGCAGCGTGCCTACAGGCTCAAGCGGGTCGCGCAACAGCGCGCGGATGGTCACCCGGGAGCTAGGGACGGAGCACAGCGCGAGGACAGAGATGAGCATATTTGGGCAGGGGCCATTCCCTCGGAGCGCCCCACGTATCGCGGCGATGTCCTCGATTCTGCAGCCCATTATGATCAAGGAGCCGTCCTGGTATGCGAAGCCGGAATTCTTGGTTGTCCGTCGGATGCGGCCGTGCATAGCGGCGCTGGGCTCGACGGAGACATACTTCGTGACTGCAGCGCGATCTAGGTAGACAACGGAGGTGCCGTGCCCTGTGGCGAAGCAAGTCGTCAGGGTTTATGATAAGGAGTCAAGGACTTCGTCTTTCCTGATATGGGCGGATGTAAGTTGCACACCTGTACTCACATTCATGACTACGCCCCGCGTGAAGTGTAATAGACGGTACATTTTCCTTGACTCTGTTTGTTTTTCTCTCTAGGTACCAACTCATTCTGCTTGCCTTATGCCCCATTATATAGAAGGACTCGTCACCCCAAAACGCGTTTCCCTGGCGCATTTGCGCACGGTTGCAGCCAGCTACAGTAGATGCTCATATATGGTCGTGCGCCAATCTACAAGACAGCTTGCTGGCTGAATAACTGGTCATGAAGGTGGGTGTCAGGAAACGGAGGGCCATTCTAGGTTCGAACCGTGACCTGCGACGTGATGGGTAACAGACCGTCCGTGATGTAGTCGTATTCTCGCTGTGTTCCCGACCATCATGTCCTTCACCAGAATCCCCTCTTTTCGATCCTTCGCTTTCTTTTTCTCTCGGAGCTTTGCATCTAGCTGGCTTGTGCCTCGGTATCATAACAATTCATAAACTTATGACCTCAACTCGCGTGCTGTTGCGTTCGCCGATCGACTAGCAGTCACCTCGAGCAAACATGGCGAAGGCTGAAGGCCCGACGCGTGTCCGTGGTGACTGACAGACACCCATCGCACGTACTGAGCTGACTTGACATGGGATCGGGATGGTCATAGAGCGGGATCACGGTGCGTTTGGGGTCTCCCTCTTCGTGCGCCTTTCTGACCAGGATATACCCGACAGAAGCTAGCTATGATTAGAAGAACCTCGCAGTACTGTATGATACAGACCGGGCAAGCCTTCAGCTCTCCGTCGCAAAGCAGTACAGAGTCGGTTCGACGATCTCAAATCCATCCGAGTTGTTGTACCCAGTCAACATCGACTTCCCCAGTGCAGCAGTCGTGCAATGGACACCGCGCGCGACCTTGAAGCTTACCCATAATTCTTTATCGTTAACGCGCGGAGACGGCTGGAGGATCGTCAGCGCGCGCAGGCACACGGGGATGCGAGGTCTTGTGCGTGCCCAATGCTTGAAGCTCTTCTTGTCTCACCGAGCTTGCAGTTTTGTCCTCGATGTCGACGCTATGGCACGAACCAAAGCCTTCCCGTTAAGACGTGAAGCCGTACGACGAGCGGTGCTTCCCTAGCGGTCTCCTTCCCCCTGGCGCACTGAAGGTGGCGGGCTTGTCAGAAAGCTCTCGATACGCGCATGTGCGTCTACCCCGCGTGATTCGCATTCGCGAATGCCTGCTTGGCCGGCGGTTCCCCACAAGCTGTATGTCTTCCTCTGCCGTATCGAGTCTCGCTCACCCTCGCCGACGTCGCAGGTCCGCGTTGACCTCGCAGATCGCACGAATGACGGCGGTCCTTGACCGCATCCTGCCCCGCTATACTAGCTCCAAGAGTTTATGCCACCATCGAACCCCATATCCAGGCACTGCAGTACCGTATCGATGTTCCATAAATACGATTTTTCTGTTTGATCTGAACCTACTCGTTCGACGCGCTATCCACATGACTCAGCCTCACGCTCGCCCTCGACGCCTGCCTGATCGCGACCCCTACAACTGCATTCCTCATCGCTCTCGCGCAAATCTGTTAGACGGTTAGTGGCTGTGGTGTGTGTTCAATCATTACACCGTACCCCAGCTGCCTGCTTGAGACGAGACCTCCGCGTTTGCTTCCTTTCGACCGAACAAACGTCGTCGTCCCTCGCTCCGGCTCCAACCAACATGGCGCGGATGCTTTGCCACCTTGCAGGGTCCTCCGAGGTCTTCATCTCCTCATCGACGACGTCCAGCAAGGTCACGCCGTCAGCATCGCGAGCCGCTGCATCTGCGCCGAATTCGAGAAGTAGACGGACCACATCGTCTTCAGAATTGCGCACGGCGAGGTGCAGAGGAGTCCGACCATCTGCGGTGCGAGCGTCTACTTCTGCTCCACGATTTACGAGCAGCCTGATTATGCCCAGGTGTCTCTTCTCGGCCCCAAGTTCAAGTGCCGTACGACTGGCATCATCGCGGATGTTTTTGCGCGCACCTTTGCCGAGCGGCAGGTAGATGGCCCCCTCGCTGGAGCTGGAGTCGTCCAGTTGAAGAGGGGAATACCCGCCAAAAATGGAAGCCTCCAGGTCCATCCCGTAATTCGCAAGCAGCTTAGCGATGTTTAGGGACCCCTTTCGGATCGCATTATGGAGGGGCGTATAACCGGCGTCATCGTGAGGATCCACAAATGCGCCACTGTCGAGAAGCCGGGAAACAACATCACGGTGACTGTTCTCCGACGCAAGATGGGCTGCTGTCCGTCCGTCTTTGTCGCGTAGTTCGGTATCCGCGCCAGACACAAGAAGCAAGTCGACGAGGCCCGTGTGACCCTTCCGTGCTGCAATGTGAAGGGCGGTGTCTCCGCTGACTTCATCTGGGCTGTTGACATCCGCTCCGAGCGTTTCAGTGAGCATCTTCACGAGCGGCACATATCCCGTTCCTGCCGCAACGCGAAGGGCCATGTGCAGTGGCTCACGATCTCTGAGACCGCGAAGACTACGTGCGATATCCCCTGCGAGGTCGCCGTATGCATCGTCACCCGCCAACACCACGTACACGACCCAGGTCCACGCCAGATGATGGGACCTTTGCCGGCGCCAGTCGTCGCCATGGGATGCGCGATCCACGATGTAGGCAAGACCAGTACGGGCCATATCGCAGTACTTGTTCTTGATGTCTATATGGAAAGGCGATGCTGGTGGCAGGGAGAGAAGGTATGTCCTTGCTGAGTTATGGGCTATCTGAATCACACCGTTGTTGACAGAGACGAACGCAGAGCCTAAAGAAGATATGGCGTCGCCCGGGTCCACAGGCTGGAGCGATCCGTCGTAGACGGGCATGTAACCAGAATAATCGAAAGCCATGAGACACGCAACGTCATCGGGAGACAAAGGGACAATGGAAAGGATGAACCATGCGAGAAGGCGTCGAGTATCGTCGCGCACAGAAGGAGACATCGCCGCCAAGCGTTTTCTGTATATATCTTCGAGTGATCTTGGGACTTCACGGAGGCTGCGGTCCACCAGTACCGGTATGTTACGCACTCGTATAAGCTCGTGGACCATGAGCGACACCCATTGGAAACTGAAAATATTACTCAGTAATAACACCACAACGGCCTGAGAAAGGGCCTTACTTCCCGTGGCCCGTGCCCCCAAGGACTGCTTTTACCATGTCGGTGTTTCGCACCGCTCCGAGGGCGCCGCCAGAGGCTAAAGCTTCGTCAAGATACTTCGCGATGTCCATGTGTACTAGCCCCTGCTTCATGATCACCTTGAAGGCAAACATCTCGTCGACGTCACTGCTGACGGTGCGCTCTGTTCGATCTGATACCAGAAGGGAAACATTGGGCCACAACGCCAGCTCCCGAAGAAAAGGGTAGATTCCTTCATCATCGGCCTCGTCCAACGCGTCGACTACCACGAAAATCCTTTTTCTGTTGAGGCTAGTGGCGATTGACCTGAGCATCGCGGACATAACCGAGAAATCCGGTGTTGATGACCCATAAAACGCGCGTAGTTCCTTCAGCACCGTTGCCTTTTCATCCAGCTTGAGCACGATTTGGCACAACAAAGAGGAGACGAGTGCCTGTAGGTTACGGGAGTGCGTCGCCGTCGCATCGAACATATGAGTGAGGACGAAGGCGCTAGAGCCATCGGCAGATGCGTAATGGCGTGCTTGCAGATCTCTGCTGGCAGCGATCCTGTGATAGTAACTTATCAGACGCCGTGTGGAAGCGGTAGGCTGTTAATAAAAGCCTACATAATGGTGGACTTTCCACAGCCTGCTAGAGGAGACGTCAATGAGGTGTACAAGGGCATGCGTTGCACGACGTCTCACCGTGTCCCTGGAGCATCAGGGGTGGAGTATTTCCACGGCGGAAGGCGTTGAAAGGCTCGCCATCGAGGAACCAGGATCCAGTCCCTCCCGCGCGATTTTCAACCAAGGTATTCAGCTTTGTCGAAGAGTTTGGGATTTCAAGCCAGCGAAAGATGTCTCCGACAGCTACAGATTACCATAAGTTCCTCCATTCGCGGGTGAGGTTTGAACAATCACCAGCATCGTACGCGCGATCATTCATCTGCGATAACAAAGTATCCTGGATACGCTCTAGCGCTTCCCTTCTCCTCGGCTGGTCCCCGTTTTCTTCAAGCTCGGCGTTATCTTAAGAGAATGAATGAATGAAGCGAGTGAAGATACATGAATTTACTGTACCATATCTCTCGTACGCAAGTCGCGTGATGAGCGTGAGACAGCTCTGACTGAACGGTTCAGCTTCATCTAATACGGTAGGGTCAAAGGGCTGCTGGATATATGCGAGATTAGACGTACGAGTGATGCTGTTGACGAGCATGGTCACCAGCTGCTTTACCACCAGGACGACGCTCAAGCGGCCAACCTCGGTCAGCCTCCATGAGAGGCTAAACAGATCATCGATAGTTGGCGATACGGTTGAATTGTTTTCTTTCGCGGTCTTTGCCCACATCACTAGAGAGGTGACTCAGCGGATGAGTATCGTAGCAGCGAGCTCGTACTCACACATAGTGCCCTTCATTTGTAGTTTTGTCAATGAACCAAAGAAGATGACTATCTGTGATAGCGAACGAATCGAAGCATCGCATACAGCGGGATTATAGGCACGGATCATGCTGAGCTTTCGGATGGTTTTTAGCCTGAAACAGTCTGCCAAAACGTATAATGCGATGCAGCCACCCTCGAATGCTTCCAGCGTCTTGGTGGATATCTGCCGCAGTATATAAGTAAGATTTGGAGCAACCACCGAGAGATAGATATACCTCGACATAGTTTGCGACTGAATCAAAGGTTATTGCACGCAAATGAGGCGCCTGAATCGATGTGAGTCACGGTAGGCATTGCTTGTCGTGGATCTCACCGATATCTCTGTGTTGTCTACCATCTCGCTCAGACATGACACAGCTTGCACAATCGTTACGAGAATGTCCATCATGCGTGTAGCACTGCCTGCACCGAACCGTTCCAAGTACGCCTCCTTATGATCGACACGGCTGAGAACATCCGTCGCTCTGGTACAAGATATAGAGAGAGCAGTGCCTGTATCTCTCTCGTATCGTGCAAGAGCAGCATACCAAGTTTCGATGGGTTCATCTGGACACGGCTGTTGCCCGGGAACGACAGGATATTCGTAATCGAGTAATAAGAGGCGTGGTCGTGATGGTAACAATGCGTGGTCTATCTCTGATGGCTTCGGCGCCCTGTCTCATGCAATCGTTCAGACTACGAGAGTGATCGTGTTAGGAATACGCACGTAGGAGACGAATGTCGGCTAGGTGAGTTCGGGGGAGTGCAATCAGGATCGCGCGTCCGTTCAAGCCTGGATAGAAAGCGCCGCATATTGAACCGATGGGGCTGAGCACCTTCTGAGGAAGGCAAAGGAGAGATACGCCGACGAAGGCGCTGATACCAACGGCGCCGCGATGGGGGCGATGGCAAAGGATCGGGCATGAGACCTCAGATAGCAGTTACTATCGCGTTAGGATTGAGGTTTTGGCGTAAGGGAAGAGGTTGGGCTGGGCGGATGGATCAACAAAACAGGTGCTGTGAGTGCGACTGCAAGACTGAAGGCGCCTTCGGACATTTCCATGCCGAGATCAGTATGCCGGTTTGACGGCAAGTCCCGTGCAAGCATGGACCACTTCTCCTTTTGGTCATATGCTTGTCTTTCACTTCCATCGCGTTGGCATACGTTCCGCTGCTTCAAGCGCCTACAAGTACAAGGAAGCCAAAGGATTGTTTTTGTTGTGCTTCTTTCAACCTCTGATCGTCGTGGTCGGTCGGTAAGTACTCCTCATCAAAGGGCAAGTCAAAGGGATCGACAGCCGGTTCTCGGGCGCGAGACAACAGCGGCGTATACTCTGATTGTCACTTGCCTGTTATTGTCCGGAGAGAACAGCAGCTCGTAAACGCATTTTTCGGTAGAATTCCTTGCTCGTGATATTGTGCGGCGATACCGGAAGGGACGGTCCCGCCGTCAGCGTGAGAAGTGAAGAGGCTTCTTGTGCACGCGGCTTCCTCGTCTCTGATCTGCCCCTTTCGACGTCGTGGGCGCTCTTGGCCTGCACAACCTTCGGCAATCTTCTCTTTTGATAGTTGGACCTCGAGTCGCCTTCTGTCGTGTCCCCGGGCGGATCATACGCCTACGACTATCTCATTTCGGCGACAATGCACTTTCGTATAAGCGTATCCTCTCTCATTCCTGATCGCCATCGATCGAACCAAACTTCATCCTTGAACACCCCCGATGTGCTTAAGCCAAAACCCACTGGTATATTCCGTCTTCGTGCAGCCGGATCAACCGCTCCTTCCAGTTGGGCTAGGTGGTGGTCTCGACGGACACACATACCCGGTGAAGGTCAGCGGAACGAGGTGTCCGTACGAGGTGAGTGATATTTTCTGCAAGTCGGTCACCTCATACTGATAGCTCCTCAGTCGATAGACGGTCCCTTGCGGCCGATGAAGACACAATGTCAGGTCTCTGGGCCCAAGCGCTGAACGTTTACAAGCAAGACACTGGCATCGACTTCGACCTTTCGGCTTCCGAAGAGCTCCTCATATCGAAGGGCGCGATTTTCGACTTCATCGACAGGAAGCAGCGCGATTTCCAGAACATACGTCGGCGATCCAGTGCGCAGCATGTTCGCGGGAAACTCTTGAAGGTCGCCAATATCGTGGAAAGCCTATCTGATACGGTTGGCGATGTGGTAGCATCGGTGCTTCTCTTTCTCCCTGAAGCAGGTCGGAACGTACTGAGCGTGATTGCAACAGGCATGTCCTCCGGGAAAGGCTGTCTTCGCTGCCTTGGGCGTGCTAGTAAAGGTCCGGATATCGCAGCATTCTTAGAGCCAGAGGTTGTTGCTAACGTGTCTGCCCAGGGGGCGATCGAGGTGCACGAACAATACGAAGCAGCAGGATTTGCGTTTGAGACTATCGAATATAATTTGCGTGTCATTGGTATCGTCGCGGACTGCGACATGACTCCTGAAATTCGCGAGGCCTCCGTCGGGTTGCTTTCTCATGTGATGGTAGTCCTTGGCCGCATCACACAGCTGCAGAAAAGCGGTCACATCGGTGAGCTTTGGCGGAGCGGTGATTGCGTAACCGGAATTTGACCTATTTGCAGTGGAATGGCTGAAGACTTTTGGCCAGTCAAATTCGGACGTATCCTCGGCGTTGAGCAACTTGGCGAAGGTCGCAACGAGCCACAATCATATTGTGTCTGCACTGACGCTCAAGACGGCGACGCGGATGATGACTGTGCTCGCGGAGAGTATTACCGGTTCGTGAAACCCAAGTCAATGCTTCGCTTGCTGATGGATCGAAGGTACGAGACACGCACAACTGGATACGCAGGATGTATTGGCAGGAATAGAAGATATTGTGCGGAAAGTCACAAGTAAGGTCTCGCCCACGACACATCTCGTTCGTCTCGCTCATCATACTGTGTCAGCGCGCGATATGATTAGTGCGATCCTGTCCTGGCTACACTACAAAGATCCCTCTATTGTAGTGAACACGCTACTGGAACGGCGTGCTGCATACACGTGCTTATGGTTTCTCCATGGAGACATGTTCATGGCAATGAAAGGAGGTACAAAGAAGGCCCTTCTTCTGCACGGGAAAGGTAAGCGACGTTCGGAAAAGCCCCTACTGCTGTTGTCTGATGCATGGGCAGCCGGCTGTGGGAAAAGCACCGTCATGTAGGTGTTATCGACGCTTGGAAACGGCTTCATCGTATTTAAAGTCCCCCACCACAGCTCAGCTGCGATCCAAGAACTACGCCAAAACCGCACTTCGCTCGATACAGTTGAGCGTCTGGTGCTTTCTCACTTTTTCAAGCCCAAGAGCGGCGGGCAGGCTCTGAGCTTGCGCGCTCTTCTTTCGTCACTCGCGTGTCAGCTCATGCTGAGCCATGACGCGTGCTCAAGCAGACTTAGAAAGCTATGGACGAAAAACGCGTGCGGAGTCTCTCAGGCCCCGATGGCAGAGATCAGGAGCACGCTCAAAGAGATGCTAGACCTCGCGAGCGACAAGCGCATCGTAGTAGTCGTCGATGCGTTAGAGGAAACGTTGTCTGGGGACGAGGACCACATCGTGGACTACCTGAAGGAGCTGCATAAGCGGGACAACGTCGCCTTGCTGATCTCTTGCAGAACCGCGGCGCGCCCTTGTGACGAGCTGGCGGCCTTCTGCGATGCACGAGTCGCCATGGATCAAGATGTCGTGAACGAGGACATCACGACCCTAGTAGACAGCCTTCTCAGGCCAGGCGGAAAGCTCGCTCGTATCTCGCATCACACTGACATTCGCGAGGTTCTATGCTGCAGAGCTGATGGAAGGTAGAGGATGCACACATTCCGTATTTTCATTGGCGGCTAAATCGTTTCAGCTTCCGCTGGATAACGTCCCTCGCTCAAAGTCTCGCCGGACTGACCGTGCCGACGAGTCGCTACGTGCAGAGTCACCTCAATAACGTCCCGGACGCGCTCGTTTCTCTTTACCAGAAGGGCCTCAACTCCATCATACCGGCATTTCGAGAAGATGTCGTTCGTCTACTTAAATGGGTTATACACACCGCAGAGCCGCTGTCTCCGGCTGAGCTTCAGCAACTCCTTCTCTTCCGTTATGCGAACGACTCGGACATGCCGGTGTACGATTCGTCTGAGGCTTTGGGCCAGGATGCGGCGGTGATCTCCCTCGTCGGTTCGACATTTCTGTTCGTCTGCGATGGTGTCGTACGCCTGGCGCACTCTTCGGTCAAAGACTACCTTGTCTCCCTTCCCGTAGAGTCGCCGTTCCGCGTGGATGAGCAGCCTGAGTTCCCACTGATGGCTCGCACCGGCTTTGCGTACATCAGCAGCGAACCTGTCGGCGAATGCCCCGATCTCGGCACACAACGCCCTCACCATCTCACATGGACGTGGGTCGTCTATATGTCGAGAGCAGACGAGCGACAATATCCTGCACTCGAGGGCGACTTCGTCAGTACACTGGTCCACATCAGGGCAAAGGGCTTAATTCATATCACCTTGCACGCCGCCATACATTTCGCGCACGCTCCGATTGTAGGCTTTTTGTGCTACCACGGCCCGGGTGGCTTCGAGGTGGACTCCTTCGAAACCATCAATCGACTACTTAGCGAGACAGCCCACCGACCTACCGAGCGATGGTCGATTTTCCCTCGAGGTTATTTGTCGGAGGAGCGAATTCGGGAGCTGCTGATCAGCGGACGGCGTTTTGTCCAAGGAAGAAGGGATAAGAGCCGAAAGGTAGTATGCGATCGCAATGGTCACACTTGATGTTAGGTAGGTAAGCACGACGACCATGGTATTCGAAGGCACTGACGTTCTCCTGTAGCTCCGCAGGAGTGTAATCAGCGTGCAGACATTCGTCGAAGGTCCCAGTTCGCCCACTGTACTGGTCAGTCTCATGTCGGGAGCGGGCGTACGCGTTATCCCGTGATTGATGTTCATTCGAATAGACAAGCCTGATACACGAAGGAAATAGCCTAGATAAATAGCTACACATGAGCGCCATCGTCGTGAGCAGTTATCATGAATAAAGTAGCACGCGCACAGCAATGAGAACAACGAGGAAAGTCCGCTCGCGCCATCGTCTATTCAAGGCGCAACCTCCAGTCCGCCAACGAGGGCCCGACGCCCTGCAGTAGCGATGAGACGCCTCATGCCCATGGGTTATCTTCGTGGTCCTCGAAAGGATCTACCACGAATCGTGGTGGCGTCGTCGTCCGCGCAATGGGCTCGACCGCCACACTCGGCGGACTCATCAGCCTTGGCGACCCGGGCGTCGGCGGACTATCCCTCCCCCCGCGCGACACGCCCTCCCGGTCTTCCACCGCCTCCCGCACCTCTTCGCCAACTTCTATCCTCGCTGACGGGCTCGCCCACCCCGGGTCGTCAACTTCGACCTCGCCGCGTCCGTCGTCGAGCCCACGGCGGTACACCCGCTGCAGCCCGCCACGGTCTTCGTCGGTCTCGACGACGAGGTCGACGGCGTCAGGCGGCAGAGGGCTACTGGTCGGCTGCTTGGGGCTGTCCCGCGGGGTGTCGTGGCTCCGGCGCGGGGTGCCGGAGCTTCTGCGCTGAATGTCGAGGCTACGTCGTAGAGTCTCTTCAGAGCGCCTCTGCCCCGAGCCGCTGCTTCCGGTCGAGGATTGTGTCCGAAGCGTGGGTGGCGAGCGTACGCCAGGGCTGCCCCGAGTCTGCGATGGTGACGACGGGCGTGCGCCCTCCCGCTGCAGCCGCGTCCAATGAAGCTTTACCTCGCCCTGGTCTCCCGTCTCCGCCTTGTCCGCCTCGAAGTCGACGTACCGCCGATGCGGGTTCTTCGCATCGTGTTGCTCATCGAAGTCCGGCTGAGCTCGTCGCTGCGTCGGCGTAGTCGTCCCCACCGCGCCGTACCCTTGCCACACCGGGCCCTCGCGCTGACCCAGCGCAGCGACGCCCCGCGCGCCGGTGAGCGGCGAGTACCACGCGCCACGCTCATCCCGCAGCACGCGCTCCTCCTCGTGCCACATCATCCGCCGCGCGGCCTCGCTGCTGACATCCACGCACGGGTAGTTGTAGTCCCCGAAGATGTAGTGCCGGCAGTGGTCATACAACTGCTCGTCCGCATCATCAACGTCGCCGAACGGGAGCTCGAAGCCCTCCTCAGCAACGCGCGCAGACGTCCACACGTCTTCGTCTGCGTCTCGGCGCATGTCTGGGGCTGCGTGCACAACGTCGGCAGCTTCAGAGGCGAGGAGAGGCGCGTGCGCGTCCTCATTGTCCAGGGCGCGGTGGATACCGCGCGTGACTGGGTTGTCATCCCGCGCAGATGCTGGGCGAGGCAACCAGTACTTGCGCTTGCCGCCCTTGCTGTAGCGCAGCCCTGCGCGAATACGTCGCTCGCGGCCGAGACCTTGATGTATGAAGCCCTCCGAGGGCTCGAATTCGCGGTAGTCCATACCCTCTCCACGCATCGTCGTCTTGAAATCCTCGACAACATCCTTGATGCCGAATGCGTCGCGTAAGGCGTAGTAGAAGGGCATGCGGGCCACGAACGCCTTCGTTTCGTCCACGAAGTCCGTGAAGGAGAAGGCGTACCAGTGCGCGATTGCAAAGAACGGCATCTCGATGCAGATCAGCGTGTCCGACAGCCCGAGGGATATCCGCTCCGCATCCGTGTATGGCCCAAGGCGCGCGATCGCGCCCGCCGCGACGAGGATGGAGATGGCGAGCGACTGCCAGAAGGAGAAGAAGAGGATGCCCTTGACGCAGAGAAACTTTGGCACCGGGCGGAACGGCTTCAGATCGTCGTTGACGCACAGCCAGAAGATGGCGAGGCAGTAGAGCGCGAGGCAGATGCTGACGTTGTACACGACGGAGACGTAGAGGTAGCCGGAGTTGGCGCGTAGGTCGCCGTCATTGTACTTGTTGCAGGCCTTGAGGATGAGCGTAGCGGTGGCGAGGATGGGTTTGACATAGACGTATTCTAGGGTGGGGTCAGGGAGGGGAGGTAGGGCGGTGGTTCGAAAGACGCACGCATGATCCCCCGCTTGAGAAAGAGGAAGGTGTACGGGTCGCTGACGTCGATCTCCCTCGTGAAGATGTTCGCGGGGAAGGGGGGCGCCTTCGGGGGCCGGCCGTGCATCATGATGAGCAAGGAGCGCTCGCCACCGAGGTAAACGAGGAGCAGCACGAAGAAGCAGTAGATGACAAATGCCTGTCCCCAGTCAGCGTTCTGGTGAGGGCATGGGTGTAGAGCGCACCTCGTATACATCCCTAATAGCGTCGATGAAGAAGGCAGCTTCGAGGGAGAAGAGGGAGATGAGGGACGCAACCGCGTAGATGGGTATCATAACCATGATTCGGACAACCATCCTGAAGACACGTATTGCTCAGATATGCGCTAGTGTAGACACGTCTGGAACGCACCTCTGGAGTGCTGGTTTCCTGTAGTTCTTCAGATGCAGATATATCGAGAATGCCGAGACCACCACGGCGACCACAGTCGACACGCCGGCAAGAACCAGCACTCCCGCTGGCAAGTGGGAGCCGGAGCCCTCTCGGTCTCCGAGCTTGAGACCCATCAGGATGGGTGAGACCGCGGGCGACGTGGAAGTAAGAAGCAAGAACGTCGAGAACGATGGCCGCAGCGCCGGCGCCGATGACGAGCTGATTTTCGTTTCATCCCAAAAAGGTTATTCGTACTTGCTTCCAACCACCATCTCCTCGGAATGGAACCGCCTTCGCTATATGCTTTGACTCTGAGCACTGCTTGTACTTGAGGATCCATTGCTACGAGAGCCCCTTCGCCCTTCTAGCAATTCTTACGTTGCTTCACGTCCCACCCGCTCACCGTTTACCATGAAGTTCTCAGCAATCTGGGGCATGCTCACCGACCTATGGCTGGCCATAACAATCGGTTTCAAGCCGACGCTCCTCGCCGTTCTCAAAAATCCCCGTCTATTGCTTCACCCCTCCAGGGTCTCCAGGTTCTTCATGGCAAGAATCTGGGAGCAGTATGGCCCCGGGACAGACCAGAACTCGCGAGCGGAGAAGGAGAAGCTGATTCGGCCGTATGCGAAAGGTGTGGTAGTCGATGCGGGGGCAGGTTAGTATGGGCTTTTGGTTGTCATCTACGCCTTCCACTGCCGAATCATCTCTCATCTACTTACCATCGGTTACGCGAGTGGGAAATGCTGACGATGAAATGCCTATAGGACACGGCGTCTCCGCATTATACCTAGACCGCAACAAGGTCACGAAGTATGTCGCGGTCGAGCCCAACCTCGCCATGCACGACTACATCCGACGCACGGCAGCAAGCGCCGGCTTCAGCGAAGACGATGGCTCTCTCGTCGTCCTCGGCTGCGGCATTGAAGACGTAGCAGCCATATGCGCGGCGCTCCGATCCAATAAAGCTGCGGACACGGACGAGCGCTCTGCAGATACCAATGCACCTCACGCCAACCTAGCTGGCCCCTGCGCCGACACCATCATCTCCGTCCTTACCCTCTGCTCCATTCCCAATCCCCGCGCAACCATCCGCGCCCTTGTGCACGGTCTCCTCGCGCCCGGCGGCACATTCCTGTTTTATGAGCACGTCCTGAGCCACCGCGCGGATGTGGCGTGGTGGCAGCGGTTTTGGGCGCCCGTGTGGCGGGTGCCGTTCGATGGGTGCCGGTTGGACCAGCCGACGCACTTGTGGATAGCTGAGGCTGGGGATGTGGATGCGTCGCAGGCGGGGGACAGAGATGCGTCGGATGCGGATGACGATAGTAAGGGAGGAGCAGGAAACGATGGCAAGAGAAGATTATCATGCGAAGGTGAGGGCGGAAGCCTCTGGGCGATCCAGGAAACGTGGGGGAAGGAGGGCGAGACGGAGGATACGCTCTTTTGGCATCAGGCAGGGCGCTTCGTGAAGCGCAGCTAGCATGTGTAGGGATTTCTTAGCTCGAAATTCTGTTGGTCTGTACACGAAACTATCACTCATACTTCTTTTCGTTGCTTTCTTTGTCGATGGACCAGGTGGCACCGTGGCAGACTGTATATGTGAGAGACCTGGTAACCCAAGGAGCGCCGCGTCGTCCTCTGCGGCTTCTCAAAGTCCATTATAACGATTTGGATGGGCAGAAATGAGGACGGGATGCGAATTAGAGCTGAAAAGACTGAAAAGAAAGAGCCAACTTGGGTCGGGAAGTATGGCTCATCCCCATTGGGATATTACTTAAGCCGAGTACATTCAAACCCTCCGGGTCGTCTACGTTGTGCAAGGCGTTCATGGTGGCTTCAGCACCTTGCAAAACGATTTACTCGAGCAAAAACCAGCGACGTCTGGAAACCCACGCCACCACGGGCTGCTTCATGGCCGTTGTCACAACCACAGCTCAGCGTTTGGCGGCAACCAACGGAGCAACGCGCATGCCCAAGATTTACTGAGGAGTCGACAAAGGATGAATACTCGGAAGCCAGTACACATACTGCTCGAGATTCCCCTTGCGGTACCGTCTTTAAACGACCAGGACACAGGGGAGTGATGGGACGGCGGATCTGCGAGTTGCAGGTGCGTCCCCTCTCGAGTTTCTTCACGATAACATACACTCATACTATGCGATACGTAGTGCGCGGTACAATTATAATGAGGGCAAGGACCTATACCAAACGTCCAGCCACGACCGCCGTGTTCCCATCCTTCTACGCTAAAGGCCAGGCTCCCAGCAAGTCACTCCTACACCCCTCTGCAGGACGTACGATTCGCCCTCCTCAAGCATCAACGTGGAGCAGAGCGTCAGAGGGGTCTGGACGAACACATCCTCCAGCACGGCGGGCCCTTCCTCGCCCAGAGCGCCGCACCGGCTGTCAATGATCGCTCTAAGCGCTTCCTCCGCCTCCTCGCCCCACCGCAACGCTAGGTTCTCCAATCCGACGCTCTTCAGCCCGACGCTCTGCAGCCGCGGCAGCAAGTGCCGCCCCTCCCCCCACACAAGCTCCCTCAGCAGGCTCGCGCGCACGACGCGGCGGTTGCGCCGCCGGTGCTTGGAGGCCGCGAAGCCCTCGATGTCGATGCAGAGAAGGCCCGGCATCGCTTCCAGCAGCCTGTGGAAGCACCGTGCGCTGAGCTGCTCGCAACGCTCGGCGTAGAACTCCCGGAGCCCCCGCCCGTGCTCGCGCGTCACGACGAAGTCCTTCGCGGCAGTCACGACTTCGGGATCGCTCAGGGTCAAGCGCAGCTCTTGCAAATTCGGGGCGTTGAGGCAGGCGAGGAGGATGCCAGCGCTTTCGCCGAAGTCTATCTCGCGCAGTTGTGGCAGGCTCACTACTTCTAGGGGTAGTGGAACGACGTCGTAGTCCTTGAAGTGCATGGTCAAAGCGACCAGCTGCTGGCAGAGCGCCAGGACCGGCACTGCGCACGCAGCATCCACGACTTGCTCCTTGACATTCAGGACCGTGAGCTGGTGCCAGGGAGCCACGAAGTGCTCTATGCCGCCCAGATAGGTCAACCCGAGGACCTTCAGCTCGGGACCATCGATCACGTGCGGCAGGAGTTGTGGACGCCAGCCGACGCCGTGAAGCTCGAGCCATGTTGCTTTCCGGAGCCGCAAGTCGATGCCTTCGAAGCATCGCGCCTCCGTGAGGTCCATGTACACATGGTCCGCGCTCTCTTCGATCGGCTCCTTCAGCTCCAACCACTGCTTGAAGGTCTCATACTCCCGGCTAGAGCGCTGGACCTCGATGTACACGGGACGGTGACGGGCAAGCCTGGCGTGGGACGCAATGATGCCCCCGCGGCATTCGGGCTTGCGGAAGGCCCTCGTGAACACGGTCGTCGCCCACAACGCGCTCATGGCCATCGCCGTGTCGCGCCAACGGCTGCAGACACTGGCGATCGCGGCGCGCGCCCACATCAGCGCATCGCCGTCGCCGTCCTCCTCTTCGGCGCCGATGGCATGCTCGAAGATCTCGCCCAGCAGCTCCATCGGCAGCCTCAGCACTGGCGCCAGCAGTGCGTTGTACAGGCAGCTGCGCACAAATCTACCCCTCGCGCGCTTGCGGCAGTAGGCCCGTCTCTCGGGCGTATCCGCCGCTACGGCGGCGTTGTGCGCAATGAGGGCGTGGTGGCGATTGTGGTCGCGGTGCACCTGCACGCTCGCCGTACGCTTGGGATCCTTAGGATGCTCGCCCCGCCTGAGCTTCTCCAGGAGATCGCCGTTGGCCATCGACTGCCTAATCTGCATCGGCAGCGGCAGCGACTCATCCCTCTCCTGGCTCCACTCCTTCCAAGTGGGACGCTCGCCATCCCTCGACGGGCGGTATATCTCGCCCCCATACTCCGATTCCAGTACTTCTGTCGATACTGGTCAGTCCTGAGGCTTCTTCATGCATACGACGAATACTCACCCATTGTGCAGGTAGCTAATACTGCTGTACGTGTGCGCAATGCAACAAACGGTACACGAATGTGGACGTGAGGGAGAATGAGCAGGATCAAGAAATCCACGAGCGCGTCGACTGTCCCATCAAAGTTAGGTCTAAGCGCGCGTTGCCACGGTGATTACCCTCCATCTACCTTACGGGGATAGCTTCGGCCGAAGGGCGAAAATTCGACTTTCGCGCTTTCCTGCTTCGTATGACCTCTGGTCTCGCTATAGGACACGAAATGCATATGCGACCTATCCTCCCATGCGATGATCCCTGGACCAAAAGCGAGGAATGGCTCAAAATCGATCTCCCGATGCCTCGGGGTTGGGCTTGGCTTAGTCAGCACGACTAATCGCACCCATATCCCGTGGTACGGTGTCATTGACCCAGTTCCTCTATGGCAGAAGGAAAGGACCTCGCTGCGGTGGTATATTATAACTGACGGGCCTGCCTTCGCCCGAAAGGACCGGGGAAATTTATGTGAAGATCATAGTAGTTCGCGGGTCCCCACAACCGTGCCTCCGCGTATATAAAGACTGGTGAGTATTCCCTTCCATCGCATACCGGTGCAAGATCACTCAGAAATCTCTACCCTCAGCATGTCGAATGATAGCAAGCCTCGCGTCGTCGTTGCAGGCGGCACTGGCGTGACCGGCCTCAGCATCGTGGACGGGCTTCTGCGCTCTGGCAACTATGTATGTATTCGATCTTCCCGCTCTCCGCACCAAGACTCACCCCTTCCCCAGCGCGTCGCCGTCATCGTGCGCTCTCTGAACAAGCCTGTCGTGCAAGACCTGAAGAACCGCGGCGTCGAGATCCTCGTCTGCGCCGATTACAACAAGGCGACACACGCCGAGCTCGTGCAGCTGCTCGCCGGAACCGACGTACTGATTGCCACTGTCCACGCGTTTGTGCTGGATGCACAGCGTCCTCTATTTGCTGCCGCGAAGGAGGCCGGCGTCAAGCGCGTCGTCCCGGATGACTTCAGTGCGCACACTCCGCCCGGCGTCATGCTCATGGCCGACAAGGTAGGATCGTCCAGTCACTCTTGGATGCGGGTTTCTGACCAATGGCCATAGAAACACGCCATCCGTGACTACGTCCGCGAGCTTGGTATCGGCTACACGTTCATCGAGGTCGGCTTCTGGTATGAGGTTCGTGCTATCTGACAGGTCATCACCAGTTACTTGCCTCTTGCTGACTCGGATATTTGCCTCCAGTTCGTGCTCCCCTTCCCGCCCAGCTACGCCGGCCACCCCTACGCCGACCTCAGCCACGACTTCAAAGGGCCCGGCAACGTCCTCCTCGCGGTGACCGCGTCGCAATCCATCGGCGACTTCGTCGCGCGCATTATCAGCGACCCTCGCACGCTCAACCACACCGTCTTCGTCTGGGAGGACCAAGTCACCGAGTTCGATCTCTTCCGCATCGCCGAAGAGAAATGCGGCGACCCCGAGGGCCTGCGGCGCATCACCCGCAAGATCTCGGCAGAGGAGATCCAGGCGAACATCGACGCGGGCATCGCGGGCGGGAGGCGACGGCGGGCGTGCGCGCTCTGAACGAGTACAATCGGTCGCTGTATGTACGAGGGGACAATACGGTCGAGAATGCGGTAAAGGACGGGGCCCTGAACGCGAAGGAGCTGTACCCGGATATGTATCCGAGGAAGAGCATCGCCGAGTTTGCGGAGACGTGGTACCCGAACCCGCCGTACCCGTACCCGGAGGAGTCGATGGAGCAGTTCAAAACTCTCAAGCTCCCTGCGAAGAGCAAGGATTAGCATTGTATCAGATCCTAGAGTACATATCCTCTGTATAAGCAGATCGCATCGTTCGTACACCAGAAATCGGAACCCTCCTATACATCTTCAATATTGCTGCCATTCCAGCCTTGTTTACGGCGCGGCGTACAGCTCATGTTGGTCGGTCAATGTGTCATCGCGGAGAATCGCATTCCTTCTACAAGTACATGATATAAGTGTAACATTTAGTTTGAAGCTTGCGCCTCTGCTTACACGCGCTTGCTCTCCGGAGGACCAAGATAGCTCTCCAACAGCCCACCGGTATCCACCACAATCTTCTCAAGCAACACCGCCGGCCCATTGGCCCAATACTCCAGCGTATGCGCGCCCGACGAAGAGTTAAATGTCGCGTTCCGCGTCCACACCTGGTCCATCACCGCGTCCGTCCACCCGTCCGGGAGGTCGCCGGCACTCGCGGGCTCGGGGATGAGCCGCGTTGCATTCGGCGTCGAGCCGTCGAACGACAGTGCGTACTGGAACGGCGCCTCCGGGTCCGTGTCGAGCGCCATGGTGAAGTAGAGCGTGACCGTAAGGTTCTGCGTACCGCTGAATTGGTAGAAGGAGTATTGCAGGGAGGGTGCGTCGCCCGGAAGGCTGAGGTTCCGCCCGACAGATGGACCGAGCCCTATTGCGCCGCTGCCGTTGATGCTTCGGGAGAGGAAGGGGTACTCGATGCAGCTAGCCGCGTCCGACGACGAGGTGTAGTGCGCGGCCTCGATGGAAACGTAGCCGTCGGCCTCCACGAAGCCGCTGAAGTCGCCTGGCAAGGAGACCTTGCTGACGGGGAGATGCAGCTCCTCGTACGAGCCGTCGCTGCCGTTGACGTAGATGAGGGACGTATCGTTGTAGCCGTCGGGAACCGCATCAACGTCCACATGCACTAACACTCGCTCGTCCCAACCGTTCGCGGCCGACACGTCGCCCTCGAAAGCGGATAGTGATACCCATGGCTGCTCCGCCGAAGCTGTCCAGTGCACGTCCTGACCGCCTCGACCGTAGACCTCGAACCACCGCGTGGGCGAGCCGTACTGCGAGACGTTCGTGAAGGTGACGCCGTTGACGAGGTCCTTGCGGGACGGCTTCGCCAGATTGTCGCCTTCGTTGAAGACACCTGGGTATGGCTCGACACCGCCCTCGACTGCCACGCCAAGCTGTCCAACTGCAGGGTACGAGTCTTGTCGGAGCTGAACGTAGGAGAGGCCCGTAATCTGACGAAGGCCTCAGAACAAGTTCACACTTGAACAATGAACACGATCCACTCACCATATCCCGTATCGGTGCCCGCCACAGCCCTTGCCGATACCCATAGTGCGTCTGCCGCATCATCTGGTCCCACCGCCCGTCCAGCATCGCGTTCCACTCCAGCTGCAAGTCATAATCCTGGCCGAAGTAATCCAACGTCTTCCCCGCCCAATCATTCGCCGAGTTGCGCCGCTGTCCAGCGAACCACGCGTTCTTCCCCTGCGCAACGCGGACGTTGTTGTAGATCAGCGACGCCTTGATCGGGTGCAGAACAAGCTGGAAGAACGACGGCTGGTACGCCTCATCCAGCTGCTCGTTCAATGCCTCGGCACGCTTGCGCAGCGCCTCCCACGCCCCGAGCACCCGATCCGCCTCGTCGTAGTGGATGACAGAGAACGTATCGCTCTCGATGTGCTCGTGCTTCCTCAGCCCCATCAGCCGCGAGTACGCTAGGAGGATATCCGCGGCCTCATCGGCGTGCTCCTCCGGGAGCTCGCGCGCAGCATACGCGGTGAGCCACTGGGTAATGCTGTCGGGCGTGATGGACGAGACGTTGTAGGCGAGCGCCATGATAAGGCTGAGCGGTGTCTCCATGGGCTTGATGTCCGCGACGTTGATGACCCAGATGCGGTTGGCGCCGCGCGCGTGGGCGTTGGTGAGCTGCTGGTGCGCCTTCCCAAGCGAGTTGGTGTTGAGCCACTTGTAGGAGCGCGGATCGCCGACGTATTCGCAGTGGTAGTAAATCTGGAGAGCGTCGGTCGTCACAACGCAAAGGCAGGTCGACTGCACATACCCCTGTACCGCCCGACCTCTGCAATTCGTCTTCCCTTGGTAGCCTTCGGATATTGCCAAAGTTGTCGTCGCTGAATAGGAGCGTGACATCGTCGGGGATTTCGAGCCCCGCCTCATAGAGTTCCTGCACTTCTTTGTATAGTGCCCACACTTGCTGGTCGAGGGTCAGCGCCGTCGATGCACCGTAGGCCCCGTCCTCACCTTGACCGCCGTCTCATTCCCATACGTATCCTTAATGATACTCCGCTGCGTATCAATCACCTCCTTCAAGATCGCCATCGGGTCGTCCCCCGACAACGGCGCATCCTGATCGCCGCGCATCCCCAGCGTCAAATAGCTCTCATACCCTTTCGCCCGCGCCGCGCCCGCCTCGAAGAACGTCGTCACGTTCTCCTGGTTCTTCTCCCAGTCCCAGGTCCCATTCCCCGACGTGAGCCACTCGTTCGTCGCGCGCTGCATCGGCTCGTGGTGCGACGTCGACACGACGATGCCGTACGCGTCCGCGGTCTGCTGATTCAGCGGGTCGTCCACGAAGAAGCTGTTCCCGGGCGAGGGGTACGAGGGCCACATGGCGGGCCACAGGAAGTTGGCCTTCATGCGCAGGAGCAGCTCGAAGACGTGCGCGTAGAACGCGGCGTTGTACTTGGGCCCGAAGTTGTCGATGACCCAGGTGTTGAGCGCGGGGGATTCGTCCTGGGTGGGGGTTAAGGAGACGGTGCGAGGTGAAGATAGAGGTGCGCACATTGATGAAGAGGCCCCTGTAACGGACGCTGGGTTCGCCAAAGGCGGTCGTCGTGGGTAAAGCGTAGATCGCATCGTGTTTCTTGGGGACGATGTCCGCCCACCAGTACCACCTAACGCCCTGATCAGCATATACGCGTCACAATCATACACCCTACCACATACGGAGACACTCCAATCTGCTCGCTCAACGTATACAGCCCAAATATTGCGCCCCGCTTGTCGCTGCCGGCTATGACCAGCGCGCGGTCGGTCCCCTCAAACGGCGCGTCTACAACCGAGACCACGAACGACTCCCACTTGCCCTCAATCTCCGACACATTCAGCTTCTCCGCGCTGATCAGGCTCTGGATGACCGCCGAACTATCGAGCGAGCCGACGAGGATTAGCGCGGTGCCGTTGCCCGGAGTGGGGATGTCGTCCGCGGTGGCATTCGCGGTCTGCCCCCGCGTGCCCGTGACGCGCTCGAAGTCGTCCGCGACTGCGTTCGCGGCGATGTGCACGCCGATGTGGTCGTCGGCGTCGACCACGATCAGCGGGCGCGTAATATCGAGGCTCCCATCGCCCGCGTCGAAGGATACAATCGGAGGCTCGAAGAAGGCATGCACACCGAGAGGGCACGCCGCAAAGAAGAGTAGCGCATGTCCTAGAGCACGCATGAGTATGAGAGGGAGGGAGTGCGCGAATGCACGTACCCTCAACATCGACGTCGGTATTCAAGTATCCCCTCGCGCGTTCTCATGCTCGTCGCAGCGGCCCGGGATCGTCGCAGGTGACCGCGAGATGGAAGATTCGTGACCGCAAGGAATGGGATTCGTGACGCGAAGCGCCTCGGGGGGAGCGTCATATGGCCATTCGGACCTCTCCACCGAGCTTCCACGACCGCAGAGTGCGTGCGGGGGCGTGTTCTCTGAGGTGGGGAGGATAATCTGTCGGCCAGGATAGTGCCAGAAGGAGAATGACGACAACGCCGACTGCCTGAGACCATCGCCTGTTCAGTTCAGAATTGTACCCAGATGATGATTGAGGGTGTTCAAGTCGGGTCGCCCGAGCCGATGGAAGTCGAAGTGCGCATCGAGATTGACGTTGAGGGTCAGATCCCGACGCGGCGTCGCCACACTGTTATGTAATTCATTCCGTGCAAATAACTTACCCCAATCAACGCAGCGCGGCATACAGGACGGAGATCGGGGAAAGAAGTCGCACGTCCTAGACTGAAGACGATGCGCCTGCCGCTGGAGTTGAATGGGCGGTCGGATCGACGTCCCGTGGGCCCAGTCTTCTTGCCTTGCCCCGCTCGTCTATGCACTTAGCCCGCTGCGTAGCCTCACTCGTAGGGTCATCACGCAAGGTTTCGCAGTCGAAAGGCGACGCGGGTGTGGGTCACGTGCGCGGCGGGTGCCAGCTCGCACCTCGCCGCGCATGAGCGCCTCAAGCACCGGCGCGCTCCGAGCTGGGAGAGATGCGGACGAGGCGACAACCCCCGAAGACTAGGAGGCGCAGCCGACGCGGAAAGCCGAAGGTCGGAGATCTTGCTGCTCGGATCGAAAAGGCCAGCGGATCGAGGGACAGTCCCCGAAGAAGTAGGAGCTGCTGCGACGCGCAGACCGAGATCCGCTGGTGTTGCTTGTCGAGTGGACTGGGCCACGTGCATTGCTTCGGCGCTGGTGACTCGACGACAGGCCCGAGGCGCCGAGAAATCGTGCTGCCGACGCGAACCACGCCAGGCTTGGGCACGGAGCGGCCCCCGATGCTCTTGAGGAGCACGCTTGTGCGGGAGGTGCTTCAAAAGTCCTCTTCCTGGTGCCGACACGATTGTTGCTGCTGAACAAGATGTCGAGGAAAGTGTTGTTATTCTGCGATGGAGGTCAGTAGGGAAGGGATAGCCCGTGGCGCGCCATTATCTGGCACTTCCTCCCGCACTCGTTGTGCGCCGAGGTTAGTTAAAAGTCAAAACACACGCAGCTGCGACGAATATGCAGTTTGTCGTCTAGAGCAGCGGCTAGCTGCCATGTGGGTCCGAATCGAATGACGCACGACGAAGAAACACGATGAAATACAAAATGCCAGAGCATTCTTCCATGTTGCTCGTGCAAACATGGGAAACGACGACGCAACGCAACGCAACGCGAGAGATAACGCAGTGCCGAAGCACTCTTCCATGCGGCCGTTGCTCGTGCCAACATGGGAAACGACGACGCAACGCAACGCAATGCGAGAGATAACACAGTGCCGAAGCACTCTTCCATGCGGCCGGAGCGGACATGGGCAACGCAGGGTGACGCGAAAGTAAAAGTGGTCATGAACGGACGACACGGACGCATGGGAGGGGATGGACGCGCGCTTGCTCTTCTAGAGGACACAGCGTGCGCCGAGTGGTAGGGACGCCGCTCCTTTGAGGTCGTACGGGTCGTACAGTGACGCGCATGACGGGGGCAAGAGGCGCTCTTGCGCTCTGACTGTGGAGGGCTTCGCACCATCGATGCGCATCAGCTCTGGTTAGGTATGCGAAGCGGCCACACACCGCGCGTCCGTTGCTCCGCTAGGACGCTCATTCGGGGCCGACGCGATCCGTAAGTCTCCCGATCCTCTAGGAGGCCGTCTTGAACCGTGGTGACGGTGCATACCGCGGATTGTTCCCGAGTAACGAAAAGAAAAGACGACATCGTCGCTGGCGTAAACGCGACGCGACGCGACGCTGCCAGCGACGATGGTGGGCAGAGGCAAGAGGCGGCGGCTCGGCCCGGGCACTCCTGCACGTGCATAGACCTATTCTGCGGCACCGCTCGTTCCTCGTTATGCCGCAGATTGTCAAGATTACGGACTCCTGAGGGTATGGTATATGCGATGATGCGACCTCAGGTGAGCGTAGATGTCTGCCTGGTTGCTGTCCGGTTCTCATCAGATTCTTTTCATGGTCTTGTGCTCGCATAATTCCAATTGGCTTGAACATGGAGGTGCAAGCCAAGTGACGAGCAACGAGCCGAATCTCGAAAGGAACGCGACACGCGTGGCGCACGCGCTATTGACAAACATTGACACTTGTTTACTTCCAAGGATCAGCCACCCGCGCGTCCGCATTCCGTATTACGGAAGTTCGTCCGCTACGCTTCCCCAGTTCCACCTAGCGTGCCTACCGCGAGTCAGGGATTGCAGTCAGACGTCCAAAGCCTAACAGGTTCAAAGAAACAAATCATTCAGGCGAATATGTACGGTTACAGGGAACATTCGGACGCAGAATAGTATTGAGACAAATATTCGAGCGCACGTATATCGAAAGCCAAAGCGGCCGTCGCACCAGAGCAGGGTGTGAGGTCCGCAAACTTCAGCCATATGAAGCCCGCAAAGGAGCCATATGAAGCCCGCAAAGGGGAGAAAGCAGTAGTCGCGTACAGACAAAGAATAAATCAGACAGACATGGAGAAGCACAATCGGAGCACTGACAGAGACTCAAAGGAGACGGTCAAAACACGACAGCGAGCAAAGTCCTTCACGGCCGCTGAAAGAGGTAGTGGCCGTGGATGAACTGTCGATGAGCGACATTAGGACGCCTGTTGATAGAGGTAAGAATGACGTCGATGGACAGAGCTTAGTCTCACCTCAGCAGCAGGGGCATCCGTAGTTTGAGCCGCATCGGCCTGAACCTCATCCTCATTCTCCTCGAGAATTGTCTCGTCAATCTTCGGGGCCTCCTGGCCTTCGATGGCTCCAACCTATGTGAGCATTAGCACGTTGCGCAGAACGGAGGGCTATGACGCAAATGGAAAGGGGGGGGGGGGGAAATCGACGTGCTTGAAGGTGTTGCAACGCATTCGATAGGTATGGGTGGCAGCGGGTGGCATGGAAAAGAGGAAGTGATAGGAGAATGTACGCACCTTGCTCTCGGGCTTCTTGGAGCCAGCGCGCGAGGCAGGCTTCTTCGATCCGGCACGCGACGGGGGCTTTGCAGACGCAGCGCGCGAGGCGGGCTTCGCAGATGCCTTGGACGCAGGCTTCTCCGCCGCCTTGGACGCGGGCTTCGCAGACGCGCGCGACGCAGGCTTGGCCGACGCCTTGCTCGCCGGCTTGGTAGCCTTACTCGCCGGCTTCGCGGCCTTGCTCGCAGGTTTCTCAGCAGCCTTGCTGGCCGGCTTCGCCTTGCTCGCGGGCTTGCTCTGCAGGAGGAGGAAGGGGGCACACAGAGAGGGGCAGGGGGGAACGCACAAACCAGTCAGCGGGGGGCGATCGAACGGGGGGCATCGCGCACGCACCTTCTTCGCGGCAGGCTCGTCGGCGGCGTCGCCGTTGGTCTCAGGCTCCTTGCGCTTGCGCCCGCGGCCCGACTTGGGCTTCTCCGCGTCGTCCCCCTCGGCGCCGTCCGCCTTCTTCGCGCGCGGCTTAGCGGCCTTCTTCGCGGGAGCGGGGGCGGGGGCAGGGGGCTTGGGCTGCTCCTTGATGCGCGACGAGCGGCGGGGTTCGGGGGCTTCGCCCTCGGTCGTCGCGGCTGCTTTGCGGGGCGGCATTTTGGGGGGATAAGAGTTTAGGGGTGAGGGGGAGGGGCGGGGCGTCTCAGAGGGAGGAGATGAAGGTTCTGGCTAAGAACGCGTTGGTGCCAAACAGACATCAACAACTTGTTTGGATCGCGTCCACGTGACTGCATTCGGTGACGTCAATCAACGGCCGGTGATTGGCCGGCACCGGATCCCATCCCGGCCGAGCATCGCGGGAGAAGTTCAACTTTCTTTTGAGCGTTGACCGTGAAAGTCAACAAAGAGTTCTGTGTCATCCAAGGGATATTCAGCGGAAGGAAGTAAGAAGCTTCCTTGAGGGATTCCGTCGAGCAAGAGCAGCCTTATCCGCCCTACGTAGTCCATGGGTGGACCTGGAATGGATCAACAGTGGACCAACATCCTTCACTGTTGTGCTAGTGCTCGGTATAGCTATGAAGCCTGAAGCATTGCGTGCAGTAAGATCTGTGACCTGTGTATAGCATTTTAGAGGCTCCGTCGACCGGTAGATACCCAACAAGCCCACCAAAATTGTGTGAGTTACTGTGGTATTGGAGTGGTAACGCAGTGTGGAAAATACAGCGCTATACTTCTAGATAGACGTGCATACACACCTCTTCTACACAAGAGCCCTTCAACACCTGGGACATTCCTGGGATGGTTCTGGGGGCGTCTTGTTAGTCCATGTGTAATCAACTCATCGGCGGCGACGCGGCATTTGCCGACCTTTGCTTCCCTATTTTCTCGACGATACGAATCTCTTTTCTTGGCGCACGACTGATCTTCCAGGCTGTAGAGTATCATACCCTTGGGAAGAACATTATAAGTGACGTCTAGTCTCGGAGAGTCGGCCCAATTCGACAACCAGACCTCTTTTCGTCTGCCGCTCGTCTGCAGCCCCACCCGCCGACAGTATCTCAGTGTCTGTTGCATCCCTCCTCCACCGCCGCATCTTGAAGGCACATATCGAACTGTCTTCATCACGTCAATGGTGATCACGAAGGCGCGAACAGTCTCACCGGTAGGGTCGCCGTGGCATCCCGCCGACTTTTGTCCACCTGATAAGGCTTCCCATTATCTCCGCTGTAACTGACTCCCTCCCCCTCTTTTTCTGTCTTTCTTCCCATCATCATTGTTCATTCCAGAACACAGAATCCACCCAAATGGCCGACGTACATCTCCCCGCAGAGCTCGCACAGACCGGAGCGCGTATCAAGGTTCAGACCAGATACGGCCAAGTGACTGGCGGGCGAGCTTTGAACGGCGCTGCCGCTTTCCTCGGTGAGTTCGTATGGCCTGTCCAGGACAGGAGGCATCCCGCTAACATGTCTACGCAGAGATCCCGTACGGTCTTCCTCCTAACCGGTGGGAGGACCCGCAGCCGTTGTCTTCGTCCTTTAGGTACGAAGACAAGGAGTATGTATATGAGAAAACATGTATGAGATTTGCACGTCCCTTTGAAAGGATGCTAAAGCACCTGTAGACGCCACTCAGCCGAAGAACGACGGACAAGCTGCGGGTATGCTCGACATCTTTCTGATTTTCTGATTGTCTGACAGAGGCGCAGCGATCCCCTACAAGGATAAAGTCGGACTCGGCGAACCGTCAGAAAATGCGTAAGACACAATGCCTCAATCTTTTAACTTCGCGTCGTCTAATCACAGTGGCAGCCTGTTTCTCAACATTGTATCCCCGCCTGCCTTTCCTGAGAAGAAAGGCTTCCCCGTTCGCGTATATATACACGGAGGGTATGTTGCGTCACCTTCTACCACTAATACTCGTACTCAAGCTTCACAGATTCCTCCAGTTCGGCTCCCCCCACAGCCTGATGTCCCAGCCCCAGTACGTTGCGGCGGAACGCGCAGAGGTCTGGGTCAACATCGGGTATCGTCTGTCTGCCTTCGGCTTCCTCGCCTCCGACGAGCCCGATTTACACGGGAATTACGGGTTTATGGACCAGTACATTGCGCTCGAGTGGATTAGGGATAATATTGAGGCGTTTGGAGGTAAGCTTGCACCGTCATCCCGGTATCGTAGCTGATGGTCATTTTCCCTCGCAGGCGACCCGAGCGATATCCGTATTACTGGCCTCTCGGCAGGCGCGCACTCAGTACACCAGATTTTGCACCACGTCTCGCACCTGCCGGACGGCGTTATGGCGCCCTTCCAGTCCGCCGTGCTGCAGTCGAATGCGATTATGTGAGTTTTTCTGTCCAGCTAACGGTTCATCTTCGAATCAGGTCCACTAAACCTACGCCTCGCAGGACGGTCCCCAAGACGCCCGCCGACCTCCGCACGCAGTATGCCGCCCTCTGCACTGCGCTGGACCTCGACCCCGCCTCGCCGGACACGCTCGCCACCCTCCGCGACCCCGCTCGTGTCCCTGCGAGCAGCATCACCCACGCCATCGAGACCGACGCCGTAGGCACCGAGTACGGCACCTACCGCGGCGCGCTCTCCGCCCCGTGGCTCCCTACACAAGCTGGCAAGGACCCGATGACCTGGCAGCGCACCGGCGCCCTCGCCCACGCCCTGCGCGCCAAAGGCGTCAAGTCCATCCTCCTCGGCGACGTCCCCGACGAGTGGTACCTCTACAGCATCGCGCACCCCATCCACCGCGCCGCAGACATACCCGTCAACCTCCGGCGGTACTATCCGGGGGACTTGGTCGACAAGATGCTCGGGTTGTGGGATACGCTGCCGGAGGACGCAGCCAAGGAGGTCGCGGCGCGCAGGTTCGGGGAGGTGCTGAGCGCGGGGCAGGTGCATGTGCCGGTAAGGATGCTGCATCGGGATCTAGTGAACGCGGGGTTCCCGGTGGTGCGCTATGCGGTGAGGTGGGCGCCGGAGGGAGTAAAGCCTTTTGGTGAGTAAATGTTTTTAGTCTTCCAATTCTTTTCGATGCGTGAGAATGCTGAACATGTCAAACTACAGGCCTCGTCACGCACGGCAGTGACCGGTGCCTCTGGGCATTCCGCGAGCCAAGACTGGAAGACGAGGACAAGGCAGTCGCCCGTCGTTGGCTTGATAGTGTGGACCACGCCCTGCAGGAGATCGAGGCCGCTGGAAAGCCATTGCGAGGCGTGAAAGAGGTGCTCACACTGAAGGAGGACCGCTCAATTGACTGGGCCGACGACCAGCGGTGGGAAGATGATATGAAGATGGCGGCTTTGCTTCCTGGAGAGGAGGCGCTAGCGGCTTCAAGGTCCTCATGCGTGGTAAATTGACAGCAGGCTGATCGCGGATATATATGCAAGGGTGGCACAGAATAGAGTCGAAATAAATGTAGATATGAGCGGAAAATTATATTCAAAGCTTCACCGTGTAAGCTTTCTCTTTTCCTCTCTCAATTTCCTTGCCAATGAAGTAGGGCAGTGAATACTGCGGGAACGCGACATGATACATACTCAGTCTTATCGGCATCGGGGTCGCTTCTTACACTCAGTCAGCGTCCTTTCCAGAGCTTAGAAAACATCACAGACTCAGTGAGTCGTCCTTGGAGAGGATGAATCAGCCTCGGCAACCAGGACGGAGGATGGTTGAACTAGGTCTAGAGAGGGCCAGCGCTTCGCGTGGCGTGCGGTGGGGTAGTCTAGTTGGGGGGAGTTCTTTTCGGTATGTGGTCCTCACCGGCAAGACCGATGATGATATCATCACCGTTGATGCTCACGGGAAGGGCGTTTGAAGTACGGTATGTATTGCAGCAAGTTGAAATCGTCGCTAACTGTCTAATCGTCATCCATCCTCTGATCCAGCTCCTCCTGCATGACCGTCATCCCGCCGGCCTTGTCGTTGACGTAGTCGACGACCCTGTTTAGAAACGGACGCAAACCAGACAGTGCTGTCGCCGCCTGAGAACCGGTCAGCGGAACGACTGCAGTTGCGGGGGTATCGCAGTCTATGACTGGGCAGGCGTGGTCCCAGACGTGGTTATCGCAGGATGCGGATGGCAGGTTCAGGTGGCAGTTTGCGCACACCTTCTCGCCGCATCCGCGGGTGCAGAGCGTGTGACCGCAGTCCATGAACCGGACAGTTGCGGCGTTCTCGCATTGCGCGCACTTCAGTACGTGCTCACGGTCCTCCTTCTGCTCAGGTCATCAGCAGAGATAATGATCGCCGCATGGACCGTACCCAGTTGACAGCGATGCTGTCTAGAAGAGCGTAGACCTGCAGAATATGCGATTCCCGGTCGTCGACCTTCTTCTCCATTTCGCGAAGGTCGCCCATCAAGCGATATTCCCTCTCGTTGGCGACATCTTCGTCCTTCCTCGCCCTCGCAAGCGTCTCCTTCAGGTCTTTCAGCTCGGACTGCGCCTGTGCGAGGGCCGCGTTGGCTGCGTTTTTGTCCTCGAGTGCCTTCACGACTATGTCGTATGCCTGCGGGGCGTAAGCCGTGGTCCTCGGACGTCATCAAAGTACGCTCGCTTACTGAGGTAACGTTGGACGACGCAGGCGTTGTGGCCATATCGACGTTGTAGGTGTTGCGATGGACAGCGGGGTGTCGTAGTGCTATGCGAAGACGTGTGTAGGCACTGGACATTTATATTGAAGGACCTCCGTGCATGTACCATTGCGCCCTTTGTGCGTGGGAGTAGCACCGAAGATTCCGGACGTCAATGGACTTCTGTTGTCCAAGAATATGAAGCCTTCCACGATAAACTCTGATAGACTCGCACTGTGCTTCACACGAATTCGTGGTGCGTCCGCCTAGATTGCCCGGGGGAGAGAATGCGGAAATGCGAGCGGCGGCGGCTTACCGTGGATAGGTGTTTGCTGACGAGCCGCAGGTTCGCGCGAGCGGGAACAGCGTGCTGAGCGTAGACAGAGTGTGTTCACCGCCTGACCAATCGACTGACTTCGGAGGCGGGGTCATAAGGGGGGACTTGGCTTTAATGAGGTATGTATCGGAGTCCTTTGCATTGGCACTGTCGTAGGAAATTGTATTGCGGGACATGCGAGAAGCACCGTGGCAGGTATGATCGATCCATATGTGGTAACACTTGATCATCGATCGGTGCGTGCGTTATGCCATATAAGGATAACGCGTGTTGTGATCGGCGACGTGGGGGACGGTGCAGTTTGAGCTCGACAAGCTGGCTACATGTAATGGCAAGCAGGTCGGTGTGTCTTTTAGGGTCATCATGCTGGCAGCGAGCGAGTCAGGGGAGTGGTCTTTGAAGCGGATGTGTGGACGCGTTGGACCCCACGTCATGTATTTGCATGTATTGGGCTGTGACGTGGGACGCGTGTGAAGTGCTGACGCGTCCTTCTTGTCCTTCTCTGCGACTGTTGTTCGTGTGTCCTCCATACGCGATCGTTGAGCTCGCATGACCTTTGCTGCTATCCTCACACACGTCGTCGCCGAAGGCAGATTGGCGCACGCGTAGGCCACGGGAGGGGAGGGATGCTGTCGTGCTATAGCATGCGCACTGGGATGTCCTGAGCTAAGGTGCGGTGAACTGCTCCGAATGATGCATATGTACTCATAGCGCTCTTCGTTGTTCCGCGATCGCGGAGGCGCTCTTCGTTCGCACGTCTTGTATCGATGTGTGGGCGAGGGGCGTTCTCCACACCTCATCGCGTGGACCTCTAGCTCATCCGTTTCGAGGCGCTTCTCGTTCGCACGTCTTGTATCGATGTGTGGGCGAGGGGCGTTCTCCACACATCTTCGCGTCTCGTGCATACCACAGCGGGACCTCTAGCTCATCCCTTTCGAGGTGCTTGTCGTTCGCATGTCTTGTATCGATGTGTGGGCGAGGGGCGTTCTCTACACCTCATCGCTAGTGTTCGCTGCGTACGCAACGGGGACCATCACACGTTAGTTTACACTTGCAGTTATTGTCGACCATGTCGCGAGGTTCGAGCGCGCTGCGGAGAGCGATGGCGGACAGTTTTACAACGTTTTGTACATTATTTTTAATGAAATGAAAGTCATTCCTTCTCGTAACAATCGCGCGCGCAGGCGGACATTGAGCGTGGGACAGCAGAGATGCATCATTTTCTGGTCAGGGACAGCCGTCTTTACCGTCCTCCACGTTGAAGGACTCGCGGGTAAGGTTGAGGGAACATGTCGGTTATTGTGTATCAGCTAACAAGGATGTCTACACAGCGATCACAATGAATTTCACGAGGAAGCAAACATATGAGTGCTACCTTTGGGAAGGCCAGGTCGTATCCAAGCCGCGCAACCTACCAGCACTGTCCCCCACGCATGCGCGAGTGCCGGACGAGGGAACGCTTCCGATCGAACTCACGATCACGCAGAGGCCGTCGCAGGTATACCCCTACATACCAATGTGTCTACGAGACATGGACGACGTGAAGGACCCCATCCTTGGCACGCTATCGCTTCTGCCGACTGCCATTGTTGGCGTTAACGGTAGCATGCAGCTCGCGAACGACATTATCGTGCAGTGGATTGACTTGGAGTTCCGGCTGATAGCCATTCGCGATGCTCTCCTCAAGCACAGCGCGGATGGGACTAGGCCTCTGCAGTACAGGTCCTGCCGTCTTCCGACATCGTGCGGGTACCGCTGCAAGTTCCGCACGCGCAACGCTGTGTGGAAGGTTGCTGCGCATACCAGGGACGCTTTCGCCATTCTCATCGGCGAGTGTTATTACTTGGCTATCATGAATCCGTGCGTGTTGGACAACAGCGGCTACATTCACGAGGGCACTTTTCGCGAAATGCTCATAAACAGCGATATCGATATTCATCCCGCCTGGGTCTCCCACTTCGTCAGCGTCGTTCTTCGCAAACCTGTCGCAGGTGTATTAGCTTCGATGTTGGACTTCGAGCACTGCTTCTGGCTCGCGAGGCTTATCCACGTCGCTCCTGTTTACATCTGGTGGGGCACCCTGGAGACGACTATGAAGGTGGTTGACGGTGATCGCCGTCTACCTGCTGTCCTACGGAAGTTCGTGCCGTCTGCAGAAGACGTCAAGCGCCTATCTGATGGGTCTGCACACGAGGTGCAAAAGGACGCCGGCCCACCCACTTCGCAGGGTCACTTCGAGACATACGACGCTTTCATCCGTCGTAGAAGGGAATGGTACGAGCGTACTGCTCGCTTCGTTCTTCCCAGTCGCGGACATGTCGGCATCATCCAGGCGTTCGAATGGATCCAGGATAGCACTGGCGCAATGAGGAGGGAGCCCGTGCCTGCGCATCTCTTCCACGCTGCGATGAATTGGTACGAAGACACGGAGAAGATGTTCGACCATACGCGGTCGGAATGGGATCTCTGCTGGCACCAGTACCAGACAAAGGTGGAGATGTTTTCTACGACGATAGGCGTGGTTCATCACGAGAGCGAGGGGGGGGGAGAGGACCTGCGGTTGCCTGATAGGATGCTTCCGGACATGGAGTCACTTGGTTTGACGGAGGAGCACCAGCGCAGCCGTTTGTGCTGGACGGCGAACGCGTTAGTGCGTATCTCAGTCGATATCGAGGTCGCCCTTGCGATGCGGTACGGGTATAGGACATTCATGGACGTCAACGGTCCGCAAGTGACGCAGCCGAAAGAGAAGACGATACCGTGGCTTGTTGGAGAAGGCATGCGAGCGTCGGTACCTCTCAATCCGACGGTTAATATGCCAGACGACATCAACCACCTCCGTTTATTCGCGCAGACACTGTCGCGTGCCGCGAAGGGGGAAGAGCCACCTGAGTATGCTTCACTCGTTGTGGATTTGTTCTGTGATCAATCGTGGCGAGCGTGGGCGGACGATGCATCCGCTCCGTTTTCCGTCTGCACTGTTCACGATCAAGGGAACTTCCAGGCATATGCATTCTCGTTCGCGCAGGAGCTGTCGCCGCCATACACTGTGGCGACGTATGATCCTGCTGTTGCTCTAATGCTTCAACGCATGGCTGCAGACATTCATTCGCAGGAGCAGCTGGCGGCGAGGGCTCTTGATCTCGGTTGCTCAATTCTTCTTCTGCGTCGTATCTCCGAGGACAAGGAGAGCGGAAGTGATGAGGAGGAAGATGGTGTCGAGGACGCGGATGCGGAGGACACGTCGGAGGATGATGAAGATTACGATGGTGATCCATGGACGACAAAAGATACTTTGCTCAGCACGCATGTGTCAAACGAAACGGAGAACTCGTCGACGTCGCATAGCGCTCGTGGTCTTGACACTCCACCTCATCTCGACGCATCGTCCCGGCGACCACAAGAGCCAGTCACAAGGCCAACGAAGCCAAGTGGTCACAAAGCCAGGAATGTGAAGAAAGGTGCCATTCGTCCTCTCAGAGTGGGACCCGCACCTGGCTTGGGGTGGCGAGAATATGGCTATAGGTTTGACCACGTTGACGTTGGGGATTATCTGAGGTGCCGGCGTGAGTATTTCACCGTCGAGCGCGCGTCCGCCATGTGGAGACGCGGAGGAATATTAGGCAGACTCGCGCAGGACCTGTATTCGAGGAGGGACATGTTGTCAGCGGTCGGCCAGTCGGTGTCGTCGAAGCGTCCTTTGTCCATCTTCGTCTTCCAGGATGGGAGCAAGATGGGGGACGAGATGTTGACGGAGAAGGCGGAAAATGTGATGATAGGAGCATTCTTTGCGGCGAACAGTATGTGGCATATCTCGGAGTGTATTTAAATCACTGATGTACGGGTAGGCCCTGTCGACCGCTTCAACACGCGAAAGGTGTCGTTCTGGCCCACGGAAGCGGTGTTCGGAAGGAAAGGACCGAAATGTGGTGTTTGGACACGCGATGCAGAGGAGTGGTATACGCAACGCAGGGAGATGCTGCACGGCGCAGGCGAGCAGGGGTTCAACGCGAGTGAATGGCCCGACAAGCTTCACTTCGCGTCAAGCGCGAACAAACTGCACCAGGGCGCCTGCGCTTTGGCCGCGGACTTCATCATGAACCATCCGGACATATATCGCCCGCTGTGAACTTCAAGTTTAGGCAACAATAGTGTATATTGCTACGGAAGCGCCGTCCATGTGCGTTCAATCACTTATGTCGCTGGCATAGGACTCGTATCGTATCTTGCCGTCGTTTTTCATGCCGTCGTACTTATACTCTTGCATGCTTTATTCGATGACGCGCATTGTAAAATGAGACGTCCCGAAGTATATGACACATTTGAGCAGCTCATCGATGTGTGTTCGCCTCGAATTGTATCGACAGCGACGTGCTGTCGAGGACCTGGAAGGCAATGAAAGGAGGTGCGTTCCGTACGAACTCTAGGCACTCGAGGTATATATTGCCACAGCAGCGTCCCTGCCGTCCATGTGCATCCAGTCCTTTACGTCGCTGACATAACTCTCGTACTTGATCTTGCCCGTTTGCACCATACCGTCGTACTTATAGACACGTACACCTTGTTCGATGAGACGCATTGTAAAGTGGGATAATCCAAAGTATATGATACCTTTGAGCTCGTATTGCGCCGCGCTTCTTTGTGTCGTCGCCTGGAAATGCATTGAGATTGAAGAACCTCCGTGAATCTGGAAAGCAAGGAAGGGGCTGACTGTTCGTACTGTCGTGCTTTGTGTTTTCATGTTGCCGCACGCTTTGCATGGAGCGTGCATCGTCGCCACCGCGCGTTTGAACCAGCTCGTTAGAGAGTCGCAGCCCTGCGAAGCTGTGCTGACGAGGAGTTCTTTGTATTTCACAACAGTCTTGCTTTTGCTGCAGGTGCAGTGTATGTAACTCGTCAAAGCGATGTCTTCGGAGCGGGTTATGCATTCGAGAATGCTGAGAACGCTCGCGTAAGCTCCGTGCACAAATTCACGCGGGTTACTGAGTGTGAGATTCGTGCGCAACTTGTCTCTTATGACGTTCACCGACGGTCGCTCGTTCACTATTATCGATACCAGCACACGCAGGATGTCGTTGTTCCACGCGAGTGCGCGCGAAGCGAAGCTTGAGTGTTCTTGGTTCAGCCACACGCAAAATGTCGCGATGCAGTCGTAAGCGCAGCTATTCTCGTGCCAGCTTGCTCCGTATCTTTCATCGTCCTGAGGCACAGGCGCCTCTATCCTAGGCCTTTTCACTGAGCCAAGTCCGTTGCCTGTATTTGCCTGTAGTGCTAGGTTTACTTCCTCTGCTGTAATTGCCGCTGCTTTCCGCACTTTTTTGAATGGCAGAAATTCCGATTGTGTCTCTTTAACAGGCAGTGATTTTCCTTCTTTTGCGTCCACTACCATCCAATCAATGGGAGGGCAATGAGAGTCCAGCCATGACGTGACGTCTACGCATTCGCCCTTGCTGTTGAATATGGCGGGCGCTGTTGTCCATTTCAGAGCATCTGGTAATCGCGAGGGCATATATGTTTCGCCCATGAATGATCTATATTGCGCGATGAGATCCAATCGTCGATGTGCATTGATATCGGCTGGCAGCCGTCCTTCATAGGTCCGCATGGTGATGTCGTCGAGTAATTCAAGTTCTCTATATTCTTGCCTTAAGGCGCCACTGCACTTCTTTTTCAGTTTACGGAGGTCTCCTTTTCTGACAATGAGAGTACCGTCGGACGTTCTACCGCGCGAGAGAGCGACGTAAATGCCGTGATGGTCCTTGCAGTACTCCAGGTCTACAACGTTTGTGTGCCTTGACTTTCCTTGGGAGGCGTAGTCGGTCATCGCAAAGTTTGGTAGAACTTCAACTTGACTGCGAATTATTGTGTAGTTAGAATGACCATTGACTTGATAGGGCAGGTCACATTTTATGGTAGCTGACGTCTTAACAATCGGCACAACATTTTCTGGAAGTCCTGGAAGGTTCACATTCGTCGGAGGATCTATGAGCTTCACGAACAAAGTGTTCAACACGGGTTGGCCTAATGTCCCTGTTGTCTCCGTCCATCCGTATACAGTCCCTTCTTGGCCTTTGGTCATGCAAAGCTCAGTTGCTGAATTGGCTCTGATCATAATGGGCATGCCGACGCATAAAGAGAGACGTCCAGGCATCTTCCTATCGTTCATGGACGGTGCTTGGTTCCAAACAATGTTCTGTAGCAAGGGATTGAGAGGGACTTTCGGTCCACCTTTGCCGCCATTGGATTTCGAGTCGTCAGAGAAGAAATGCTTCAGTCGCTGGTTGCTTTCCGCTGCGAAGCGTTCGACGCCAAGATCGTTTATGCTGTCTTTGCATATATTTCTCGCAGTTATTATGGATACGTTGCGGAACCGGTCGTCCGACAGTCGGTCGTGACAATACCTTGAGCCCAAGAATCTTGTTGCAATCCAATGTATGTCTGCGTCGTCGCACGTCCCGTATCTCATGTTTTCAAGGGCGCGCTGCATGCGTAAATCATCTACAGATGCACCTTGTTGCCGCATGTTCTTTCTAAGCAGAACCACAGTCGTTACCATATGCCAAAGCACCTTCCCCAGTGCCTTTTGTTGACTTTGAGAGTCTGTGCTGTATCGTCCTATTTTACGACTGAACAGAGAAGCATTCTCTCCGCCATGGACAGGTGGTAACTGAGCAAAGTCACCTGCGAAGATCATGTTGACGCCACCGAAGGGCACGTCTGGCCTGTTGCGAGCGGCGCACAGGGTCTTGCTTATCTTGTACATGTCTAAACAGGAAAGCATGGAAACTTCGTCCATGAAAATGTAATCGACTCCAAGCAATCGCTCTTTGACTTCACCGATGTTATTAAAATCGATCTCGCCGTCTTTGCGCTTGAGATCATTGATTCCCAACACGTAATGGTAAGTAGATCCCTGTACAAGGGCGGCTGCAGTACCGGTGGGGGCGAGGACAATCATTCTCGTCCTCTCACCACGGTTAGTGAACATTGACTGCACAGCTTGTAGCACCCGCGACTTGCCGGTTCCACCCATGCCACCTACGTACATCAGAAGCTGTTCAGTGGTGGGATCGCAACCGTGGTTCGATATAATACGAAACGCGCGTTCCTGGTCTTCATTAAGTCCAAACGTTTTGGCAGTGTCGTCTATGATGTCCGGTCTGTCGCGCGCTCGATGGACCTTCAATAGATAAGACTTGTTCACGATGTCGACGTCTACGAGGGCGCGCAGTCTGTTGAGGCGATCGCCCGTACTCTTAGCAATCTCTTTCCATCGACTCAACATTGATTGTCTGACTTCCTTGACGATGTCCCTCCACTGACTTGGAGTACGGTACGTGATATCCACTGTTTGGTCTAGCACATTGATATCTCCGTCACTCTTTGTCCATCCTGTCTTCTCGATGAAGTCTTGTGTTTCCGAATACGTCTTCTTCCGTGCTTCGTAGTGGCGTACTGGAACCGTGTTCTCATCGACGTATTCAGTGTCTGCGAACACGGCGTACACATCATCATCACTGAAAGCCTCCGGATCGAAGTTGTCGTCTCGCATGAATGATGGAAGACCACTGTCCTTCTTTGAATTCTTTGAATTCTTCATATTTTTCCTAAAATCGTCTCGACTATCTATACAGTCCCATCGCAAGTTAAAGAACTTCATCAGCTCCAGCTGTCGTTCGGAGAAACTGTACGCGCTGAAGGCGGCTTCCCAATCCTCTGTATCGTTTTTCAGGTCGAGTCCCGACCGCCAAGGTTTGAACAGAGCGAGCATTGTGAGGAAATAATCGTCACCTGCATTGTCTCTGGGAAGAGGGCGCATCATGTTGGGGACTATTGTAGGACTGTCAGGGCAGAACTGCATACAATACGAACTTGCGAGGGGGTGGCCTTCCCTGAACGCGTACATGGACCCTGGTAGTTTATTGGTAGGCGGCACGCTTCTGCAATTGTCTTCGGGCTGCTCATCTTCTGTTGCTTCTGCTTCCGAATTGTCGCGCATACTGTCGAGCATCTTCATGTCATCTTCCGATGCATGGTCGTTCGATGTGACCGACTCGTCATCACTTTCGCACTCGTTGTCCGTATCGTTTTCCTTACTGTACTGTCCGTGCCGTGTTTGATCTGTTCGTTCGGGTTTGCGCTTGAGACCTGGTATAGGCACTCGCTTGCCTAACCTTGCGAACTCATACAAGGTCATATCCTCTAAAGCGTCTGCACGATAGATGTAGTTCTGGGCGTCATGAACGCCAATGATGTTTTCACCTCTCTTCATAACTCTAACCATTTCTTCCTCGTCTTCTTCGGTGGGCGGATGCCACATCTTTTTGACCTCATTGATGAATCTATGCCAATAGAAGGAGACGAACGTGTGAGATGTGTAGCGATCAGGTAAGCCCATCAGATGGGCCGCCATAAACGGAGCGCCAATTTCAGATTTCGTAGTTAGAATGTTGATTACTCTGGTCATCAGTTTCCTCGCCTTCTCTTCGCGTGATTTGTCTCCGGAAAGCATCTCAGAGCTACGATCGAACGCAGCTTTGATGGATTCGAACATGACATGCGTGGGGGGACCCATCTTCGTAATGTATTCTGTTATGTAGTAAACAATGTGGTTAACGGCCGAGCCGGACATGAGGGGGGTGCAATCATGATTGCATCGACAAGTGTGTGAGATCAGGGGACATACATCGTTCAAGTACGGTTCTTTGTGCTTAAATCTAAGTGCCCCCGTCTCGAGGTCCACACCGGTATCAGCACGGGTCTGTCTAGGCATGCGAGCTTTGCAGGTGCCGTTTTTGTTATTGAGACAGTAACGAACGCTGCACTTATGAAGATTAGTGCGATACAGGATGTCATCGACGTCCGCTTTGAATTGTTCCTCCCACTGCATTGTTGCCTTGCACGCTTCACAGCCAGGTTCTTTGCAATCGCAGTACGAAGAGGAAGGTGGAACGAGGGAAGTAAGGGTGGGATCTTGGTAGCCAGTATCAGCCTTGCGCACATTTTGATGTGCTCTTACGTCGTCAACACTTCCGCCGTAAAACTCACCTTGACTGCAAGATTCGACGTACTCCGCTAGGTTGTCGCGAAAGTCGGTCTCCATTCCTGCGATTTTATCTCGCATCTCGGCAGGGGTCGGTGCTCCCTTGATCCAGATTAGCATATGAAGGTGCAGTGTAAGTCTCCCTTGCTGTTCAACCGTTGCGTAGTACGCGGACGAGTGCCCAAAGACGCCAGGAATCGTGGAATCAGTACCAACAATGTGTTTAAGGAATGTGTTGACAATGAAGTCGAAGAAACGAGCGGCTGCGACGGGATTGTTGACGACGCGTCGGAATCGTTCATCTTTTTCACTTGAAGATGTTGGCGCGTCAAATGGTCTATACGTCTGGTTGGTATCCGCAAAATAGATGCACAGCGGGTGCTTGATATCAGTAGGGGCGATTGTGACATACCACACAGGTGATCCGTTCGCCGCCATCAGAGACCATATCTCGTTTCGCATCCACTTGCGACCAGCAGATGTGCCGTGCACCCTCCCCGCCATGCTGTCAAGGTCCTGAATGACTTTGAAGCAATCCTTCTCCTCTTCTGTCTGCGGAATTACCTTTTCGCCAGACGCCATTCGTTCTGCAATCTCCGCCAACACGCGTTGGTTCAGGCTCAACATCCGTTCTGCGATGTTTTTGAACCGCGACTGTTTTGCGAGGAGGAAGCTCTGCGTTGTTGCCTGCATGATTTGTTGGTGACTATACGCCACCACGAGGAAGGCGGGATCTCGTTGAAAACGCTGATCGTGGTACATGAGTAGGTGGCGCACGTGTGCTTCGTGCGACAGTCGCAAACGCTTTTCGGGGGCTTCTTCCGTGCTGCCTATGCCCGCTCTCCCGTACGGAAACAGCCAAGGAAATAGTTGCGGGTATAGTCGGGGATTGTGGTACAGGGACTCTGGCGTGTCGCCGTGACCAACGCGCAAAATGCCTTTATTGTTTTGAAAGTGCATCAGAGCGATACCCTTCAGCTCTTCTTTGGATTTCGCCTCTAATTCCGCTCCGGTGATGGCGTGCACAACGATGGGAACCTCACCACTCTCTACACCATGATCGTCCTCATTGTTATCGGCACTCCGACTTTCTTGAGCGATGTTGGTACTTAGCGTTCTATATTCGATCGTCACGGGTGGTTCCATTGTGTTGTAGCTCTGCAAGTTTTTCTCAGATATTGGCACATTTGCGTAGTCGGGATGATTTAACGCCAACCATTCAAGTGCTTTTCGTACGACGTCGTGCCTAACGAGAATAGGGTTGAACTTGCCTGTCAAGTAATCGGCTTTCGTGGGCGCGACGGGACCGGTGTACATCACTGCAAGCACTTCGTCCAACTCAGCTCTCGTTGGAGGTAATGCTGCATATACCTTGCGGCTTGACACGGGAAAGGAAACAGCGTGCGCGATAAGTTTTTGGTATGACCCTCCTACTCTGATAAAGCACGCGTTGTGGCGCATTCTTTGAATCAACATTCGCTCAACGTATCGCAGGTTCTGCAGCTCAGGTGGCACGTCTCCTAACCACAGATTATTTGCTAAGGCGTTCCTCGGCATTTTGCCATGAGTTATACTTTTGCGGCATGAAGGGCAAATCTTGTCGCATCCTGATGCCAATACGGGCCCTGTAACAGGTTTCGAGGGATCGTGAAATGACTTGCGTTCTGTACTAGTAACAGAATCGTCTTCTAGGACCGTCAGGAATCCTTTGTAGTTCTTTAGGGGGCGCAGTTCAGACTTTCGCTTCAGTAAGCCGCACACCGCGCAACCGGCTTCTTCTACGCCCCGAAGATCGTCTGCAAAGGCGTTTGCAATGCGATGGAAAGTTTTAAATGAGGGCGCTTTGGGAGGGAATGGTTTCTTGAACTTGCTGCGGTACGACCGGGCATTGAGGGCGTTCTTAGCAGCCACCTTTGCAGGGTCTTTGGAGCGCTTGTCATTGAACGTCTTATGCTTGTTAGTTGGCAGAGCGGGCTCGCGAAACTCGAACACTGTGCAGTTACTTATACAGAGGGGGCACGAATGCTTCTCCAGTCGCCTCCGAAGCGTATCTGAACTGTCGCGCCAGGGATTATCGATGCCATGAATATTCGCAATCTTTCGCATGGAAGCTACACGTAGTTTTCCACACAATCGAAACACAGGAATCTTAGCGCTTACGAGTGAGTCTGTCAGTATTTCATCAGACTTGGACTCCGGAACATGGTCCACGTAAGAGTAGACCCAACGATCTGGGTCGAAGTTAGGTGGTATTTTGTGCAACCATTCGCCGATGTGTTCGATGGTGAGCGTCTTATGAGATGGACCTCCACCATATTGGCGGCCATCGTCACGTACATGTGAAGTATTGGCGACTTGGCGTTCACAGGCAGCATCGTATAGCAATGCATTGTATCCTCTGGTTCCTCTGATTCTGCTCGGTCGATGCCATTTTGCCCTTCGTCCCGGTCGTACGATGAAGCATAGGTGTCGATGGGTAAGGCATCTGATCAGTTGTTTTAAGGCACAAAGTACTATGTAGAGAGCACATCTCGTGGGCCAACGCGATATATGCCAGAATAGAGGCTGAATTTCGAGAACAAATATCCACGAGTTGTTCAATCGTGACAGCCGCTGTCGCATGGCACACCAGTCAAGTCGTCGCATAAAAGTTCTCGTCACTTGCAAGCGTAAGTACATCAAGATGTATCTTTGCTCCTTCCGCAGATGAAGAAGTCCGTCACGCAGTGTAGCCAAGGACGATGTGATACACGTCAGGAGGAAAGCGACGTCTACTCGAAGCCAACCAGTTATCAGAGTAAGCTGCAAGTTGAAGGGTGACCCTTGTCGCCAGCGTATTGGAGCATCCGAATATGTCGGCACTGCACACGAATGATGTCCTCGTGTTGTGAAAGAGACGGATGCGGACGGTACATGGGCACAGATTTGAGACAGCGAAGTATTGTTAAGATGAACGATTAGAACATGCATGACGGCGAATCGAGAATCCCATGAACGCGGGGGCAGATAAGAGGATAACGAATGAGAACTGCAATTGGATCCCAATGCGTTCAAAGCCACACCTTCGACGGTACTTATCTCGATGGTAGCGTTTCGCTCTGCAAGGGCTCCCATGTAATGATACTTATGGCACGAACGAACTCCCGTGCAACCGGACGGGAGCCAAGGACGAACCCCCGTGCAACCGGACGGGGGCCAGGAATGAGCCCCCGCGCAACCGGGCGGGGGCCAGCGAGGATCCCCCGCGCAACCGGGCGGGGGCCAAGAATGAACCCCCGCGCAACCGGGCGGGGGTAGGTAAGTTAGAGCTGTGTGACCGTGTGAACGTGGAGTACAATGAACACGAACGATGGAGTCGTCCGCTACAACGCTGCCATATGACCAGGACTGGGCGAAGTTCACGTCGCTTGAGTGTTGAAGGGATAACCGTGAAAGGAGGAACACGTAGAATAGCACGTAGTGGATGAAGATCATGGTGGTTGTAAGGAAGGTGCAATTTGTCTCCCATCGATCGCGATGGAGGGTGACTCCTCGGTACCGAGTCTATGGTCGGTTCCGCATTCGCAGTGAGTCACTCGCGCGTACGGCGTGAGGTTGAACTCTTTTATTTATTTATGGTACATTTACGCGCTCGTTGAGGAGCTTCGACGGTCACGGGTCGTAACAAGTAATGAACCTAAGCAACATACTTAGTCTTCTTGGACGGGCTCTCTCCCTCAGCGTCGTCTGACGCGGCACGCTTGCTGATATCATCCTGCCCGCTACCCTTCAACGATACCTTCCCGCTTCTAGCTGGCTTCGTGGGCGTCGCCGGCATCTCCATCTTCGGTGCGACGGGCAGGGCGGACACTGCGCGAGCACGAAGGACGTAGATCGGGTCGGATAACACAATGACTGCGTTGAGGTTGAAAGAGAGGTTGGGCTCCTTCTGACCGGCGACCCACGACGAGACTGTGTACACGGCAGTGACCAGCTGGTTCTCCACGAGATCGCAGTCATACGTCTTCATGGCCTTGATGTTGGCGAAGGTAAGGGACGTGGACCAAGGAGACGAGTCGCGTCCGTCGAGAACCGGGACTGCAGGAGACAGTCAGTGAACGGTAGAACGCGTCCTGACCATACACGTACTGGCGTCGGTGAACTCAGGGACACCAAACCTCTTGTTAGTCGTCCCTGACTGCTTGCGGATGACGTTTGGACCTGAGCTTGACCTTGCAGCTGCAGAAAGTTGTAAGTGTTGACGGTGAAAGATCGAGAAGACGATTCGAACCAGTGCTGGACGGTTTCGTCGTGATGAGGATGGTGCCATGCTCCGCACAGGGGAAACCGAACGATTCATCAGAGGGCATCTTGGCGGCGAGGTTGAAGAAAGCAAACGCGCGGTTGATCTCGGATTCGAACGGAGCTATGGCCACTCCACGACGCGCCTTCTTCGCGTTCGTATACGGCAGCTCTCCATCGAGAGACAGGAACTCCCTGCGTAGAATGCCAGTCGTGACGCAAAAGACGGGCCTGGTGGTGTCGCGCTGGCTCATGAGGGTGTCCTTGGTGTCCTGATAATTGTCCGGATGGCGTCCGAATATAAACTGATGAGGGTCGACTCGGGAAGGGTTCACGATGTCGTAGCCTTCAGCGAACCCGAGGGCGACGCAGACACGCCTGGTTGCCCTTAGCGTTGGCCAGAGGAAGGAGAACGAGTAGACGCACTTCATATCGTCAACGGCGGGAGCCATGGACTCTAGGGTAGTATCGATCTTCGGATACTCTCTGTAGGCTTCAGGTTCAAATTTGCCGACGTGCGTTATAGAGTAGTCCTCTCTGCCCACGTATCGTGAATGAGTACAAGGTTCAGAGCACGACGGTGACTATGGACGTACGTAATTTTATACCAGTTGTCGTAGCAGCCGTGGGCGTAGGCCCAATCGGAAACGTGCGCCCATCCGTAGACGGTATCGCCCCTAAACGCTTTATACCTGTGCGCAAACATAAGCATCCGCAACTAAGCGTGAGGAGCATAACGCACCGCTCGGATTCTTTATCGACATGCACGCTGTTCATAAAAGAGCGCGCCGCGGCATCATCGAAGACGGTGGCGGCGCTGCACGGCATGTAAGAGGGAAGGTCGGACGACGGTGAGAGACGCGTACATCGAATTCCCCGTATGCTGGACGTGCGAACTCGCATCGGTATCATCAATTGCGGTCGACGCATCGATGTCCTCGCCCGATCGCTCCACGTTCGTACCCTGCCCTGTACCGTCGGCGGATGCAGGGTGGTCAACTGGCGAGCCGTCGACCAGTTTAGAATTGTCGTCCAGGCTGCCCTGCATATGAAGGATCGCGCTGCGATCGAGAGCGTCAGCAAGTCTTTCGAAGGTGAACGTTCGTTGCACGTACGTCCCCTCAGTGACCTCTTGAATGGGATTGGATGCTGCCATAGTCGAACCAATCTCTCTGATGTATATATCAGTCAAAGACTGCGATGCAAGAAGAGGGCAAACGGACTCGGGGATACTGTGAAGTTCGAGAACAGGAGGGGTGTGACTGGGGTGGGCTGTAGAAGAAGGTGCGATCGGAGTGTCTAGCAAGCGCTCAGACTCGTCACTGTGACAAGTTGAGGAAGGTATCCGTCAAAGACGAGGAAGAGGTGCGTACGACGCGCGTTTTTTAGCGGAGGGCGTGGGCTTTCTCGACGTGCGTCGAGTGGACATGAAAGTACAGAGAAGGATCTGTCGTATAGAAGTTGTCGTTGACCCCGAGATCTACATTACCGATCGCCGGATCCGAAGCAATGGATGGGAATTGGACTGGGCGTCAATTGCAGATCGTGGAAAAGCTCCCATTGCAAACCGCCACGTATACCAATCCAGTCTCTTCCGCGTCCAAGACAAAACCCCCCAAATGTCAGACACCAGTTCCACAGTAGACAATTAGAGACTATACCCGCGATCATGTCCGATTCTGTTGACGTTGCTTTGCCGCCAACGATAATCACATGCAAACTCACCTGGGCCTCGCTCTTTCGCCCCTTCCTCAAAGACGTGGGACTGCAACGCAACCAGCGTAACGGACAGCTTCCTGAACCGGAGCGTCGTCGATTCCGTGCGGCTCCCACATTGGTGCCACAATCTCTCCTTCACCCGGTCGTTTCATCCGCAACTTCATGTTGCATCTACCGAACTCTATGCCGCGTTCAACACGAATATAACCCGGAATCTGTTCAGACGAGACTGTCCACGGCGAAATCGAAAGCCAAGACGTAGCGAAGTACAGACATATACATGCAAATATGTACACACATGTGCCCACACATGTACGCGTCATTTATGTATGTCTGTCAAGAAAACATGCTGCCAGTCTGCAGCCCAAGAATGAAAGCAACTCAGTCAGATGAAGAAAAACTGTACAAGTAAGAGGAGTATATGGTCGCATGTATAGATTTGAGAAGCGCTGCGAGGTGAACGGGACGGTATGCGTACGGAGGGACATCGGGCGCAACCTATCACGGGCTAACACCGCTAATTCACGAAGAGTGCCACCGCTGCACTTATCAACACAGTGATGGATGAAGACAGGTAGAGAGTACTCACCCTTATATCTCGCTCACAGATACCGTGACGGCGTGAGCGACCACACTCCCGGCCGCGCGTGGCCACCGTCTGGAGGCTACGAATCTGCGAAACGCATCTGCCATGTCCACCGACATACCGCTCGGGGACGGCCTGTAGTAAAAGACCGACAGCGCGGGCATAATGACAGGGGAACCCCAGCGGAAAGTCAATGAATCGAACAGGAACGGACAACCGAAGGACTGCGTGTACATGCTAAAGTCGTCGATGTCGAGTACTTTGAGCCACTGGAGTCTGCTCAAGCATTGCAGTAGTGCATCTGAGGTAGATGGCAGACCAGAGTCGACGCGAGCGATCCTGAGCTCCTCCAGCCTGGGCGGAGCTCCCGGGCGATTCAACATGGCCTGTAAGTCGACGATGGCGAACCGATAGTCATCCATGTCGTTGAGAGTCAGTTGTTGAAGACGTGGCGCATAGACAACTGCTAACACAAAGCTCGTGTGGTTGTCGAGCCTCAAGGTACGCAGTGCCGGCATGCTAATGACGCTCACGTTCTCGACCGTGACGTCCTCGTCGACGGGGTCAACTAGCGCGTCTACGCGAAGATGCTCGACTGACGAGCATTGCTTGATGAGAGAGGCGAGAAAGCGAATGGTCCCGTCGCGTAGACCGCACAGCGTTAAGGACGACAAGCGAGGCCAGGCGGGCACGTCTAACGTGAATGATCCAGACATCCGTGACGTATCGCATATCAAGGTCAAAGTGTTGAGGACGTCGGCTCGCCCGAGCCAACGTAGCGCTCCCCTCGCTGCGTCGCCTTCTAGGTATAGTATCGCGCTCGTAAGCTGCGGGAGATGATGCGAGTAGGTGATGGTGGTAAAGTATGTCCAAGACGCACGGAGGACAACAGTGCGCCACCTCTCACCAGACCCGAGCAGATGGCGAAAAGCAGACTCCGCGATGTCGTCTGCGCCTAACCCAGAGTGCTCAACCGCTATTGGGTCTGACCGCGAGAGGCGCACATCGAGGTCTACATGAGATTGGCACCGTACCCAGGAAGCCGTGAAGACCGCTGTCCACAGACGTGGAGTCCCGTCAACGACGTCTACCCAGAACGCGGACACACTCCGGAGGTTCGCCACCGCAACGCCGCTCTCGAGCCCAGACCTGCAGGTGTATACGACCATCGAGGTCAGTACCTATCATTATAACTACATTGCCCAGGTTTTCAGGGCTCTGTGTTGCTAACTCCAGCAGACTGCTGCTGGGCTGAAGGGGCTGCAAATTGTAGCTACGTCGTATAACTACGTTTTCCAGGTGTCTCTGGGCTGTCCAGCCCCCTGCCGCTCGTCGCCGGCTATTGCCGAGATGCGCCCGTCGTCGTCGCGGGTGCTGCTCGTCGCCGCCGCGAGGCGCCCTCCCGAACGTCAAAACACGTGCCCGCGCCACCCGCGCTCCCGACGCGTCGCGCACCCCTCCCGCCACCTCCGCCTCGCCCCGCGCTCCCGCCCGACGCACAAATGCGTTCTCACGCTCTTCCCCGCGCTCGTCGTCGCCCGACGCGCATCTCCCGACGCCGCGGCACGTGACCCCGCCGTTCCCGCTCCCGACCGCGCGCGCCTCCCGCTGCACGTCGCTCGTGCTCATTCCCACGCCGTTACCCGGCGTCATCGCGCGCCCACTCCCCGGCGTCGTCGTACACTGCCCGACGCGCCTCGTGTCGCGCGCACGCTCGGGCTCGAAAGCGCGCGTCTCGGCAGATGCCGAGAACGCGCCGTAGCCAGTCGAGCGACCGCGTTCGCGCGCTGACCGTCGAGCCGCGCGTCCCGGGCAAATGCCCGGGTAGCGCGGTGTTCGTCGGGTAGCGCGCAGGCCGTAGCACGCGCCCCGCGGCAACCTCCTCGCCGCACGGGGTCGCGCCCATCCCATCCGGCCCGGCCCGAGCCGCTGCCCGTCCGCCATTCCCGCTCGGCCCCTCCCAGCGCGGCCGCGCTGCGCAGGCAACGCCGTCGACGGGCGCGCTCGCGCGCCCTCGTCGCTCCTGCCCGCGACACGTGGCGAGGACGTCCGTATCGTGCCACGTGTTCGTAGTGTGCGCGTGACGGCGGCAACGCCACGAGCGTCGCCCATGCGCACGGCAGCCCGTAAATCCTCGCAGCGCATCGACGTCGTCGAGGGCGTCTGGCAGGACGGTACGGGCAGGTGATCACGCGCAGCGCGGCGCGTGGTCGCCATGGCGACCACGTCATCGCTGCAGCCACGGGCGAGGGCGGCGAGTAGGAGGGTGGGTGTGTGGGTGTGGGTGGGGCAGTGCGGGGAGGTTGGCTTGAGGACGCGACGGCGGCTGGCTGGCTGGCTGAGCAGCGCTGTTGAGCGCGCGCGCGGGTGCTCGCGAAGGCGCTTGCGACGGTCGAGGCGCGAGTGATAAAGCAAGGCAGTCACCAGCTCGCATCGAGGTCGACGCGAGCAGGCCACGCCCGCAGAGGGAGGTGGTGGGTCAGGAGAAGGTGGTGGGAGCGAGCGAAGGGCTCGCATCGGCTGCGGACGGAATTCATTTCCGTCCGCGCACGTGCTCGGCAAATGCCGGCGAACGCGCCCCTTCAGCGCGCGCGCGAGATCTCCTGCGCATCTGAACCTTCCGAGGCGGTCAAAGACTTCGGAAAGGGGCGTAACATAGTGATATATGTATCTAGCTATATATTGTACGGAAAAGTACGTGAAATGCGCGCCTATGACAGCATAGTGTGCACATTTACCCTCGAGAAGAATATGCCCTCAACATGATTAGACCCAATATATTACTATCGGGCGATTCTTGCACTAGGTATGCGCCTAGATGTGTCAGATAAGCGTACTCACAGCCTTATCCATTGCTATCGAAGTGAGGGGACATCTCCCATATGGCGAGATTGCACCTGGGCCCCAGTTAGACTTGAGCCTCACTTATACAGATCGGTTGATTCTGGGGCCATCGAGGCAACACGGGTAGTCAGAAGACCATGGAGGTACACAATCAGGCGTATACAATTTACCCATAAATTGAGCTGTGGCGGGGGGAGCTCCAGTTCACCCGGATTATGTTCTGATATATGTATGGCACTAATCCAGAAGATATGCTCAATCTCGAGGTGAGTTGCCGCATTTTGAGTCGCTTTATGGACAAATCTCATACTTTCAGGGCAGATAACCCCGTTTCTGAGTGTGCTCTACATGCCTGTTGCGTTATTTTAGCGGCGGGAGACATCGTTGATCCTCGAGACATCATTCAGGGCGACGAGAAGGTTAAGTCGGCACCCGGTCCGGTCTCGGCCAATCCTAGCGTGATAAAGTCTATCCTGGGCTCAGATACTGGCTCGCTCATGACTGCGATGGTGATGAAGAATTGAGTTATGACTTCCTCTCTCTTAGCCTTATTGTATACATATCACCTGTGGTGGACCGGAGCACACGAAAAGCGAATAGATTTTGCCATATGACTTCAAGGTGAACGGGTATTGAATTTGGCCCCCATTCTGCGTCATAGAGCGTTTTGAGATGTATCCGGCTATAAGGATATTATCAGCGTGTCTTATACCTCCCGAACCAGGGCATACAAGGCCTCGCCACTGGGCAGCGCGAAGACCGGCTATGTGGGCCGGGCTTCCGGGTGTGTCACGTGACTGCATCGGAAAATTTCCGGGCGCAGTCCCCGAGCTCTTGCCTCTTTCCACCACCGCCGTCCTCCCCATTGCCCCATCCTCCGCTCGACACGCGTTGGCTGCCTGGCCGCGCGTCGTCCGCCTTGCTTTCCTCTCACTGCCACACAGCCACCGACGTCCTCGTCCACCTGCGCGCCACGTGTGCAAGAACGCGTCGCCGGCTCTGGCGCGCCCGGCAACCAGGTGCCCGCCCAAGCAAGCGCTCAAGCCCAAGCCCCATCCCATACCCCCATCACCCTCCCGCGCATGCCGCGCGCGCCTAGTGCGTGACGCGGCAAGCTATTCCCCGCAGATGCCGCCGTGCTCGCGATCGCGCGCTTCGCATGTGTGACGTGGCGGTGCCACGTCATGCGGCGATCGCCTCCTGTGAGTACGGCGGGCCGTGCGTGCTGCACGACCGTCGGCGCGGGGCACCCAGGCCTCCCGGCCAGCAGAGCATGGCTCGTTCGCGGCGTGACCGAGGCAGCGCACCACGGACACGTGGCGCGCGAGCCTCACCCTCGCGACGAGCTGCTGCGCGCGCGGGTATGGCTGCGCGTGCTTTGGGCGGTAGCGGTCGGGAGCGCGCGGACGCGGTGCGCGGGCTGGATTAAAGCGGCAACCGCAGAGCCGGCCCGAGCGAGCGCGAATCGAGCGCGCTGCGGGGAGTAGGACCCCACGGAGCGCGTCGTACGACCAGTGCGCTACCCGACGAGCGCTACGTGCCCCGGGCATTTGCCTAGGACACGCGACTCGACGGCCAGCGCGCGAGCGCGACCCCGCGAGCGGTCCCGGCGCGTTCTCGGCATCTGCCGAGCAGCGCGCTCTCACGCCCGTGCGAGCGCGCGGCACGAGGAGCGTCGGACGTCGGGGAGAAGCTTGGGACTGCGCGAGGAGGAGGAGGAGGGGGGTGTGGGAATGTGCACGAGCGCCGGGCAGCAGCAGCGCGGGACGAGGCGGGAGGTGCGCGCATCGGGAGCGGGAGCGGCGAGGTCACGTGCCGCGGCGTCGAGAGGCGCGCGTCGGGCGACGACGAGCGTGGGAATGCGCGCGACGACGCCGGGGAGGGCGGGAGGCGCGAGCGACGCGTCGGGAGCGGGAGCGGGGAGGTCACGTGCCACGGCGTCGAGGCGCGCGTCGGGCGACGACGGGCATGGGGATTAGCGTGGGAGCGTGCTAATGCGTAGGGCGGGAGCACGGGGCGAGGTCGAGGTGGCGGGAGGGGTGCGCAACGCGTCGGGAGCGCGGGTGGCGCGGGCACGTGTTTTGACGTTCGGGAGGGCGCCTCGCGGCGGCGACGAGCAGCACCCGCGACGACGACGGGCGCATCTCGGCAATAGCCGGCGACGAGCGGCAGGGGGCTGGACAGCCCAGAGACACCTGGAAAACGTAGTTATACGACGTAGCTACAATTTGCAGCCCCTTCAGCCCAGCAGCAGTCTGCTGGAGTTAGCAACACAGAGCCCTGAAAACCTGGGCAGTGTAGTTATAATGGGTCTGCCAGTGGTGGACCATCTCAAGTATGCAGGATAGTATCTCGGCGGGCACGCGGTCCACGGGAGACAAGAGGGCTAAGATTTTTGCCAACTCGACGGCAACGGCATTTCGATCGACGTGCAGGGATGAAATAGCGGCGGACAGCGATATCTCCACATCGCGCGAATGCGTCGCCGCCTGCGCCAGAGAGATGCGTCGTTCTGCGGATACGTCGTCGCGAGAGGGACTGCAGACAGACGCGTGAGACACGCAAGCGTAGTAGCTGTCGAAAAGAGACATGACGTGGACGCGAGTGTCGATGGAGCACCTTTAGGAAGAGAAATAGAGGCGGCGAAGACGACAGCTTGAGCAGCCGTTTTGCTGTACTTGAGGACGAGCATCGGGTGCTGTTAATCATGATGGAGCGTGCGAATGAGCTCGCTATCGACACCGAGTTCCAGCTCTATGCGCCAACGTACAGGCTCGTACCCTGCATCTGCGGATTCTGCAGGTGAATGTCTACTTTTGAGCAAGATTGGCTTTCAAGGGGAGAGAACATAGAGTACGCATGCATGGAAGGTAAAACACCAGACATGTCGCCATCGGCAGAGCAGTGGTAGAAGAGGGCATGGGATAGGACGGCGTGGGATAAGCGCCGTTCTTCCATTGAGTTTTTACGCAACCCCACATTCTCTATCGTATTAATGGTTACTATGACCTATCACCGATGCTTGAACTATTCGAAGCGCGCGAATCTCCAGGGCAACTAGCGAAGTGACGCCTGTGCGGATGTGAAAGCACATACGATAAAGGACCACGGACCGGTAAAGGAACATTGAAGAAGCACGGTATCTCTTGTGCCTAGTGATGCATCTCTTTAGCCGCATAACTGATTGGAGCCGATAGGCTTGACAATCACGGCACCCACACGGCAACGTTAGATGGCGTCTCGCTACCGCCGCTTGTCAGGGAACGCTGGGGATTCGCGAATGGGCACGGACATCCTATTGAACACCTTGTAGTAAAGCAACATGTGTATTCGATGTACGGTATGACTGGTAAGTTGTATGCCATGCTCCTAACGAGAGCACCAAATAAGGCGGTGACGACGGAGGCGGAAATGGATGGAGAAAAGGGATAACTGCGCAGTTTTCACGGTGTTACACGAGTCAAGCAGTGAAGTAATACGAAGGCATTCGAAGGGAACAAGTAGTCGAAGACCAGCGGACAGGCGTGCAGCAACAGGAGAACAGTGTTGACGCTTGAGTACACGTGAAGACCACTGTAAGACGTGGCCAGTAAGCGACGAAGACGTGTGTTTCGTACCGCAGGTGCGCATGCCCGACGCGGGATGTTCGAACGAACAGTCCTTTGACCGCGAGACCCGGCGACCGGGTTCTTGTCGCCGCACGTCTCGCCACCGAGCTGCCCCTGAACGTCCCTGCTGGACTGCTGCAACTGATGATCCGCGAGTTGTCGCCCTAGGTGGCCTACCACGCGTACTCGTTCGTCGCGTCTGTGCGCGTCGCGTCATCCGGTAAGCACACTCTGTCACAGGAACGTGCGCAGATGGCTGACTGCGGAGACCATCGAGCCCTCGCATGCAGCGGGTGACTACAAACCGACGTCGAGGAAGATCGCGCGCTTGTCAATGTGACGATCGTTGTAACCGATACAGTGGGTACAATTTGCGTCCGAGTTGCATATCTCAGAAAAGCCTCCATTGCCAATTAGATGAAAATACCAGTCTAGCAGCTCCCGCATCCATGACCAAAACCCCAAAAGTTCGGATTGTTATTGCAGAGTAGACAAATAGAACCTAAAACTGCTATTCCGTCCGATCGTACGAGATTGCGTAACCTAGATAGTCTTGCTTACCATCACGATTACATGTGATCCGTCGTCATTGACCGTCATATCATCACAAAAGAAGGCGATGTACGATCTATGTCCTCGGCACACCTTGCTCGGACATGCAGACGCTAACGATGCGTGCGACTCTCACCTCGTCTTGGGATGTCCCTGACGGAGATTTCTCAGAACGACGCGGCCCGCATCCGATGCGGAACGGAGTTTACTTTACATAACACGGCGGATGGAAAGCAGCTATTGACACCTTCCGTCGCACTTCCATTGCGCGGTAGAAAAAGGAAACAAAGTCTCGTTCGGAAAGACACTTCGACATCCCGACAGGAACAACCGATCTCCGCATTCCCAGCGTAATTTCATATATGATCTTGCCGGATCAATGATTGACTCTAGATCACATCGCACTCTATCGACCTTCCCCATTGATACTCCCGGTCGCACGGCAACTCTAAGCAAGATAATGTAGCCGCTCCCTGCTTTGAGAAAGTAGCCCAGTTGTTAGTCAAGTACAAGACAAGTGGCAGTTCTCTGAAACAATGCAGGCCGCAGTTCGGCATAATCGGATGTAATTTTGGTTTACTGACGCGAAGGAAGTTGTGCCTCGCAGTCGATATTTCATGCAGACGATCATTGCAAACGTACGGACGTGCGACCACCTAAATTCAATCATCCTGCAATCCCGTCATCATTTGTTCCTCGTCGAGACCGAGATAGTGGTACGAGTGCGACAACAGGTGCACAGGTGGATGCCGCGGAGCGCGCACCCGACGCACTGTCCGCGCGATCACAATTTTCTGGGGGGCAGAGGGGGCGCGCGGAATGTGCCGTGCCGGTATTGCGAACGGCGCCAATTACGGTACGGAGAACGCGGAATAACTGAATACGCGACGACTTGTTATCTCCAGAGATTTGGTAGACGGGCGTTCGAATGCACCGGACTCTGGTTGAAAGTAACTTTGCTCCTGCGCTAACACCCACGAGTTCACGCTCAAGTCTGGTATGGCTCCCGTCCCCGTGAACTACGACTTCGGAAAAGCAGGTGAGCATAGCGAGGCACGCATGGGGAACGTGTATGAGGCTAACGGTGGTCAGCGGCCATTGTCGCGGCTGTCGCTGCCCGTCGTTCGAACGTTGAAGGTCATCATGTATTGGGAGTTTACAAGAAGGTACGACCGTACGTGGGCGACCCAGCGATACGTTCTGAACTTTGTAGGACTGTGATCTTCACGATGTCATGGATGTTGCGTCCAACGGCAACAATCTGAAGTTCGCTACTGATCTTGCCAACGAAGGCGCGGAGATGCAATACGAAGTCACCGGCGTCCTCTGGGCGAAGGACCTCCCTCCTCCGTCCACCGTCAGAATCAATTAGTGCGTGTTCAACTACACCCGTCTTCCTATCCATTGATGAGAATCGCAGTGGGAGCCGCCCGGACTCGACGACACTCCGATTCATGAAGCAGTCCGTTACGCTGGTTGCGATGCAGTCCCATGTGTTCGAAGAAGGGGCGAAAGAGTTGGAACGCCTGCGCAACTTCTTCGCTCGCACTGTCGGCGTCAACGTCGCTATCTTCAACGCTGCAAAGACATTGCATGGATCGACGATGGACATCGCGACGCGAATGTTCACATCAAGCAAGGATGCGCCCGAAGAAGAGCACATATCCCTCTCTGCGGACATCGATCCGGACGGTGTTCTCCGACTTCTGCTCGAATCCGAGCCCGGCTTCGTACACTGCATGGACAACCATGTCGATTACCTCAGAGTTGCAAGCGAGTCGTCGAGCGGGAAACCGACGTGAGCCGTCTACGCTGCACTGACACCATTGGAACACTTACGGGTCGTGCAGATACATGCCCTGCAGACCTGCTCGTTTTCGCGAGGGCGACATCGTTACTTGCACCTTTGTGCTTGCCCTCGTGCCACGTAAGGGAAGAGGCAATGGGTACACCATGATAAAGGTCCTTAGGCAGCTCGCGCTCGAACATGAGATGCCCACACAGGTCCGTACTGTGCCATACACGTGTCATACCTTCACCTCACATCTCCATTCTTGTAGGATGGCGTCGCCAGTGACCACTTCAACGGTTCGCCGCCTAGACCGTCCCTGAAGCGGCCTCGGTCCGTCTTCGACATAGGCGAATCTTTGAATCCGCCGAACTTAGGAAAGTTGTCGATCTCAGACGTGCGCATGGGGGGTACATAGACGTAGCGTATGCTGTCCATAGCGTTAGTATACTCCGATGCAAACGTATGCGTTGTCCGACGTGGAGAGTTACTCCTTAAGCGCTGCCAATGTCGTCGACTTACTGTTTACTGTGTGAGGAAGCCCCGGTACTGTACGTCGCGCCAAATCAAAATGGAGGTCACGGATTTTCAGGTCGCCTCC